AATGTGGACATTTCATGTGGCAATTAATTTATTTTTGTATTCAAGCTGGCACTATTCAGTTCCTCACAAAAGACTTAATATACAAGATGGGAAGACAAGTAGGGATAACAGTAAAGGCACTGGGCTTATGTTTGATTCAAATGCTTTTATTAGTACTATATACAGTATTGTAAATGACGGGGAAAAAAAAATAGATGTTGCACTTCGTCGTTCTGAAAGTTAAGATATAATCTGCTCTAGAATTGGAAACTAATGCTATATTATATCGGTGTTAACAGTTTGTATTAAGTGTATAATAAAACTGTCCAATATTGGCTATTCACATTCTTATGTAAATACAGATTGAATGTGATTGATTTAATATGTTGATCTACACGACTAAAAGGATTGGTATTTCATATAATGTTTTCAAATTTAATTTACTGGTATATTTAAGATGCATATCTAGAAGATCTTGAATATTCTGTAACAAGAGACAGAGCTTTATAGCCATTCTGGCTTATGATCAAACCCCACAACAGAAAATGGAGAAATGACGACGTTTCAGTCTGTCCTGGACCATTATCATGTTGTGTGATGGAAGAGTGTTAAGCTGTTCTGGCTTAACACTTTTTTATAATTACATAATGATGTAAATACTTATTGATTCTTATTCAGTACACACAATATTTAGCTTGGTGCAGTCATCTTTATTATGGTAATGTGTTTATCAGAGAATGGTCTCCTTTTTATATACTGTATGTATGTATATGTCGTACCTAACCCTTGGGCAGTGGCTATGGAAAAATAGTCATACCGATGTGCAAAAAAAAAAATCTTTCATTATAGAATTATTAATTTGTATGCAAAATGTAAGGATCTGTAAACACCCCCAGCTGGTGTCTACAGTTACTCGAAAATAAGTGAATATTTGTCGTTTCATTGGGTGGAGGCACTCTTGAAAGGTCATGTTGTGGGGTATGTGTGGCACCTGTCAAAGCCTCGTGCTGGACTTTGCTGACATTACCCGTAGTATTCTTTGATGATTCACCATTTGTTTTTCTGTATTTACAAGAATGTGTGTGTTGAGTAACTTGATAAATCACATAACACGTGATAATGTTTCAATTGATGATTGGTTTACCTGGTATACTCCATTACAACCAGTATATAATAGTGAAAAGTATATAATAGTGATATGAACATGAATATTCAATGGTGCTGGGCTCTGGGCGATGACATATGGCCTAATTAGCACCATATGGGCGAGAGTACAGATTGAGACAAGGGTGTAAGCCACCAACGTGCACCCACAGATGATAATCATCTTATGACGACAACTGCATTCACCTAGTAAGTAACAGTATATACTAGTAACTAATGAAAGAAGGATTTTTATGGATATAGAAGCTCTTTGTCGATGTAAATAATGTTAAAACAAGTGATAAAACAATCGGTGAAACATTGGAGGATAAAACATGAAGCATTGACAAAAAGTTGAACACCAGGCATTGACAAGTGCCAAACGAAGCTTCGCAGAGCACCTTCACCCAGTGAAACGATAAATACTCGTATATTTTCATGGTTTTTCTTACACTCTGCATACAAATTATTAACTTTATAATTAAAAATTATTTCTAGGAATTTGTATAATTTTGTGCATAGGCAGGTATGACCATTTCTCCATAGCCACTGTTTAAGGGTTAAGTAAGACAATGGTGGAGGCCAAAAACGTCAGTTGTTGAAAAACGTTATACGACAGAGTACTGGTAAGACTGAACACCATGAGCGTAGCTCTCATCCTGTAACTACACTTCGGTAATTACACACACACACACACACACACACACTAATTTAAACCAGTGTCTTATATATATGCCAATATATTCTTTCGCTTAAGGAAAAAGAATGATAAAAGTGAAAACATTTAAATGACTGCAAGTTAAGGTAATTTGTATTTGATATTGCAGTATTGATTATTTTGAAGACATTCCATGTTGTATTTTTCACTTCAGATTGACTAGCCCAGATATCTAAATGAAGCATTTTAAGTCATTAGTTAGGTTCACATTTATATGCACAACACGTCTCATTTGTTACCGAAATCTCTGTTTTCATAATGCGGAAAATATTTGCTGTTTCACCTTTGCATATCATTCCTATTATTAGTTTTATCCATTTAAAATTTCTCATCTTCATCATATATACAAAACATCTGAATTATTTTGGCAGTTTCCAGCATAATCTGTTGTGCTCTGTTACTAAGTGATATCAAATGAATTCATGGAATGAAGTTTGTAATTCAAGCGAAGACGTACTGTAATATTTATAGTACAGTATGCTAGCGATTGATCTTTAGTACATTTTTACATATTATTTAGAAAGACAGGTTGGTTTAGGGCAATTGCATTCAAGGTGTGGGGGCCCAAATTATATTTTCTTATATTATATTGCTATGCAAAAAATGCATTCTATTGTATTTTTTGCTTAAACCTAAATATTATTTTTATGTACCGGTAATTCTTTTAAGTGACAATGCATTTTTTTTTTCATCCAAACAATATAATTCGTGTAGGATTTACATCTATTAAGCTTGTCAAACATTTATATTTGAGAGTTGATGAAGAGTTAGATTTTATTGAGAGTTTATATATATGAGATATTATTAACGCGTAATGTGCATCTAGTCCAATAAATTGATTAACACACTTGATTTTTGTTATCCCATATTATTACTGTATTTAAAAATTGTTGCATTGTACTTTGCACAGGGAAACAATAACCTTTTTCTGTTTTTTGGAGGCATAAGCAATGTGAAAACTACACTAAGCAGGAATAAAAATTATTACATGGTGTAATATTTAAGCAAACCAACTTACACAGTAAAAGCTGCTTTCTACCTCATATGCTGTACTTATCCTTTCCACAGTGTTGTCTACCTATTACTATTCATAGTATTTTGCTCTCGAATATGTTGCCAAAATGTATACTCTGCTCTTAACATGTCCTCATGTCGACTTTTATTATCTGTGTTTTCATGTCCCCTTCCAGCAGCTGTGTCCTTATGTACCCTTTCAGCTGCTGTGTCTTCATATTCCCTCACATTATTTGTGTCCCTCTCGTAATCTGCAACCTTGTGTTCCTGTGTCTCCTCTCACCATACATGTCCTCATGATCCTCTCTATATCAGTGTCCTTTTTATCCCCGCTCACCATGTATGATAGGTAATGATACATAGACGATCTCATTATCTATGTATTATCATATCCCATCTCCCCATCTGTGTCCTTGGGTTCCTTTTCATGAAATGTGTCCTCATATTCTGTAGTATTACCTTGTGTGTCCTCGTGTACCCCATCACTATCTCTTATCTTCATGGTCCCTTTTATCACCTGTGTCCTCGTGTTTCCTCATTTTTTTATTTTATTTATACAAGATTTCTTGTATTCTTGTAAAGTCACTAACATGCATAGCATTTGGGGCAGGTCCTTAATCTTAATTTTCCCTGGACTTGCCAAATTGTTTAACAACCAGGTACCCGTTCACTGCTGGGTGAACAGAGGCACACAGTTAAGGATTGGCACCTAGTCAATCCTCCCCGGCCAGGATACGCAATCAAGCCAAATCGCTTGTGAAGCAAGCAAACAAACCCTACAAGCAAAACGGATACATTACTAAGAATGCATGAGCAAACCTGAAATTTAACTAGATACAAATACATATTCCAATCTCTGTTGTCAAAACCATGTTACTTCAAGAAATGGGAACTGACAGAAGAGCAATCACTGATACTCCAAGAGCAGAAAGTAGTAAAGAATATTATAGGTCTTAAACTGAGAAGTATGTGTATGGAGAGCATAAAACATCCACCAGAAAGTGTGGCATTGTAATTGCCAGAATTAGACGGGGATATTACTTATGGCAGGTGATTGCAGGTAATGAATCTCCCAACAGTAAGTACTCCAGTTGTAAACTCGGACACACTTTTCACTATACTAATGCCTGCCCTGTCATCTATGTTCTAGACCAAATGGAATGAGATACTTTGAGCTCATTTTAATTATTAAATCACTCGCGGGCATTAGAAGATCTCATATACAGTACTATACTCTACCCAAAGTTTGCTGGTACATGATACTGGGATAGATGAATTTATAGGTCTCTTAATATGTACTCTGTAATCCCTTGTATTGGATAGAGTAGCACCACACTGCTGTATACCCAAGTTTAATGTTGATATAATAATAATAACAATAATAATAATTCAGTGTGTTGGGGAACAAGCAGCAAGAGTATATATCTATACATGTTAGGTATATCGAGGTCCCCCCCCCCCTCCCCCAGGGTCAAATTACTGACCCTCCCCAAAGATGTAAACCCACAAAAAGCTAACTCCTGGCCACCTATTTACTGCTAGGTTAACAGAGGCATGAGGTGATAAGAAACGCGTCCAACCATTTCTGTTCCGCCTGGGGTTAGAACCCAGAATTCACAATTGTGAGAAAAGAACGAACCCGACTGTACTACTGGGACCCAAGATATGTAGCATCTTGGGATATTCTCAGGGTAATAGGTAGATTATTTAGATAAGGACGGATTATTTAACACGGGTGGTACTCTCACAAGGTGGAAGCTGAGTACCTAAATCAGCCACAGATATTATAAAGAATTTTTTCAGTGTCAGAGTAGTTAATAAATGGAATTCGTTATGAAGTGATGTGGTGGAGGCTGACTCAATACAGTTTCAAATGTAGATATGATAGAGCCAGTTCCAAGGTAGGACCAAAGAGCCAAAACTTAACCCCCGTAAGCACAACTAAGTGAGAAGTTTTACAAACTGTGCATCACTTGCTAACTTTTTTTAATATACAGTATTTAAGTATTTTAAATCATGCAAGAAACGTTACGTGTTTTTATAGTTTTGTAAAATAAACAAATACAGTGCGTCTGTACCTACTATAAGTAACGGCTGTAATTCCTTTGTATAACTTATAAATAAAATAATAATATAATATTTAATAATGATCATAAAAATATAAATACACCGCTGACCATAGTACTGTACACGTTAATAAAACATTTGATATCTAAAACCTGTACCGACATTAAAACTATGACGTCATAATGACGTCACATATCTTGCTTACGTTATTAAAATATTTTTTTTGTTTTAGATAAAGTAAGATTGGGTTAGGTTAAATTAATTAAGATTAAGTTGGGTTTGTTTAGGAATAGCGATGACGTTGAGAGGACAGGTTTTAGAGTCTAGACCCCTAGTTACATTTAGCAAGAGCAGCGGTGATCCGACGCCATCAACACAACATCCATCACCGCCTGCACCTTCAAACAGTCTTTGGCGCCCCGAAAAGCATATTATTTCTCTTAATTAACTCGTACAGTTTCCGGGACGAAAACAAACAAACCCGTAATCTCACATTGCAGCTATCGCACAGAACAGAAGAAGTGGAAGAAACAGCACTGGAGGCTGGCGGGTCATCGTGACTGGTGAGCCGCTATCAGGCCAATAGAATGATAGATACATGTTTTTTTTTTATAAAGTTTTAGCTGTGGATGTCTTCGGTTTAAGTATAAGGCAATATGGAAATTTTAAATCTAGGCTTGCCACAAAATAAGGTTGATAACAGTCAATGCATTTCTGAGTTACATAGAATGGCATTTCTCCCTCTCATGTTTACTTGTACCTTGGACTGCTTGGTGATTTATTTTATTTTATTTATTTATTTATATACAAGAAGGTGCATTGGGGGGTTAAGAAAGAACATAGAAATGAAGTTGATTTTACATTCTTGTAAAGCCACTAGCAGGCATAGTGTTTCAGGCAAAGTGATGCCTCGTCCAGGCTTGCCTGCCTGTACATAAGGTCTCGTACACTCATATTTCTGTAAAAACTACGGGCTCACCATAGCCCGTGCTACTTGGAACATTTTGTTCCAAGTAGCGAATCTTTAACAACAACATCCACATTCCTGTGAGAACGGACATATATAGGGAGGTGTGGCTCGCTTCTTTGTGTATATATGTGTAGTGAAAGCTTACTTTAGTCCTGGACAAAGTTGCTGGTAAGCACTTGTGATGGTCTTATTAATCCACCCTGTGGTTGATAGGCCGTATTAGCCCTCCCTGTGGTTGATAGGCCTTCAGCTCAACATCAAACCAGAGTTTTCAGTCACTGATACATGTCATGGCTAACTTAAACTCATTAAACATTTTTATTTTATTTAAAATTAAAACACAAGGAAAATAATTTTAAAGGAAGTTCATAATTGTTATTTTGTATATAAAATGTTTTACATTAAACTCATAAATCTCTTAACATTAGTAAAACCTGTTATTTAATTATTTTAATTTTAAATTAATTTTTTATTTATATATCCAAGAGTTCTTACATTCTTGTACAGACACTAGCACGCATGGCATTTCGGGCAAGTCCTTAATCCTATGTTCCCCAGAATACGACCCCCGCCAAATTGTTTAACAACCAGGTACCCATTTTACTGTTGGGTAAACAGAGGCTACAGTTAAGGATTGGGGCCCGGTAAACCCTTCCCGGCCAGGATATGAACCCAGCACAAAGCGCTTGCGAAACGCCAGGCGAGTGTCTTACCACTACGCTACGGGGACTAAACTAGCCACTAGCACGCATAGCATTTCAGACAGGTACTTAATCCTAATTTTCCCCGGAATACAACTCGCCTAATCATTTTTACCAACAGGGTTCCCATTCTGTGATGGGTGAACAGAGGCTATAGTACAGTTAAGGATTAACGCCCGATCAATCTTTCCCGGCCAGAATATGAACCCAGACCAAAGCGCTGGGCAAGTGTTTTATCATTAGCACCATGCCACTGCTCAAAATGTAAAATTAATACAAAATAAAGGGGTGTGAAAAATGTATGAAAGAACTACAAGTCTTTTTTGTCTAGGATTCATTCTAGCAAATTTATCGATTACTTCATTATAATCTGCCTCAATAGCCAACTCTTTCAATGGAGGGCAAAGCTAACCTCAGATAATCTATCCTAGCCCATTGTAAAATGAAGGTAGGATTTTGTGTTACAACCTTGTAAAGGATCATTCAGCAACTGCACTAGTTATTATTAACGTCAGAAAAATGTGGTCACAGCAACGTGTAAAGAGTACATTTGGAACAACTTAACTAATCTTTGGAGACCAGATAATACACCCAACATGGCGCTTGTTCTATCATAAGACTGATCATAACAATTATTGACAGGCACAAGTTTTTAATGGCTGGAAGAAGTATGTTGAAAAAATCTGCAAATGGTTACTATTTACACTTATCATTATCAGGTTTATTCCCACCTTACCATACATATCACCTATTCTATAACTCCTGGATGTCATACCAATCTCATTCTCTAAGCTATCCCACATAAATAATTACTTTTCACTGCCGTTCTCTCATATTGTGTATACAATGATAATTGCAACTTTACCTGTTCAAACTTTAATTTCACATACAAACACCTTTAATTCCAATATGATAAGTTATTGATTTTGCCATTTCATTCTATTCATTAACAGGCATATTCCAACAAATTATACCTGGTTTATTTTCACATTCCTTTATGAATTATAAAAATGCAAACTTTCAGAAATGATGGATTGGTATATTTAAGACACAATCATTTCATTGATTGTACATTTCTGTAATTTTAAATTTGAGCATTTTCTCAAGTTTCAACCATGTTTTCTTATATGGAATTGATAATTTCAGACATGGTTTCATGTGAAGTTTACCTTCAGTAAAGAAGATTAGAGGCTGGTATTATGGCCGTGGCTGTTTAGGAGGACAAGGCTGATATATTTAGTGGGACCACAACTGCACCTAACTATTATGTCTGCCCAGGCCAACAGCAAGGAATATGTACCCAGGATATCTCAGCTAGATTCCATGCTGCTAAGCAGCGAGGCATATTCGATAATTAAAAGTCAGTTGTTGAGTGCAGTGAAGTATGTTGGGCAAAAATTTGTTACAAAACTGGAACCAGAAATTGATGCAGGCCTTCAATATTTAATATTGAAATATACTGTCTATAGGGAAAGAAGCTCGGTTGGTCAGCAACTTTTGCAAATCAAATACGAAGAAGCAACATCGCTACAGAAACTACATAATTATATATTGACTGTAGTTTTAGGCAGATGGCTGAAACAAAGAATAGGGTTCATAACCTGTATTATTACAAAGAATGATAATGCTAAAGCTGCTGTTGATCAGTGTGTTAATTGGCTTGAAATAGTGTACAAAGTTCTACAGATTGTCAATTTGTTGGTGTTCCTTCAAAAGGGATATTATCCAACAGTTACTGAACGACTGTTTGGGCTTAGACACACATCGGCAAATCCAGGTAATGTGCGTAGAATCTCTTATACGTATTTCACAAGAGAGTTATTATGGCATGGCTTTGCAGAACTTTTGGCATTCATTTTACCATTGATCAATGTGCAATATTTTCATAGCATTGTAAAAAAAATTGTGCCAAGTTTAAGTGAAACTCACAATAATGCAGATGAGCCAGGAACAGAGTTTTCACCTCGTACAACTTGTGTTATATGTAATAAACTTCCAGTTCTTCCCCATAGTTTCGGATGTCGTCACTTAGCATGTTACTACTGCATTTACTCCAGTTATTCTTCTGATCCATTGTTCTCTTGCCTTTTGTGTGGTCACAAGATTGACAATAGTGTTCAAATATTACCTACTAGTAGTTAAGTACTGTGCTGTATCTTGGTTTGATTGATGAATATTTTTGTCAGATCAATAAGCTAAATAAAACTTAGTATTATGTGATTTAAATAAGTGCTTAAGAAAATACTTTGAGTTGTTCAGGATTAAAATATATTATGTTAAAATTGTAATTAAAAAATATATTATAACAAGGTAGGTCACTGATAGCTTTATACACATTCAAGTTCCAGATTATATTTATATACAGTACAATATATCCTAGAAGGGGGACTTGGCAGTACCTAAGTCCCTCTCTCTACCTTCCCCCCCAAACTCCCAATTCTCTTCCCCCTCTCCTACAATATCACTAACCTATAACACTATAAGAACAATTCACACAAGTCGTTTCATCAGCACACAATCTACAAACTAGGGTAAAAGTAAATCAAAGTTTTTTTGTTTTTTTTTGGCTTAACTGTGAAGCCAATCTTGTTCTCAACAATAGACCTATGGTGCTCCCATTTGTGAAAGATTGTATATACTTTTTAATATTAAAAGTTCTTAAATAATCTAATATGATTGTCATTCTATACTAGACCTTTGGCAACTGATTATCATATTTGGAAAAAATCCTAAAAGCCTTCGCTACCTTTCTGGGCATCATTTAACAAAACACCATTTCCAATGCATCACCATCCATTTACTGATGCCTATACAGTATATATTTTGAAACGTGGTGCTATGCAAAATTTCAAGGACTTTATGGACAAAGATATTTGTGATAAATTTATTAAATAATTTACTTAAATTAATTTTCAGAATGATGTCAACATGTCTTCACCTCACTACGGCCAAACTAAATTACTTAGAATATTTTTATATTTTTCTTATCGTTAGAAATAAATATTTTACACAATAAACAAGGAGAATTCTTTAATTTTGTGTACCTGGAAAGGGACCTAAAATAGTGTAGTTTGAAGGTTAAAGGGCAAGTATTATGAATAATACTGTATAATATTTTTTGCCATGACCAGTACATATGGCAGTTTCCAATATTTAAAGAAAATAATAATAAATATAATTCAGATTCGTGCCATATAGCGTTGAATTAATGTCTTAAACATTGTGAAATGTTCGTCGATGTTGACACCAGACACTGTTTTCTTTGACACCTATCCTGACCTGCCCATATATCTATTTTCATTATTGTACTGGTACTTTCCTCTTACAGTAAATTTGCATATTTTTTATATAAACAGTAGTAATCTCAAACTTCAAATGTAACAAATATGACTGGTGTTATATTTGAGCATAATTCATAGTAATTGCACATATTTGTTGTTTTAAATTACAACTTTTACATCAAATATGCAAATTAGTGAAAATGGCAGTTGATTTCAGTGATTAGATTATGCCAAGGGGGTAAGGCAATACTCTTAATTATTAGTTAGAAAAATAAACTAATCAATAACTTCACCTTGAATATACTGCATCTAAATATTTACTACATTGGCATGTCAAAAATAAAAGTATTTAATATTATGCAGTGTGGTTAAATGTTTATCTGGCAAACATTGTTCTCCAATTTGCCACTTTGATACAACAATGGCAAATTGAAAGTTACTCGGAGTAAGTCTCCTAAATTCAGTGCCCTTTTCCTTTATAAGTTCCCATCAAATTAACTTAATTGTGTTCATCTCTAAGTGGTTTATTGTATTTTCTTGTCAGTGTAGTAGTTTAATTGTTTACTACCACTACATGGTAACACTACTAAAGAAAATGTTAGAGGCCTGCATTAGGCTCTTAAAGGGTCATTTTTGGTTCCAGCTGTTAGTGTGTTACCTAACAAGAATATTTCCATTAAAATAGTACATATATTTATTTTTAAACATATCTTTATTTCTTAAATAAAAAATGAACCTGTGTAATGTTAGAATAATTCACAGGTGTTTAAAGCTTTAAATTCACTTTAGTTAATTATTGGGATTTGACCCACAACAGACTAGAGTGAACAACCCAAAGAGGTAGTGTCTTATTTAGACAAGAAGCAAAGCCAGATGACAACTATCAGTCACAATTGTTTTCAGTTGCTAATAAAGGGTATGGAAAACACACACATTCATTCACTTACTTTATTAATAATTAATTATAAGCAAAGTAATGAATATTCTTGACCAAACAAAGTAAGCTGTGTCAAAAGTTTGACACTTCAAAACCCTCACGACATTTTTTCTAAAGGTTCTAGCGGATCACATTCACCTGAAAAGTAAAGTAGTAATTAATTAAATATACATATACTGTATTCAAATTCTAAAAAGAGCAAAACAATATTGAACTAATCCACAAGGGCAGTGACGAGGATTCGAACCTGCGTCTGGGTGCATCCCAGATACTGCCTTAATCGACTGAGCTATGCCAGGGTTACAAGGGTAACATCCTCGTCACTGCCCTTGTGGATTTATTCATTTGATGCATCACGTTAGTGTGATTGTGTGTGTGTGTGATTATTGAACTATTACTTGCAATTAGTTAGAATTCCATCCTGGGCATGTTTCCAAGAGGAAAGGAAAATTTTTAGGGTATATATCAGGCAAAACATTTGACACCAAAACTCATGCTCCTAAAATTCCTAATGAAACAGTCGGTAGATAACATAATTACTCACAATATCATCAATCTTGAGAATAGAGCGTACACACTCTGCAGCAAGTGTGATGGCAGAGGTAGAAACCAAAAGGGGCTGCAGTACATTTTCTTCAATGATGTTGCTGATGCTTCCCTAATAAGAAAATACAGATACAGGATAAGTTTCTGACCATAGCTGATCAAGGAATCCCATGACCCATATTTATGACCTCTCAATACCAGAAATTGTATATTCATTAATACAATCCCCACCAATAACACATACTGTATTAAAAAAAATATTCCTAAAGACAAAATGCCAACATGGCATATGTATTGTACGATATGAGCATAGGAGGAGAGAGCACATGTACTGTATGGGCATTGGTAGGCTGTTGGCAAGAGATGGAGTCAGGACTTACCCAATCACCGAGGATCAGTTCTTTTATCATCATAAGTACATGTTTTTAAGTCAATGTGATAAGGCATTCTGAAGATATAGTGAAGCTTTGACAAGAAAGATTAAAGTGAAATATAAATTGTCTGAACTTTAGAAAACACTGGAGAGCTTGGTCAGAAGACTATTCTTAAATAATGATCTTTTGACCAAACTCTTCAATATTTTCCAGAGATCAGAAAAGTACAGTACTTTATGTGAAGTTAATTTTGACAAATAATGCAGAAATAATATGACTATCAATTCCAATTCCTACTTTCATCGATTTAAGGAAGTACCATTTGGGGGGGAGGAGAAAAGGGTAGCAATATATTAAGTCTGATGTAATAAAATAACTGCCATTCTCTGTACATACTGACTATACAATTACAAAACCCCGATATAGAGCACCGCAAATAAACAAGCATTTTCATAACAGCAGCAAGTTGTTATGCTCCCTCAAACTGCAGACATCCAGTATGTTGTTCACACACATTTGTTTTCTCTCTTTCTCACTCACTCTTCAAGTCAACTCCTCATAACCCTGGCCTTCCTACCTTAAAAATCACTCGCTACCAATCTATCATCTATTCCTTCAGAGCATGCTTAAACCATTTTAATACATCTTCAAACCTGAGTCATCAAAATTGGCACAACATCTTTTGAAGACTTGAATTCTTACTATGCTTTTCTACTGCTTATAGAAATTTCACATTCTCACCACACCACCATCACAGCCATATGCAATGAGAGGAATTTAGAAAATTTCATGCAGTTTTCTGTTCACATATTTCTATATTTTTCTAGGTAGGGATTTGATTGACTCGGCCATTTATTTCCAAGACTCATTCCACTTTTAATTTTGCCTCTATGCAATATATAACCACACTCCAGTTTTTATTCTCTTGTATAATTTTGTTCAACCTTACCCATCGACATCAAACAAAATATAACCTTACAGCTGCATTACTATACAGTACTTTAAATTTAACCATACAGGAAACTTATTCTAAATGATTGCTAATCTCTAGCATTTTTTTTAAGAATTTCCCTACCTTGCGGACATTTATGCCAGCATGAGTTTCCCCACGGGCATGTCTGTTACGCAGCTCGGTCACTGTTGAGATGGGACTAAGACCAGCATTTTCAGCCAATATACCTGGGATTACCTCCAGAGATTCAGCAAAGGCCCTGAAATAAAAATTATTTATCACTAGCAAAATATCCTTTGCACTAAATTTGTTTTCTTGCATATTCTAAAAAAAAAAAAAAAAAAAAAAAAAAAAAAAAAAAAAAAAAAAAAAAAAAAAAATTCCCTTTACATCATGATAAAAATACACAATGCAAAGGCAAGCAAAACATTTACTCAATGTACAATGCATTATTATTCCAGGAAAATGTGTATTCTGTGCACTAGGTATTTGCAAAAATATAAATTTATTAATAAAACATTTACAAATTACAGGGACATTAAGATTTAAGCCTAGTAATAAACATTCATGCCCTTCAGAATACCCTAAATGTACATGGAGTATATAGCCAATGTCAAGTGATGGAGTGCTAAATAAGTGAAACCAGAACACAGTACAGTATATATGACCCACAATTTTAAGATTCATAGATGGTTCTGGAGAGCAAACTGTCACCAGAGGACCACATCATAGGCATAGTAAATGGGACCTATGGTACTCTGGCTCATTTCCAAATTAGCAACACAAATTGTTCCTGACATACCTAACAAATTATAATATGCATCACATGTATAGTACAGTATCTACAAAGGTATCTCAGAAAAATACAACACAGAAGTTACAAAGGCAGCCACTAAATGGCTCCATAACCTGACAAAAACACTAAAGTAGAGGCATTTAAAATGCCAAACCTAGAAGACAGAAGAAAAAATGGCAGTATGATGACATACGTAGTGAAAGAAATTCCCTGGGAATATCCCTGGGGGAAAAAAAAAAGTTTTTTAATTCTAATTTATTCAATATTCATAACTTTTCCACCACTTGGTCTAATGCTCTGCAGTATGTTGTACTTACGGGGGTAAAGCTCCTTGGATCTCTCCACTCGACCTGTAACCAACTGTTGAATTCTAATGACTATTACCTATCATATCTATATTTAAAGCTGTGAATGGAGTTTGCCCACATTTCACTTCTTGGCATGTTCCATTTATTTACTATCCTGATACTAAAAATTCTTTCTACTGTCTCTGTGGCTTATTTCAGCACTTTGCTTTCATCTATGTCCCTTTGTTCACGTACAACTCATGCTAAGTAGCCAATTCTATCTATTCCACAGATCTTGTCTACCCTATTTCTTCTTTTCCAGTGACATGAGGTTAAAACTCCTATGGTACTGTAACTTGTACCTCTCAACTCAAGGACCAGTCTGGAGGTATAACTTTGAACCTTCTCCAGCTTTAATGATGCCTGTGATTGCAACAGATTCGTTATTTTCCAAACCTATAACTAGGTAACCTTAGCTGTAAAATGCTTACCTGAAGCAGTAGGCATCCATGCCTTTAAGTGTATGAGCATACTGTGTTAACTTGACTGATAACTCTGCTTCTGGTGCTCCTCCACCAGGAATCAAGAACCTCTTTTTAACCAAGCAGCGAATCACACAGAGTGCATCATGAAGGGATCTGTCTGCTTCCTCTAAGACCTGAAATGTTGGGAATAAACATGAGAATGTATTCATATTACATACATTCATAAGGTGAGAGAATGTCAAAAGGATTATTCAAGACATTACATCTAGTTTCTCACTATACTGTACTGCAGCTACTTTAACTATCTCTGATGTATTTTTACACCAGTGCATCACTGCATGGCTTTGACTGAGATTTGCTTGGAGTATTGTACCAGTGATGAAATCTAATTAATCCAACTTTGAAGGCTATACAATTAACTAATAAAAATATATATACCTACTTATCCAACTATTGGTGAGTAACAGGATATACAATACAGAATCAATGGCTATATGGTTAGATTAATCAGTGTTATTACACTATATACATGCTATATATAATTACCTACATTTTTGTGCACCACAATGAACCACTATAATGGTCTGTTTTAAGTTTACACACACACAACCATGATCCAAGACCAGCCTAGCACCTGGCGACTAAGTGTGGCAGTGGCTACCGCAAATACATTTACATAATTATTTCAATGTCTTTGAATGGGTTTATATCTAGTTTTTTTTTGGCAGTATTATTATTCAATAGTGTGTAATTTGAGGAATTTGTATAGTTAAATATGTGGAATATCGCTATGGTAAAAAGATATGGTGCTGATATCTAGTGACATATTCTTCGATCAATGAAACTGCTTTTGTTGTTATTACACCATATATACATATTTTATAATCTATATATTTTTTGTATAAACCATAATGAACTACTAAGTAATTCTGGTGTGTGGTGATGAAATCTTAGCACACTATTGAGCTATACGCTACAACCAGATGATTTTTTTTACCACATCATTCTTCAAATCTGCACTTTATATTGTATTAACACCCTACTTTGGATCTTAATGGTCTATCAATGTTATGAATGCCTTCGTAATCCTTAAAAGAGACTTCCTGTCACCCAACAGCAGGAATATTAATACAATTCATCACTAATATTAAATCTCTTGGCACTCTTTTAAAAATTAAAATGCTCTCACCTGCTTATTGCTACCCCTAAGCAGTATTGACACAGTTCGTCCTGGGTTCTGCACTCCTGTAACTTTGACAAATTTGCTATTACCAGTTTGAATTTCTTCTGCCAGTTCAGCTGTACCCATGGATTCTGGAGTAAAATGATCCAAGGAAGCAACAGGTCGGCATCCAAGCGTTTTACATACAAATTCAATATCTTCACGTTCAATATCCTTCACAACCATAATTTTCTGCTTAGCCAGAAGATGAAGGGCCAAATCACTCACAGCATCCCTAGTAAAAAGAAAATTATTTACAATTAACAACAAGAAATTCACCAAAATTTATTACTTTAAAATAAAAAATTAACCAGATACTGTATGTTGTAACCTATAACACTCGGTTATCATTGTATGTTAAACCCTGAGATAATGTCATTATTGTCATTTGCTGACCACCAGTCAACCAACGTTTCTTTTCACAGCTCGGGGGGTTCAGCGTTATGTGACTCATTTCAAAATTGCCTTTATATTATGCATGGATGAAAAAATGCTTATAAAATTGTTCAAGACATGAAGAAATTTGAATATAAAAATCATGCTACAATATATGATAAAGTACCTCTCTGTTCATATATATATGTGTCCCCATCTGTTGAACTTATTCACAATATTTGGTCAACAGATAAAACAAAATTTAAATGCATAATTCGACCAAATATTAAAGATCTTAATAACATAGGCACTAAACATTTAATATGTATTTGTTAATGAATATCATACCTAAGGATGGATTTCTGAATAAGAAGAACGTTACACCCCGCAGCCTTAATTTTCTTTGTAATATTGAGAATATACTGGCGTTCCTCACGTAGGACACGATCCATGGCAGCATAATCACGAATAACAACAGTGTTATCCATCTGCAAATATTCAGGGACTTGAGAACAATATTACTGTACAAGACAATTAAGCATTAGACAGTGAATGCTTTGTGATGCATGTCATATACAGTTATAGGTGCCAGTATTGGTGCATATAGGCAATTGTACATGCAGACCTTTTTTTTGTTTAGTGTCGAATTGTGTATACACGTGACAAATGCTATTATATTAAAAAGTTACAAAACAATCATTCATCAAAAACAAAGCTTTAAGACGCTTTTCATCATAATCCTTTGCCTGCTCCCTAGAGCAAGATCCTTCATGACCAGGGACAGGATCATACAGCCAAGTAGAACACACTACTAGTATGGTGGTGTAGGGCAAGGGCAGGTGGTGTAAGGCAGCCACAGAGCAGGCAGTGTACTTGTCTAACAGTGATTATGGGTACCCAAAACTGAGCTCTATGCCCAGTCACAACCATTTATTTCTCGGCCAGGATTTATTAAGCATTTATGCAATCACTTACAAATCCTGTGCATCTTTCCTCAATCATGATGACTTGCATTTATTAAGCAATTTACAAGCTAGGCTACATTAAGTAAACTACAAATTTATCCTGCTTTCATACTCTATAATTTTGCAAATACAGTAATACAAAAACAATGCAAGAAGTGTGTTTTGTACGAGATCTTTTCTACTTACATCAGTTTTTGGTGGAGAAATACAAAACTGAATTAGCCCAATCTTGACCTTTTCCACCTTGTTTGGTCCACCATAGCCCTGTGTCTTCTGTGTGAATACAATACCATCCACTAATTGTGAATCTTCAACAGTTTCACCAAGCTTTTTGATGATACGTATGTCTTTAAGATCTACATTTGTATCTTGAGTAGGGTTCACTATCTTCAGGACAGCATCCACTGCCATGGGGGCCAGCATGCCCGAGTGTTCATGTACAACCTATGATAAAGTTATAATAAATATTTAAACATTAATAACAATATTCACTTCAGTACTGCATTCATATGCTGCTTCATAATATTCATAAAATAAAATTGGCCTGAAAGAACTTTGATGTGATTATTAAAAAAAAAATGTAATGCATATATAAACAGAACTAAGTATGTTTTAAGCATAGCTTGTATACTGGTTTAAAATATGGACGTACTAAGGAAAGGAATAAAAAAAGATCTTCAAACCTCCAAAAACACAGCTCCTTCACCCAGCAATAAGGTACATATTCACATATTTTAATCTTCCTACATTTTGCATAAAATTTAATAATTCTACTGTATATAAATAACTGCACAATGTGGGTTAATATTTTGACTCCAAACTTTTTTCTGACGATTGCATTATTGCATCTGATAGACAAAATAAAGATTATGTTGTATAATAATTTTTTTTATATAGGCAAGGGTTGGTTAAGGTGGGTTTATACTTGCCTAATTCTGCAATAGGATTACTAAAGTTACACTACACTACTCTCTTGTGTAAGGTAACTAAGAACAGTGTATATGCATCACAGTGGTTGTAGTCTTCCCCCCCCCCCCACAAATAAAATGTTATTTGTCAGGGGCCTGACCGATTGAAGAAATTCTCAATGCAACTAATCTGCTTTGCCTCAGACTGGTTCGTTAAAACAAGTTCATATTAAAGATGGTGAACCACAGTTTTGTATTATTACACCTGTTATATTGATAAACATTTATTACTACAAAAAATTGCAAGCAATACACACTACTAAATGAATAAACAATTAACCGACTGGAATTTTTATTTTACCTTTGAATTCAAGGATGTGTTTGCACTCTTCAGGAGTGATGACCTATCAGTTAGATCCACAGGGATAGCCATGGATTCCAAAACCTCGACAGCCTTACTAGAAAAGTGTAATAGCGAGTCTGAAATCGTTGCTGGATGGAACCCTTTTGTTAGAAGCTTCTGGGATGTTTCCAACATGGAACCTGAGACATTTGAAAATAAATAAATAAATATATTTCACTATATACACATTAGTGCTGTACTAATGTTGTTTGGTTATTTCTTCTTATTTTAACTAATTTAAATACTATGAGTTGGTTACAAAATATGAAAAAAATCTAATACTGTATAACATTCGCTGTTACCTGCCAGGATGACAACACTGGTAGTACCATCTCCAGCTTCAGCATCTTGTGCTTGAGAGAGCTCAACAAGCATCTTGGCAGCTGGATGAAGAACTTTCATCTGGTTTAAAATAGTTGCACCATCATTTGTAATAGTAACTTCACCCTTTCCATCTTGAATCATCTTGTCCATGCCTCTTGGCCCAAGGGAGGTCTTGATAGCATCAGCTACAGCTGTAAGTGTTTGAGAATGATTATGATAGTAATGAATACAAGGTAATGTTCATTATAAAGTTTATAAAAATTATGCTAAACACTTACAAGACACTGCTTCATTCAGTTAGCTTGGAGTAAATTAAACCTTTTTATATTTAATTCTATGAAAATACATATAGGGCTTTAAGGTCCACTGTGACACAATGACAGTTTATGAATCCATGTCTAGGGGGCTCTTCTATCACACATTATCTACTTCAGGGTTTTGAATCTTTCAAATGTTAGCCATTGAGTAAAATTATATATATTTTTAAACAATTTACAAGACAATAGAGTTTTTGTAAAGCCACTAGAATGCATAGCGTTTCGGGCAGGCCCTCGATCCTAATTTTTCCCCAGAATACAACCTACCAAATTGTTTAGCTACCAGGTACCCATTCACTGTTTCGTGAACAGAGGCTATCGTTAAGGATTGGCACCCAGTCAATTCTCCCCGACTTGGATACGGATCCAGGTCAAAGCGCTTGCGAAGTGCCAGGAGAGTGCCGTGGCGCTTTACCACTGCACCACGGAGATTGCACAATTTGTCATTCTAGTCCTAACATGCAACAGCTTCACTGAACACAAGCCAACACAAAATACTGTAAAATAATAATTTGAGGATTCACATGTATCCTCCTGACAACTTGGAAATACAATATACAATAAACTAGATGGGGGCAGCTGGCAGTGCCGGTGTCGACCCCACAACAGAGCGTCAGTAGAGTCGAGAACACCCAGGAGTGCACAATTTTTTTTTTTTTTTTGAGATATATACAAGAGTTGTTACATTCTTGTACAGCCACTAGTACGCGTAGCATTTTGGGCAGGTCCCTGGAATATTATCCCCGCCGCGAAGAATCGTTTTTGTAACCAAGTACCCATTTTACTGTTGGGTTAAACAGAGGCTACAGTTAAGAATTTGCTCTCAGTAAATCCTCCCCGGCCAGGATACGAACCCATGACAAAGCGCTCGCCGAACGCCAGGCGAGTGTCTTACCATACACACTACGGAGACTGGCAAATTTGTCATTCTACTATGAGAACACTTAGCATGTACTGGCTATGATAACCAGAGTGCTCAGTGAAGTGTCACTCTCAGTATTTACACACACACACACACTGTCACTACACACCCTAGACAGTTTACCAGTAGATTTTAAGAAACGCCTATTAACCTCAAGGTAACCTGCACTTACAACACATCATAACCTAATAATGTATTGTAAAATATGTATACGGTCTTGACAATTAGCAAACGGGCATTCTGGACCTCCCGTGTGTATAATCTCACAACCCCACACACCAACAAATAAAACCTCTACAGTAAAACATCACAGTAAAGCAATGACTCATGCCGCCCTTATGCATTAAAAAAATATTTTTAAATCAATACAGTTGACGAAAAATATTTAATACATAAAACCGTATACAATCTACAGTGGAACTACTCGCTGGTTAAATCCTGCTACTTATAGACGCCTCATGCCTTACCTTTAGCTGCAATTATATTGCTACTCCTGATCTGGGCGGGTTTCTCCTTGTCCTTAAATTCAGATTTACTTTGCCTCTTAACGGCGGTGGGACCCATCTTCATCGACATTTTATATATTTAAGATGGCAGCTGCGACGTGAGAGGCACAAGTGCGAGGAGGAGTGTGGTATGGGGTGGATGGAGGAGGATAGAGATGCAGGTGACGCCGGCCAACAACAGTGGTGGTGATGGTGCCGGGGTGGACGGCGGTGTGGAGGACCACTACTATCCCCCTGACACCCCCCCCCCCCAACCAGACCAAAACAACAACCCCCGCAGGAACACCCAGATGGTGGGAGATGATCGTTGTCTTCCTCCACTACTGTCGTAGATAACATTTATACCTGTAAAATATTTAATTAGTTAGTTATTTAATTAATTGATTTGTTTAATTATTTTTTATTTATTTATTCCCTCTAACCATTCAGTTGATAGCGGTAGAAAGTTTAATATTATATGCATGCACTACCTGTAGCTAAGTAAACAATTGAGACTTTTTTTGGCTTAAATTTCTCATAGTGCATAATTTCCAATGACTACTTGAGACAAGACTGATTCCATCGTTGATTATTTTATTGCATCAGTGCCTTGTTTCAGAAACAAGCATGTTAGTTATGTCTTTGCAGTCTCCGTGGTGTAGTGGTAAGACACTCGCCTGGCGTTCCGCGAGCGCTATGTCATGGGTTCGTATCCTGGTCGGGGAGGATTTACTGGGCGCAATTCCTTAACTGTAGCCTCTGTTTAACGCAACAGTAAAATGTGTACTTGGATGAAAAAACGATTCTTCGCGGCAGGGGATCGTATTCCAGGGACCATAGGATTAAGGACTTGCCCGAAACGCTACGCGTACTAGTGGCTGTACAAGAATATGTACAAGAATGTAACTCTTGAGGAGTTGAGTGCAATCAGGAATTGTAGCGGATACTTCAATTATTTACATATATTATTTAGCATGTTGTTGTTTTAGATTTAGCTACTAAGAACGAAATGTCCATGTAGCACGGGCTATGGTGAGCCCGTAAAGATTATTTAGCAAGCGCTGAGCTCTTACATATGGCCAGTTCAAGTTGCGCGGTGTACCTAGCCAAGGGTTGCCAGATCCAAATTGCTGAAAGTAGCGAGCTGACGGTCTAAAAGTAGCGAATTTGTAATAAGAGTAGGCCAATTTTTTGTTTAGTGACTGATACGGGTTTCAAAGTAATATATTTTGATATATAGAGTACACTACACGATTTTAATTGTTTTATTAATATTATTTCTGCACACACACACACACACACACACACATTATTATATTATATAACTGAAAACTCACACCCCAGAAGTGACTCGAACCCATACTCCCAGGAGCGACGCAACTGGTATGTACAAGACGCCTTAATCCACTTGACCATCACGACCGGACATAATGAGGTGATAGCCGAGGCTATTTGAACCACCCCACCGCCGGCACTCGGATAGTAATCTTGGGCATAGCATTTTACCAAATCACCTCATTCTTTGGGGAACACGTGAGGAACACAAATGCGAACAAGCCTGAATGGTCCCCAGGACAATATGCAACTGAAAACTCACACCCCAGAAGTGACTCGAACCCATACTCCCAGGAGCGACGCAACTGGTATGTACAAGACGCCTTAATCCACTTGACCATCACGACCGGACATAATGAGGTGATAGCCGAGGCTATTTGAACCACCCCACCGCCGGCACTCGGATAGTAATCTTGGGCATAGCATTTTACCAAATCACCTCATTCTTTGGGGAACACGTGAGGAACACAAATGCGAACAAGCCTGAATGGTCCCCAGGACAATATGCAACTGAAAACTCACACCCCAGAAGTGACTCGAACCCATACTCCCAGGAGCGACGCAACTGGTATGTACAAGACGCCTTAATCCACTTGACCATCACGACCGGACATAATGAGGTGATAGCCGAGGCTATTTGAACCACCCCACCGCCGGCACTCGGATAGTAATCTTGGGCATAGCATTTTACCAAATCACCTCATTCTTTGGGGAACACGTGAGGAACACAAATGCGAACAAGCCTGAATGGTCCCCAGGACAATATGCAACTGAAAACTCACACCCCAGAAGTGACTCGAACCCATACTCCCAGGAGCGACGCAACTGGTATGTACAAGACGCCTTAATCCACTTGACCATCACGACCGGACATAATGAGGTGATAGCCGAGGCTATTTGAACCACCCCACCGCCGGCACTCGGATAGTAATCTTGGGCATAGCATTTTACCAAATCACCTCATTCTTTGGGGAACACGTGAGGAACACAAATGCGAACAAGCCTGAATGGTCCCCAGGACAATATGCAACTGAAAACTCACACCCCAGAAGTGACTCGAACCCATACTCCCAGGAGCGACGCAACTGGTATGTACAAGACGCCTTAATCCACTTGACCATCACGACCGGACATAATGAGGTGATAGCCGAGGCTATTTGAACCACCCCACCGCCGGCACTCGGATAGTAATCTTGGGCATAGCATTTTACCAAATCACCTCATTCTTTGGGGAACACGTGAGGAACACAAATGCGAACAAGCCTGAATGGTCCCCAGGACAATATGCAACTGAAAACTCACACCCCAGAAGTGACTCGAACCCATACTCCCAGGAGCGACGCAACTGGTATGTACAAGACGCCTTAATCCACTTGACCATCACGACCGGACATAATGAGGTGATAGCCGAGGCTATTTGAACCACCCCACCGCCGGCACTCGGATAGTAATCTTGGGCATAGCATTTTACCAAATCACCTCATTCTTTGGGGAACACGTGAGGAACACAAATGCGAACAAGCCTGAATGGTCCCCAGGACAATATGCAACTGAAAACTCACACCCCAGAAGTGACTCGAACCCATACTCCCAGGAGCGACGCAACTGGTATGTACAAGACGCCTTAATCCTTATGGGTTCGAGTCACTTCTGGGGTGTGAGTTTTCAGTTGCATATTCTTGGCTTCGGCGGGTATGCGTTTCCACAACTGTATAATTCTATAGGAGAAAACAAATATTTTCCATCCTTCAGTGTGGCTTATTGAGCTCGAAACCGTTGCTCCTTGTTCGTCTTACATCTAGCCTTTTGAAGAAGTGTTCTGGGTCAATATCTTCCAAATTGTTCAGTAATTTAAAAGTTTTGCCGAGAGCAGCCCTGTCATGTCTGGTCCCTGTGGCCCTCAACCGTTCCCGGTATGAAAGTCGACTTAGTTCGGGAAAGATTTTATTCGCCCGGTGTTGAACTTTCTCCAAAACAGATATGTCTTTCTGAAGATGAGGTCTCAATGCGTGGATATAATAATCAAGTGGAAGCCCACCAGAACTTAGCCCAAAAGTAGCAAGTAGCGAAATTAAAAATTTGGGAGCGTGGGGCTCTCAAAAGTAGCCCAATTCGCTACTTGTAGCCCAATCTGGCAACCCTGTACCGAGCTCAACTGGCTTTATAATTATCGTACCTCGGGAATTTGTTGTTCGAGAAGGTCCTCGAAGTAGAATTTGACAGATAATAGGCATTCATACTTAATAAAATAATGTTTTAAAAATTAGTGAAACATATTTTAATAATTTAAGGATTAATAGTTTTCAAATTAAAAGTTGATAATGGGATCTTAACTTTGTAAATCATAAAGACAAGATAATAAATTATAGACAAGATAACATTGGTGCCTTCCCTTCCATATGATAGATAGAGTGAATAGGCAACATTAGGCCACATGAAATTGTTCAAGTCTCTTTGAAAAATATGAACTGTATTTTATGACTTTTATTCTGAAGATTTAACTTCTCTGTAATCCATAGGCATCTCGTTCTGTATATATTATAAGATTAGTATGTTAATTGAAATTGAAATTGAAATAAGTTTATTGAGGTAAAATACACACAAAGGGATGAGGTAGCTCAAGCTATTCTCACCCCATTAGTATGTTAATTAGTAAGTTAGATTAGTAAGATTAGTATGCCCGAAACGCTTTGCGTAATAGTGGCTTTAGGCATTGTATGTACTAGCCCTAACTATAAATCCATCACTCTTTGTAAAATCTCTTTTATGTATGTACCTTACCTAAATAAACATTTTGATTTTGATAATAAAAAAATTAACATATATAAATATAAATGTATATACTGTATATATATGTATATATTGTGATTTCTTTAACGTCATATTCAGTATAATATAACATTTTCATACATTTTTGCTGAATTAAAACTAAACCCACACATTGCCAAATATAATATTTCTTAAATTTGGTGCAGTAACGAAGGCGGTGGAGGGTTGGGAGGGGTAGGAGGGTCTCTATGGTAAACAAACTACCAGGTCGAGCTGGTGTCGGAGATTGGTGTGAAATGGAGAATCATCAGAGTGAAGAGAGGCCCACTAAACCTTGCGAATACGATCCTAGTAAGATATCAGTCATGTTACGTTATTACCGACGGCAGGCACTAAGATGGTATAACCCAAGGCAAGACGGTCGGTGAAGTTTAATGGGGGCCTTTCCCAAGCCGCCGTCTGGAGCGCTGATGGGGCTCTTGCAAACGTTTTAGTTCTGTTTGATTTATATAGTGACTAGTTCTGCATGGTGCGTATATAGTGGTGGATAGTTCTGTATAGCGACATATAGTAGCTAGTTCTGCATGATGCAATATTGTATGATTGCCCAAAATGCTTTGCGTAATAGTGGCTTCATTAGTTTGTGTAACTGCTGTCCCCACAATTGTTCATTACTCCTATGTTCTCTTATACACACATTCTTTGGAATCAGAATTTGAATAGTGACTAGTTCTGTATGATGCACAAAGTAGCTAGTTATGTATGATGCATGTAGTGGCTAGTTTTGTATGTTGCATTGTAGTGACTAGTTCTGTATAATGTCATATAGGGACTACTTCTGAATAATACCATGTAGTGAGTAGTTCTGTATATGGCCATGTAGTGTATGATTCATATCTGTATGATTTGGTCTGTAAAATGCATGTAGTGATTAGTTCTGTATGATGCATGCAGTGGTTAGGTCTGTATGATGTATGTAATGGTTAGTTCTGTATGATGCATGTAGTGGCTAGGTCAGTATGATGCATGTAATGACTTGGTCAGTATTCACCTAGTTCTGCTTGCGGGGGTTCAGCTCTGCTCTTTCAGCCCGCCTCTCAGCTGTCAATCAATGAACTGTTACTAACTTTTGTTTCACACACACACACACACACACACATCCAGGAAGCAGCCCGTAACAGATGTCTAACTCCAATGTACTGTACCTATTTACTGCTAGGTAACAGGGGCATCAGGGTGAAAGAAACTTTGCCCATTGTTCCTCACAGGTGCTGGGAATCAGACCCAGGCCACAAGATTACAAGTCCCATGTGCTGTTCACTCAACTACCAGCGTCCTATGATGTATGATGCATGTAGTGGTTAGGTCTGTACGTACATGTAGTGGCTGGTTCTGTATGATGCATGTAATGGCAAGTTCTGTATGATGCTTGTGGTGACTAGTTCTGTATTATACATGTAGTGACTAAATAAGGAGTCGGCAGCCTTCAATTAACCTTCAAGGCGGCATACCTAAGCTGTTTAGGACACAGATCAAAACAGAGTGTGAAGAGAATTATAGCCATTTTCTATATTTTGTAGACATAAGCAATTAGAAAATAACACTAACAACCCAGGGACATAAACTGTGTTATTGAAATATACTTTACATAAAAGTGAGAACTGATGGTTGTTCGAGCTTATCGGAAAGAATATCTTTCACTTTCAATATTGAGAGCATGCTTCTGAAATTAATTTACTCTTACGTAGTATAAATGTTAAGGGGAAAAATACTAAAATAAGAATGTTTATATATCTGTATATGACGAAAAGATTTAATTTTCAGATGTTAATCAAGATGAACTCATCATGGCACAGGAAAAACAAATTGCTGAGGAGGTAAAGTATTTTGTGTTAATGCGAAAGTTAGTTCCCTCAATTTCTCACTCATTTACTCTTTCTCACATGTACACACAAGAACCACCTGTTTCAACTACAGAGATATAAGAAAATACTGTATAACACAGTATACTGTATTTATTTACCATGTATGCAGTAAAAACTTGTAATAATTGAATGGAATAAATGGTAGAAGCAAACTCCTCCTACAACTATAAAAACAGGTATGATAAAGAATTGAAGGATGGTAAACAGTAATAGCAGACTATAGTGCCAATAACTGGACTTGACAGCTACAACTCTCTCCCTGCAAATGATAATAAGCTAGGACACTTACATCACCTCCACCCCCTCCCACTCATCTATATATTTGAAAGCTTGTATGACTCTGATTTCATTGGGGTACATTTGATATATGATGTAATAATATACTGTATGCTGTACTGTATAACAAGTTCATATTTACTGTTCATTATTATAGTTCAGAATCATCTTTTATAGTATGCTGTATATTATATGTACTGTATTGTCTCTGTCTACAGATTAAAGCCAACACTTCAATGGTAGGGCCACTTGATGGCCTCGGTTCTCTAGAAAAGGAATATTCAAATGATCCAATATACTTTAGCAAGGTCAGCTGTTTGTTTATTATACTGTTTATACATTTTTTGTTGTTAGCAGGTATACAAGAAAATTAATACAGTATTATAAATATTTACACTTATTAAATTAGTTACCCAAATGAATTTAGGATTATTTTGTTTATGTAGTTAGTTTCATTCATTATTACAATAATGGATGAAACTAATGAAATAACTAATAAGATAATGAAAGATGAAGTCTTTAATGCACATGCACTATCATTATCTTATTACCACCTTAATGGGGTGGGGAGCAAAAGAAAAGTAATATACAGGTACTGTAGTAAAATAAAGTTTCATTGTACTCAATAGGTATTAAATCCATTAAAACATAATTTATCTATTCTTGATATAATTGTCAATAAACATGTAGCATCATGGAAAACAAATAATATACAGTAATGTACAGTATTGTAATAGTTTGGCTAGTATCTCGGCAAGTAGTCTGAAGGAAAGGAAAGCACTCCCTCCTAACATGTGACTTTTGCAGATATATTACACCTACAGATCCTTTCTGGGTCTAATTAAAATAATTTATGGACTCCCTAGTGATAGTAAAATTTGATGTGCATAATTTTATCATTGGTGGGCTCATTAGCTGCAGTTTGAACATGACATTATTATAAAAGAAAAAACATGTTATTAAAATTGTGTGTTTATCTTCCCCCCCAACAGGTTAGAACTCTACTACCCAAATTTTCAAATGTACGTCGTACCAGACCAGATGGCAATTGTTTTCTCAGAGGTTTTATATTTGCTTACCTAGAATACTGTATCCACCACAGGGATGAGTTAACTAGGTGAGTATGATTTGTGGGTATGACCTTCAGTAGAGATACTTTATGGTTTTGTCCTGTTTGTTATTTTGGTTTGTTTCTTCTGACAGATTTAAGTTATCTTAAGCACTTAATCTTAAATATCACCATCACGACCACCATCATTATGACCACCACCACCACACCTGCTATCGACACCAACTCTTCCATCACCACCACCTTTGCCACTGCCATGAGCATCACAACCACCACCATGAGCATCACTCATGGTAATGGTTGGTCCCAAGGTCCCCACGCTTAGCTCGCATCCTCACTCACCTGATCACACTTCCAGGTACATGAAAGCTCTCACAAAGCCCATTCTCAGCTTCATCCTTAAGCTAAGCTGTGTTGCCTATTCCTGGAACATTAGTTTTACTGGGAGCCATTACTTTTTTATTTTTCCTTCATGATTGCATTTTATGCCACCCACATCACATGTGCCTTAGCTTTGTATTTTACTCAGATTGTGGGTCAGAATTATCTTTTTTTGCTAGTTGGTGTGCATTTTCCCTGCCCATGAAGGATACCTTTTCTGAGGGCCAGCTTGTTCCTCTACAAGCTGGCTCTTCCCTTGCTTCCAGGCACCTTATGCAACTTGTTCTTGACTGTGATGCCTGTTCATTGGGAGTCCTGTAATCAACTGTGTTGTCTAACAAACTGCTTGTCTGTTCATACATGTGCCTCATTCCTCTAAATGAGGTAACATTTTACCTTTCTTGGAAATGATCTGCATTTAATCATCTCTTGTTTAATAGTGAGTGATCTGTATTTGTAGGGTAGCCTAATTGCTGGTGTTTTAAACAAACATGTACAGATATATGACTCTAAATTCAAATGTGGAATTGAAATTTGAAGGAAAGTTGTCAGGCAAAAGAATGAAGAAATAGGATTATAAATGTTGAATGGGATAGTGTTTTAAGACTTTATTTACAGAAATGTGCACCATTGTGTAGATAAGCCAGAGATAACACTGGCAAGTGTTTGAGTGGAAATACATATGAGTGTGGTGGATGAATTGGTAAATATGGTGAAATTATAAGCTTTCATAAATATTGTGCTTCTAATGATTATATGGTAATTTGAAAGCAACTGTGAATGTTAAAATGTTTTATGAATAAAGCCTTTATCGTTTCACCCATCTGTTTATCGTTCTATAAGGCTATGTGCAATTACAGTATAAATGATGCATTATATTTTGATTGATTCATGCTTCTCTTCAATTACCTTACATGATTTTGGCTTTAAATTTCCAGGTTCAAGAAATATCTTGAAGGAAGCAAAGAAGAACTCTTTGAGATGGGTTTTCCTAAATTTACTACTGAAGATTTTCATGATATGGTAAGTGTTTTAATAAATGTAGTGTCTTGCTTTGGTATCCAGTGATAAGAGGGGGGGATAATGTAATGAACACAAAACAGTGGATATAAATTGAATAAGCATAAGAGTTAGGAAAGACCTGGGTAAATTCTGGTATGGAAACGGTTGTTGATTTGTGGAACAGATTATTGGGTATCATAATACCCTAAACGTGGAATCACTTGATTGTTTCAAATGTAGGCTAGACATGTAAATGAATGAGTTTAGTTTGATAAGAATAGAAGCTGCCACTAACTGGAAATTGTTTTACCTCTACCAAGGTGCCATTGGAGTAAGCTCAGGGTAGCTACTGTGGGGGCAGCCCAGAAATAGAGCATTAAGTGTATTAAAATGCTACTTTCTGGGTGGCAGCTCATTAGTTCCCAATTCCTGCCTTTACATTCTTTTCCTTGTTTGTGAGGGAGATGATCACCTCACTAGAGCGCAGTGTTGCCCAGGGTGCCACCTGGTTGCCATGAGGGATGCTGGGTATCAAGATTTTTTTAACATAATACTTTTGCTTGGTAGGGTAGTTTGGTGATCAAATATTTCTCAAAGGTTGTTTTGGGTGTTTTGGGCTTACCTTGGTAGTGAGTAACTCAGTGATCCCCACATGTTTTTCCCTGCCTGTAGAGGGAAAAAAACGATTGTCCTTGTTTCTAGGTGATCAAGATTATCACATGAGTCTAGCATAGTGGCCCTGTAATACAAATGTTAATAGCTCAGAGAAGGCCAGAAAATGGCATTCTATTACTGTATTCTAAAACTGCTATTTTTTTCCCCATATACTTTTTAAGTTTAATTTGCATAGTTTTTTATTATGTGCTTTTTTCCAAGAAAATAGTATCTATGCAGAAATCGGCTAAATGTTTTCACAAAATGTCTAGCTAAATGAGATGGAGATAACTTCATGTCTCACTGGGGTTGTGACTCCAGACCCAATTATGGATTGAGAGAGATTTTCTGGTCACTGAAGAGTAGGCAATTTGCCTTTAATGAGATTTCAGTCTGTAACAAAAGTATTTAATGAAAGTAGGCCAAGTTAACAAGTCAGTTGATTTATAGTACTGTACATTATTTTGAGCTTTAATTTGACTCTGGATTCCTGCCTGCAAGTAAGGAATGTAAGTGTTTTCTTTTACTATTTAACAGAAATACCCAGTGTACTTTTAATTAAGTATAAGAAAGTTTCTGTAGTTTAAATTATTTAAGTATTAAATATTAATCATATTGCACATTGGCAGTGATTATACTGTACAGTAATTGTTAAATCTCTTTCTTCAATATTTTTCTGTCAGTTTATGGAGGTTGTGAGTGATTTGGAAGGCAGTGGCAGTGTGGGTCGTGTAGAAGCTGTCTGTAATGATGCTGGAACCTCTGACTACCTGGTTGTGTATCTGCGACTTCTTATCTCAGCACATCTTCAAAAAAATGCTGAGTTTTTTAGCTTTTTCATTGAGGGCGGCAGAACAGTTGAAGAGTTCTGTAAACAGGTAATTTTGAAATACTGTAGATGCTACATTTGGTAATCTTTGTCAGCATTAAGGTTTCAAGGATGTTGAAAACTAATTTTGATTTTTTTTGTATGATGCATAATGGTTAAATAATTACGTAAATGGATAACTCTTACACAATTGTTTCATACCTAAATTAAGTGAGCTCATTTGATTTTGAAATTACAAACAGTACAGTCCTGAATCATTTCCCATTTCAATCTTTGTCATCAGTTAAGATCCTCATTAAGCTTTAACAGTTAGGCAAAAGTTATTATAATAAGGAATAAGGAAACTATTCAACACAATTTACTTACGTATTTTAAATTAAAAAAACATTATAGTTGAGAAAGTGCACCTAGTTGGGCATTCCACGTCAGTTGATATTCCAGGCATCTTTGTGTACAGGAATTTTAGGTTGTGTACAGGTATATAATGTAAATTCCATTAGTTTTAAGTTTTTACATTGTTATAAAGTATTGTATTGGTCAGAATTAATAATAGTAAATGAGTGTTTGCTTTCAGGAAGTGGAACCAATGTATCGTGAATGTGACCATCTTCACATTGTAGCACTGACAGCAGCTGTGGGCGTTGGTGTCAGAGTGATGTACTTAGACCGGGGAGAGGGAGCTGCTGTTGTATCTCACGATTTTCCAGAGGATAAGGAACCAATTATTCATCTGCTATACCGCCCAGGACATTATGATATACTCTATAAGGCATAATATTAACTTAATTTAGCTCTGTTTAAATAGTAGTATATCACATAGTCTTTAGGGGCACAGTTTTTTTGTGTTCTGTTTCCTTCATTGATCATTACGTTATGTAAAGTTTTATGCTATGAATATACATATGTAAAAGTTTTTTTTTAACTGCAATTCATGATTTACTTTTACATTTGTTCAGTACAGTATTTCTATCAGTATTTATAACTTCAAAAAGGGGTTGAATTTCTTCATGCTACTTCACAACTTAAATTATGTTTTCATATTTTCATAATAAACATATATATATGATTGATCTTATTTCAACCTGTGTGAAAATTCTCCTTAAAGTAAATATACCAGGATACAGTAGATGTATTTAGAATCTGCTTATTTGAGGAATTACATTTTCTCATACACAATTTATTTTTGCTTAGGTGTTTTGAATATATAAATATCTTGAGTGTTTTTCTACTGATGTGAAGTGTTTTGTCATACTGTATATCAATATCAATTTTTAGGTTTTTGACACTGCTTAACATATATAACTCTTCATTACCTTGTTATAGAGTACCTAAAAGTATCTAATCCTTGGTTAGTTTGACTTGAAAGATTTCTCCCCCCCCCCCTCTCCAAAAAAAAAAAAAACTCGGCTTAAAACTAATGCATTATGTAACAAATCTAAAAGTACATTATAAACTCATTCAACATATGTTGTATAAGAATAATGATTGGCATAATACTATAGCTGTATCTAATGGACCACAACTTTTATGGATAAATGAAATAAAATTTGAACTTTTTGTAGTCTTGTTCATGTCTATTTTTATATCCTATATTCTGTGCTTTGCTTTATGCAAATTTTTCTCAGAGCTTTGATGTAATGGCATCAAATACTTCATGAACTATGTTCACCAAAGTGAGGCTTACTTATTCAGTCAATTTTCCATGTATCAGGTAACTGCTTTCTTAATTAAACAGCAAGTTCTGTAAGTTGTTTATAACTATTAGTAATCATTTATCGGTTTATGCTCCTATTTATATCAAACCACTCCCACTTGTGTCATTATCAAACTGATGCTTGAAACTTTTTTATTGAGATTGTATCTATGGTGTTACTTGGTAGTTTGTTCCACAGATCTGCAGCCGTTTTCTTTTTGCTATTTCTTTTCTGTATCAAAACATTAAATTTAAATTCATTGTTTCATGTTCTAACTTGAGCTGATATATTTCGAATCCTATTTATAGCCTCCCTTTGTTGAGCCCTTTCATTCATATATACATGTCAGTCATCCCCTTACTTATTCTATACGTTTCTAGCTCGTAAAGTGCAACTACTGTATCAATATACACTTATGTCAACCCATGTGGAAAATATTAAAAAATTCCAACAAATATTTGTTACATTCAGAATGCTTAATTCGGTTGCAAAATGTAAGGTAAAAGTGGAAATAAAATAAACACCTCCAATTTTACTGGTTTGGTGAGCTGTAAAACATTGCCAGGTGGTGGGCTCGGCCAGCACCTGTCAATGCCAGACACGAGGTTTGCCATCGTGTCAGGTATGGATGGCAAACTGAGATTGGATGCGTATCCATATTTGGAAGGGGATGGGGTACGGGCTGGTTCAAAGGAAGGCACATATTATGTCCCAACTCCATTCTTTTGGCCTAAGTGGCAATCTCTCTATCTTCCAACAAGCTTCAAAGCTTCCAAAGATTAACTTTTGAAGTTAATCCTTGACACTCGTATGTCTTGGTCAAAATTTTACCCCGAGTTGAGTGTTCTAAGGCCCTTAAGGTCTTGTCCCATACTTGCTAGGGAGCTGATAGACGCACGCTCCTCTTATTTGCATTCCTCTCGTGCTGTTTAAACTTGATTATGTCTATCTTGCTTACTCGTCTCTCTTTCTTTCAACAACTCTTAGTCATCTTGATCCTCTGCACCATACTAGTACAGAGGACTGTGCTTGAATTCTGTGAACAATTTCATCTTTTTTGTGCTATTTTTTTGTTGCGTAACTTAAAAGTTCTTATTACATATCACGTCATGAAAATTACCCAAGAAAGTCAGTGGTAAAGATGAACCCAAGAAAATAATTGAGGATAACAATAGAAGAAAAAATATAGGTAATTATTTGTTAACATGAAGATGTGCACATTGTTGATCTGGCTAGGAAAATGTGTGCAGTATAGGAAGTAATCAAAAGAAGGCATCAAACCGTGCAGTATAGGAAGAATTGCAAAATTTTTGCAGAAAAGACTCGCCCAGGTAAAGCTGTAGCAAGCTGATGTGTTAACCTTTTTAATGAGAAAATTCACTAGAGCTGTGAGGCGACACGAACCTGCGACCAGGCATTGCCAGCAGCATACTCATCCTCTGCTCTCCTCATTGTACTACAGTACTTACTAATTTATCCCTATGTTACCTAATGGTCAATAACACTAGTGACCTCGACGAGGACAGGAAGCCGGCGGCTTGTTGAAGGTCCCCCCATTTCTCCTGCTCTTTTTCCAGTTGGATTTTAAAATTTAACCGGTTTGGCATTCACGGCTTCGACGGACAGGCGGTTCCACGGGTTAATAACCCTGTGGGTTAAAAGGCATCTCCTATGCTCAGGCCTACATTGTGGCTTGTTGAACTTTAAATCAAAGCTCCTTGTTTGTTACAAACAAGGAGCATCAACATCCTCTAAATTGTTCAGTATTTTAAGTTTCAATGAGATCCACCCTGTCATGTCTGGCTCTCTGTGTGTGTGCGTGTGTGTGTTTTACGGCCCTCTCGGGTCGCAACTGGGTTCGTACTCTGATGTCGCTAGAGGAAGGGTATCCGGCCCCAAGCCAGTAGTGGCTTTCAAGGGAAGAGATCCGTGACGCAAGTAACTTAAAGGGGAAGGGAAATAAAGTTAAGAACTTAAGATTATAATTGTTTCCATCACCAAATAAATAATATATAAAAGGTTACTCAGGGGGAGGGGTATTAACACTGCACAAGGGAATTATATACACTATCGTCTTCTCCTGAAGACTCTGGATCCAAACTCTCGGTGCTTTCGTGGTCTCTTGACGAATCCTTCGATCAAGCCGAGTCTACCCCGGACACAGGCCAGCCAAAACACAGTTCCACTGGGGCACCGCCGTGGAGGCCGTCAACCACAAGTCCAGCAGAACAGCTGGCAGGTTCCGGATCAGCAACGCTGGTCAGGCCACTCCACGAGCGATACTAGGGTAGCGCCCTAGTCAGGAGCCTCGTGTGATACCACAAATCACTCTCCTGTCCTCAATACCCCAGTGGTCAATCGTCTCCAGCAGTCGGTCCCGGGTACGACAAGCCTTCACTGCCGCTTCACAGGCAGGGTAACACCACAGTGTTCCTCCGGGAGACGACTCACAGCTGCTGCAGCAAAGCACAAGGTATGGAGACGGCTGCCTTGGGTAGACTGACTCAACTTCCATCACAGCAGTCCCAGGTCGACTCTGTAAGCAGACACGTCATCAATAACAGGGACACACTAAAGCACCTCACTTACAGGCTCAGACACAAACGCCCGACATATCCACTCCATAGATGGCGTTGTCGTCTGAGCACCACCTCACCAGGGGTCAGCGGCGGCTGTGTTGTGAGCTGAACAGGAGTGGCAACTGGCCCTTGTGGCCGGTACACTTCGTCCTCACCAGGTGTCGTCGTCCATTTGGAGGGGGTTTCGGGAGCCGACCCACAGATGGCGCGGTCGTCACTGCTCCGTGCTCGGACGTCGGGCTCGGGTCCGTAACAGTCTGTCTGTCTGTCTGTCTGTCTGTCTGTCTGTCTGTCTGTCTGTCTGTCTGTCTGTCTGTCTGTCTGTCTGTCTCTCTCTCTCTCTCTCTCTCCCTCTCTCTCTCCTCTCTCTCTCTCTCTCTCTCTCTCTCTCTCTCTCTCTCTCTCTCTCTCTCTCTCTCTCTCTCTCTCTCTCTCTCTCTCTCTCTCTCTCTCTCTCTCTCTCTCTCTCTCTCTCTCATAATTAAATATCTAAATATATTATTATTATTAATTAAATATATTAAATATATATATATGTATGTGTGTGTGTGTGTATATATAAAAATCCTGCACACCGCCTCTTCCCCCCCCCCTACATTCAATCGGATACGGATTCATGGCTGACGAACGCGTGTTTGCACCCATCTGACTCAATCCCTTGTTTCATAACGTAATGAACTTATAGCCAGTTTTTGAGGTACACTGTGTGATATTTCACATAGAATTGGGCAGCAGCACATTGTTGTGTATACTTAAGCTTGTTAAAAAATATATAACGTAAGATAATTATATTAGGAGATAGGAGATATATATTAGGAGATATATATATATTTACAAGTTGAATGAGGTAATACTTAAAAGTAAATGAGAAATTATCATTTTTGAACTGCTGAAAAGAGAGAAAAACAACAGTTTTGCAATTTTTAAGCGTTATTTAGAAACTACAGTTTTTTTTGCAACATACAAACATATAGTATATTATTTTATACAGTAATTGATAAATAAATTCAGCAAATAATTTTACATTTTTTTATGGTATTTAGATACCCATGTTTTTAGTGTAAGTACAAAATATAGTAATTAATGTTATTTCTGATAGTATGATATACTAAAGAAGTAGTGATAGAGTGAGTGAGGAGGCTGGTGGACGGTATCAGTAGCTGGGAGGCCGCCCTGCTAGGTGAAGGTCACTGTAACTCTACTTGTAATTCATCATACATCATCATCATCATCTCAATCATTCATCACATCGTGACAGTATACTGTATAATGATTTATAAATTTATATTTTAATTTGCAACAAGCAGTTAACGTATACTTAAACAACATGTACCCAATATTTGTCTGAAATTTACCCGCGGGCCGCTAACATTCTAGTGGCCTCGACGAGGATAGGAAGCCAGCGGCTTGTCATTGGTTCCCCTATTTGCCCTGATGTTTTTTTCTGGCTGGATTTTTAAAATTCGACAAACTGATTAATGACTAAATTTTTGTCCTTCAAAGAAGTGTAGGAATAAAAATCCACGTGCAAGACGGAATATTTAATTCTAAAATCACCGGGCAAAACTGAATATTTAATTTTATAATCACCGTGCATAATTAGTAGCTTTATATAAAATACAATTACTTTACCTAATAAGTAGTTATCTGATCTGAATTAAGTAATTATCTCGTGATCTGACACTCTCCCTAGACAGATGTAATAGAGAAATAATAACCACACCAGAAATAAATCTTTGATATCCACAGACTCAATCTATGTAAACATTCTATGCAAATAATGGGACCTAGTCCATAGAACTCACTCCCTAACCAATTGAAATACTGTCCAACCTATGCCTTACTCAAAAGTAAAATAAAAAGGTACCTAATTTCATCCTCATAGTTTGCTACCTAGTGCTTTAATCCTCAAATTTGACTATAATGTATCTACTAATCTTCTTCAAATTTTATTACAATATACCTGTTATCATTTTTCAATTTTCCTAGAAATTACCTCCCTAAAATTATATGTTAGATTAAGGATCGGCCCAAAACGCTATGCGTGTTAGTGGCTTTACAAGAATGTAAAAACATCGATGCTATGTTCTCTCATAAACCCAATGTACCTTCTTGTATATACAGTAAATAAATAAGTAAAGTAGCAACAATAACATATAACTCTGTAAGTCTTATAGGTAAATTATTATTATTATTATTATTATTATTATTACAGTATTACAGTACTGTATTACCTGAGAGCCATAACACTAGTGGCCTCGATGAGGACAGGAGGCTGGCGGCTTGTCAAAGGTCCCCCCCCCCATATGCCCTGATCTTTTTCAATTGTATTTTAAATGTTAACAAAGTTTTGTCATTTACGGCTTCAGCGGGTAAGCGGTTCTATGGGTTAATAACCCTGTGGGTGAAAAAGTATCTACTGTTCTGAGTCCAACATTGTGGCTTGTTGAGCTTAAGACTGTTGCTCCTTGTTTGTGCTACATCTGACTTTTTGAAGACATTTTTTGGATCAACATTCCTCCAAAATGTTCAGTATTTTATAAGTTTCAATGAGATCTGCCCTGAAATGCCTTGTATTATAATGTTCATTATAATTTTTTTTTTAATTCAAAAGTCTAGAATTTGCCTGGTCCAGCCATTAAAATTATTTTTATTACTGTAACGTGTACAGCTGAAAATACTGTAAATTTGCAGCATATTTCAAATTTATTTTTGTTAAACCTGTTTGTTAATATGTACTGTAATAAAATAGGAAACAAAATAATTAAACTTTTTTTCCATATGAACAACATTTTTCTTAACAAAAAAATAAATCGGTATGATACCTAACCTGTTAACTCGCCTGAAACTAAAATTGTACGCTACCGGTTTGCTACACTTGGGGACTGACAGGATATAGTACTAATATATGTCTAATTCCTAGTAAGTTCACATTTATTTAATAATTAGCAATTCTTTTATAAATTTTACAGATAATTACACATGAAGTTGTTTTTCTATACAAGTCTTTGAGAATGGATTCTGCTGAGGAAGACACCCTGGACCATGAGAGAAATGGCGGGAAGTTACAAGCACCGGTAAGTAAACCTTCAGCAAGAATTAGAGAAGAGTTAGCAATCCAAATATATTTGGCTCTCGGAGAGTGAGTTAGTTTAGTTCATTTATTATGCACCCCATACCCATCTTGTGGGTGGTAGTGGAAAGGGTTACAGAGGCACATACTGGGCTCAGGGACTGAACCCCACAATTCATTTAGCTAAGCAAGTTACAGTCTTGATGAGCTAGTTGCAAAATTAAATACACATCATCACATCATCAATGGGTTTGAGATCGACCACAAGTACAGTTTCTAAATTAAGCAACTGACACATGTGGAGAGCTGGTGTCACAGTTGGTATGTTGGAGAGTCACAGATTTGGTCAGTCTGAATAAATTTAGTTCTTTCAGAAGAAAAGTCTATACAGTACTGTATTTAGCAGTGAGAAGGCTCAAAATCACACAAGCATGTGAAAATAGACAGAGAATGAAATTTTTTACTAAAACCCCAGATGTAAGACATCATTAAAAACTAATTACCAGTTCTGAAGTATAATTATCTAAGTGTAATTGAAGGTTGAAAGATATGCTCATGGTGTCCCTTCTTCCCCGTACTCGTTGTCATATGACACTTTGAAACTACTGATGGAGTCTTACTTCTTCCGGATATCTACCACTCAGTTTGCAAAAGAGGACTTTCTAATATTTTTGTCGACACCTTTGTTTCCCTAGCTTGAATCTATACTCTTTTCTTGAAGCTGCAGATTTCATGAATTCCATTTTGTCAGTTTCTGATTCTGTTTTGTACATTAGTGATCATATCGCCTGTTTTCCTTCTTTTTTCTAGCTTTAGCATATTTAACACCACTAGCCTCTCCTCATGTTGAGGGTATTATTGGACAAAAGTGCACATGGTTTTTGAAACTTTAAAGTTGTAAAGTTTATAGTTATTGATTTGTTATATTTAATATATGTATTTTTCAGAACCAAGAGTCTGAAGAGAGGCAACTAAACAGTCCTGAAGGTATAAATGAACCGATGGTTTTGAAAGTGAAAGAAGACAATATTCTTGAGTGTGATTCAGAGAGTTCAGTGAAGATAGTGACTCAGTCAGAGTTTGATGATCCTGTCACCAAAACTGTTGCATTTGATAGCAGAGAAGAACTGAATGATGATAGTGAAAATGATGGAAATACGACAGATATTGACGATGAAATTGATGATGCACTTGACGAAGGGTAATGTTTAAATATTTATTAAGTTTTAGTGATATAATAATCATTCCTTTTAATATATGGTAGTTTATTGAGTTTTGTTTAGTATTTTAGTTATTTGTTAGGCTAGCCATACAAGGGATACTAAAATAACAGGCTAGACAATAACAGCTAATGGGTGTGCAGTGAGACCTCCATATAGTTGATCCTGTAAATAATGGACCAGATTCACCTACTTAATTGCCCCCCTCCAAAATTTGGATTTGGTGTAGAAGAATAGGAATTTCGACTTGAGAATGGTCCAGGACAGACCGAAACATCGTCGTCCCTTCACTTTCTAGTGTGTGGTTTGATCAACATATTTACTAGGGGTGCTTAAAGAATGTCAAGAAGAACTTTGCCAGCACTTGTCTTGTATATTCAATAAATCATTAAGAGTCAAGCAGAGTACGGGAGTCTATTGTATGTCTTCACAAGATTTATTAGAAGGGTAATGATGTGGTATAGAAAATTAAACTGATGACCAAATGGCATTAAATTGTGAGGGGCAGCCAAAGAAGAGATTAATGGGATTTATTTATTTCTATTAAAGTGAATTCTTTCATGCATAGTACAGTACTTTAAAATATTCAAGCGAATTGCATTAGAAAATGTTAAAATATTTAATATTGTTTTACATAAAAAATCATTGTACAAGAATTATATAGCATTATTGTTCATTATTAATGTTTAATTAATCACTTTCAGATATATGGGAATGGAATGTACTCTAGAAAGAGGATTTTCTTTAAATGAAACTGCTATTGCTCGTGACCTTCGTCATGAACGCTACGATGAAGTTGCTGTCAAGTACAAGCAAGATGCAACATTCACCCGCTATCGTCCGTCTCTCCAGCACTTCATTCCTTTCCGGAAACCACCTAAGTATTATTAATTTGTTTAATACATTGCACTCCCAGTTTTATATAGAGATATGCTTCCTAACATAGAGTACATTTTCCTAAATCTGGACAAAGTTGGCCCACTGGATTTCCTTCCAGAATTTGGATTTCGGAAAAAGAAATACTGTATTCATATTCTCTGGGGTGGTTGAACTGTCTTCCTCCGTGCAGTGAGTGTCTCAGATGTTCCTGGTCTCAAGGTAGCACTTGTTGGTTCTTCTGTTCTTTGTCAGTTACTAGAGTCTGACCCTCATTTTGCCCTGTCCAACATTTCTGATGGCCTTTTTCAGGTGGGAGCTTGGCTAGTGTCTCTGGACCTTCATGGTGCCTATTAGCTTGTTCCCATTCATCCAAGGTTAGGTTTAGTTCAGGGGTATCTTGGTTACTGTTTCTAGTGTCTTTCCTTCATTTTAAGTCTGGCACTTCAGACTTTTTACAAGATTGATTCAGGTTATGGTTTTTTATATTTGTCTGTTGGGGTTAATACATATGAGTCTATCTTGGTGACTGGCTGGTTTGAGCTCCTAGGCAGTCTGCATGTCTGCAGGCCAAGAATCTAGTTCTTTCCTAGTCAGTGAAATTTGGATTCCTGGTCAATTGACAGAAGTTTCAGTGGGTTCTGTCATGGGTTTGGAACTCGCTGGGTTTTATCTGGGATTCTCATTTGGCATCCCTGTTTTTGCCTCCATCTTCTTTCTGCCATTTGGCTTCTTGCATCTTTCTGGTAGTGACGAGTGCTTGGATTTTCCTATTGGCAGCTTAAGAGATACAGGAGGCTCTAACAGTAGTTGCCTTTGTCTGGAGTGGAAGTGGAGTTACCTTTATCTCTTCCCTCTGGTTTGGCTCATAGTTCTTTCCAGATTGAAAGGACACAAAAAATATTTGTGAAGTTTTAAAGTTTTCAAGAATTTATAGATTTGTATAATTAAATAGCTACCTCATAAAGATGTTTAATGCAGTAAATGGTATTTTTCAGGGAGAAGGATGAAATGCCAGTAGATAAAGCTGGACTGTTCAGTTACACCACCATATCATGGATTAGCAACCTCATGTGGAAAGCTTATAAAACTGGTCTGAAAGATGAAGATATTCCAATCTGCTCAAAATATGACATGTGTGGCTACAATGTTGAAAGGTAACATTTAACATATGTTAATTTATTTTAATTAATTACATCATGTGGTAATTTTTGTATGAAAAAAGATAGGGCAAAGGAAAGAAAAAACCAGAGTTGGATGTAATGAAATGCCATTTCTGCGTGAGCTCCAGGGGCTGCTTGAAGCTATCCACCGAGATGATTCTCATATACCAGGTCACATCAGCCATGGAGTTCTAAGACCTACCAGGGACCAGAGCCAGAACCTGGCCTCCTCACAGGGGCACAGGGAGCGGTGACGTTTTGGAAGGCCAGGGGAATGGTGACTAAGGAAGGCATCCAGAAAGTCAGTGAGTCTAAACAAACCACTGCTTAGTTTTAAAAGAGTCCGAAGCCTTAAAATCCACTTAATGAACTCTCCCAACTATGTAAACAAACAGTAGAATCTCTCAAAACTGTGAGCTCGTTCGCCCCACCTTCCTCAGCTGCTAATGCAGATAGGTAAGTACACTTAAGTAATCACCAAAGTGTAGTTACAGGATGAGAGCTACTTTAATGGTTGGAGAGTTTCATGCTCTCCTCAATAGGCACAGTTTCTGTTCTTTTGGCCCTAGCAGGCATTTTGTTTGTAGTCAGTTCCTTCTTTTCTGGTGAAAAAGGAGTTGGTTGGTTTCCGGGGTGCTCCTTTGGTCATTTATTCATGGTTGGTTTAGCTGGGGTGCTTCATGTGTTGTGTCTGGTGGCAGCTCTATGCCACTACCTTCATACCACTGATTCGGCTTTGGTGGATGCTTTGTGGGTTGATCCTGTTTACTTGGTTCCCTGTTCCAAAGCGTGTGTTTCTCACGTCATCCGAAGTGTTTAAGTCTAATCAGCCTGCGGTCTATCCTCATTTCCATGATGTTTGGAGGTATGAAGCTCTCACAGTTGTGTTTGCTAATGTGTCCTTGGCCGATATTCTGACACAGGAGTTTTGAAGTTCTAACAGGGTTCTAGTGGCCTGGTATTTAGTGAATGTTTCTGGGCGTCAGTGTCCTTGTGTGACCTTGGGTCGTGTGTCGTGTCCTGACTCCTGCAGTTCTCCCTCCTTCCTGGGAAGTTTCCTTGTGTTCTTCCATATCTGTGGGTAGTTAGCCTCAGGGAGCCTCATAGGGCTCCACACAAAAAAATCAGCATTGAATGTAATTGAAACTCCAATTCCTGGGTGAGCCCTAGCGCCCCCCAAACTCCCATCCCTTCCTTGCAGGTCATCGTGTAGGTTTTGTTTGTGCATCTGCTCCAGAACTGACTGCTCAGATCCCAGGAGATGGTGAGCCCTTTTCCCCTCCCCTTAAACAAGTGGTGAAAATGGTGGTGAATGAGTTCACACTAGTAATGAGAGATTTGATCATTTGTTTACATAGCTGAGGAGTTCATTAGGCGGGTTTTGAGGCTTTGGTCTCTTTTTGAACCCATCAGTGGTTTGTTTTGACTCGCTGTCTTTTTTAATGCTTTTGCCAATGAGGTGGTGAAATGTTACCACACACTGCACCTGTGTGAGGAGGCCAGATTCTGGCTCTGGTACCCGGTAGGCCTAAGAATTCCACGGCTGATGCAACCTGAATGATAGTTCAGGTTGCAGATGGGAACCATCTTGGTGTATTGTCATTATAAATCTACCCATAGTTATTCTCTTCCTAAATTCTCTTTTTCGGTGGCTGAGCGGACAGAACCCTGGACGCGTGACCCTGTGGTCCCGGGTTCAATCTAGGGCACCGGTGAGAAATGATGGGCAGGGTTTCGTGATGCCCCTGTTACCTAGGAGTAAATAGGTACCTGGGAGTTAGGCAGCTATCACGGGCTGCTTCCTGGGGGTGGAGGCCTGGTCGAGGACCGGGCCGTGGGGACACTAAGCCCCGAAATCATCCCAAGATCACCTCAAGATCTCAAGATAAATATCTAATCTATTGTAAAGTATTCTCCTGAGTCACTCTTCTACTTAATACTAATAATATGTTTAGTTTATGTTGAAATACAAAAAACTCATCTTTTGCACTTGACCCCTGTGTTCATTCTCCCATTAAGGAAGGACACCAAAACCCCAGCCTGCTAAATTTAAGATAATGCCCTTGTATAATACATCTAAATATCATTTTTATTGAAAATAAATTTATATTTTGAAAAAAAAGAGAGTTATGGGATCAGTTAATTATGGTACATAAAATTATACAGCAAAATTCTCTTTATTTGCAGATTGGAGACTTTATGGAATGAGGAAATTAAAAGAAATGGAAAAGATAATGTTTCACTGCAGCGTGTTGTGTGGAAGTTCCTGAGAACTCGCCTCCTCTTTGCTCTCTCTATTTTCATGGTTAATATCATGTTGGGATTCATTGGACCAGTAAGTTACTGTTGGCTTTGTCTTTACTGTGCAGGATATTTATGCTAATTATTTATTAAATATCCCCAGTAGGGATAATGTGCCTTATAGATTCATTATGTATTTATGTTTCTAGGGGGGTAGCCTTTTTTTATGGTATAGGCTAAGATGGTTGCCATCTACTGGGTCACGCCAGCCATAGAGTTCTAGAGGCCTACCAGGGACCAGAGCCAGAACCTGGCCCTCCCCCCCCCCCAACACAGAGGTTCACGAAGTAGTGATATTTATTTTCTCTATACTGTGGAAGACAACCAGAATATCGGCGAGGCAAAGCAAACCACTGCTGGATTCAAAATTGAATGAAGCCTCAAAACTGGCTGAAAGAACTCCAACTATATAAACAAATGATCAAAATCTCTTGGACTCTCCCACTCGTTTTGGGGGAAGAGGGAAGCAGCACAATGCCAGCCGACATCCCCCAAACTTCAGTTCTAATGCTGACGAAGTGGTAGCCATTATTGCCTCCCAGATGTAAATTAATATTTTTCAAGATAATTCCACTTTTAATTTGAAAAAGATAATTACTTTCTCCAACAGACTATATTCATGCGCTTGCTAATAAGTTGGCTCTCAACGGAGGAACCTATGACCGTGGGAGCGATTTGGACTACTGGTCTACTGATCACAGAGTTCTTTCGCATCATTCTCTTCTGTCTTGTATGGTGCATCAACTATCAGTAAGAAATTGAGTATAGTACTTACATCTGAAATTGCTTGTAAAAAGTTAATGTTCATTTGTGACAATAGCATTTTGTGATTGCCAAGGTGATCAGGTTGGTTCCAAGAAAATTCAAGCATTGATCAAATTTTTATGAGCAATATTTTAGCAAATAAAACATAGAACACTCTCCTGAATCCATATCTTCCTATAATGAATCTCTCTAAAGAAGACCAAATTCGTCCACTATATTTCTCTTTCAAAATCCAATTTTTTTTCTTAAAAAATACAGATTTTGGAGCAGTATGTGGGTGAAATTTAGATTGTTGTAGAATAATTTTCAGTAAACCATATTTTTATCTTTACTGCTATTGCTTGTTTATTTTTAAATATTATATAAAAATGCATACTGTATATATATATTTTAGAAATGTATTACGAACTATGTACAGGTAGTATTCTACAATAAATTGTAATTACCTAAGTGTAGTTACAGGATGAGAGCTACGCTTATGGTGTCCCATCTTCCCAGTACTCGCTGTCATATGACTTTGAAATTACTGATGGTTTTGGCATACGCCGCTTTTACACTTAACTTATTTAGACTACTGTATTTACCACTCTGTTTGCAAAAAGAGAATTTCAGTATGTTCCAGTTTCCAGAACAACCTCTTGCATGGGACTCTGTCAAAAGCCTTTTTTAGGTTCAAATAAACAGTCAACACAGCCATCTCTTTCTTGTAGAATCTCTGTGGCTCTCACATAAAAAACTAAGTAGATTTGTTACACAGGATCTTCTTGTTTGAAAAGATAAGTTTGTTATTATATAATTTCTCTGGGTATTATATCCATTTGGTTTTAACTATTTTTTCTAGTGTTTTGACTACCATGCTTGTCAATGATATGGGTGTATAATATAATTGTCTTTTCTGCTTCCATTTTTGTAGATTGGAACAATGTTTGCCTTTTTCCATATATCTGCTAAGATTCCTGTACATAGATGTTTGGAAAATCAATTGAAGTGGAATACTCAGCTCAGATTCCTGACCATAAATGTTCCAGGCATTTCAAGGTCTTGCTCAGTGATGGCTAAAATGTTTATTCTCTTTTCTTTACGTTTTCTCAGATATTTTTTGTGTTATTAATATAAGTTTGTGTCAAAATGTTAGTAAATGAATTTGCTAGAGTGTAGATGCAAACCAAAATGCTTTTGGTGATAGATTATGCATGATGATGCTGAATATATGAATGTTTTCTTTTGTTCGGTTTCAGCCTGCTCCTCCTTTTCTGGAGAAGAATGAGATTGCAGGCTTCCAGAGGGGTCATTTGGTTGTTGATACTTGGTTAGTTTGGCCAAGGGTGCATCTTGCGCTTTGTTTGATGGTGGCTTTCTGTTGCTTCCTTTGGGCCACAGGTTCTGTTTCGGTGGGTTCATTGTGGGTTGGTCCAGTTTCTCTGGTTCCCTGTTCCAGAGCTTGTATTTTTCTGGTCAACCTTCGAGTTGATATCTGCAGTGCTCCTGCCTCCTTGGTAAGTTTCCCATATTTATCCTTCTCTGTGAGTAGTTAGCTTTAGGGAACTGACGGGGCTCTACTACTGAAAACCAACGTTGAATATAACGAGACGCCAGTTTCTGGGTGAGCTCCGGAGGTTTCCTGACACTTTTCCCTCCCCCAAGTCACCGGTGTGTTTCTGATTAAAGAAGTAAAGCTGGTTGGTCTAGCCTTCTTGTGCCAGCTCCCCCCTCCCCAATGATTGGGGAGGTGGAGGTAACTAGTAGTGGGCCAGTTTCACTAAGTTTGGTTTACTTTTCTTTGGAGAGTTCTTTTGACATTTTGGGGGCTTCAGTCTCATTTTTTAAACCAAGCAGTGGTTTGTTTTGATTTGCCTATCTTTCTGGGTGCCTTCCCTGATGATGGCAAAGATGATAACCTTTAAATGTAAAGTGATCATAGGGCATTGCTCCTTTCACTTCACTGAGGAGGCCAGGTTCTGGCTCATGGTCCCCGGTAGGCAAAAAGAACTCCGCAATGATGACACTAGGTAGTATGGCACTTAATCAGTAATGAAAGCTTCAGGAAGCTTCCAGGGCTCATCCAGAAACTGGCGTTTCACTACATTCAACGCTGGTTTTTTGCTTCAGGTGTGCATTTGATGGATTTCTTTATAATGTATTGTAGTTTTCTGTATACAATATTCATTATATTAAAATAAATATTGTACTATATTTTTTCAGGAATGGGGTTCGACTGAGAGCTGCATGTCTTGGACTGGTGTACAAAAAACTAATGAGGATGTCAAATCTAGGAAGCAAAAGTGTTGGAGAGGTAAGTATTTCAGGCATTTCACAGCATGCCTTTACACCTTTTCCTTTAACTGATGTGCTTGTGATATGGGCACCATACAACCACTGCATATTCCAATTTTGGTCTCACGAAAGTTGACGACAGTTTCTTTAATATTTCAGCATCTGTCTATTTAAAAGTGATTCTGAAGTTGGAAAGTGTAGCATATGTGTCCTTGTACAATGTTCTTTATTTGGTCCTCTGGTGACAGTCTACTATCCTGAACCACCTCTAGATCTTTCTTTGTCAGGGTTCTTGAATATCTTTCCACATAATTTGTAGATTCTTTGTGGCCTTTTTTCTCCTATTCCATATTACATAATATGGCATTTATTTACATTGAATTCTATTTAAGTGTTGCTCCGTATACTTATTTTGCCCAGATCATCTTGAAGGGCATGACAGTTATCTACAGTAAGTCTCATTTTTTAATATAAATGTGAGCAGAGTGTTTTTCAAAGAATGTATAAAATTTTAAACTTCGTACAGTAATTAAGTGATTTTCTTTTTTTTTTTCTTCAGGTGATCAACTTGTTTGCCAATGATGCTCAGCGAATATATGATCTAGTTGTACTTGGTCCACTGATTATTGGAGGTCCAGTGGTGGGAGCTGGTGGTGTGGCATATATACTCTGGCTCTTGGGACCGTGGGCTTTGTTTGGCATGGTAGCGTTTCTTCTTTTCTATCCATTTCAGGTAATATTCACTATTTTTTTTAACAAGATTTAAAATATTTACATCATTTCATGATTAATATATACATTAATTATATACAGTATATGTAGTAGATTGCACATATATTTGTGTAATTACTTATCCCAAGTATACCATAAGGTTCTCACTTTTCTTGGAGGGCTTCCAAGGTAGCTTCCTGTTGCTAGCTGCTTTGGATAACTTCACACCTTTCAAATCACACCAGAATGTTGTGAGTCTTTAGCAGCCTTCTGGAGACCAGAAGCCAAAACTTGGGTGCCTCACAGAGGTGCAGAAAGCAGAGGCTACTAGATCACCTTAACCAAAGAAATAAACCACAAGAGAGGTACTAACCACCACGTGAAATATATTTGTTGCACACTCACGAAATGTACGTGAAATTTATTTGTTCTGAATTTGGTATCAGAACACATTGATACCAAATTGAAAAACCTAGGACGAGAATTGAGATGACAAAGTTGAAAAGAGTATAAACTTTTCAGTATTACCGCCCTCTCTAATGTAATGAGAGATGTCTTGGGGTGGCACAGCGCTCTCTTTCTGGTCCACTTTCATCACGTTGGTGGGTGGAGCGTGCTGCGGTTTTTGACATTATATGCATATATTCTTGTTGAGAATTCTATTGCGAACACATTGATACCAAAATGAAAGACCTAGAATGAGAATTGAGGTGACCAAAGTGAAAAGAGTGTACACATTTTATTCCTCTTGTGCGCTCCTGGGTAACTCGCTCTCACTTTCTCTATTTGCTGCGGGTGGTAAGCCGGGCTTTTGGAGTTTATATGCATTTAGTTCTGTAGAGAATTCTATTACGAACACATTGATACCAAATTGAATATCTTAGGACGATAATTAAGGTGACAAAGTTGAAAAGAGTATTCACTTTTCGGAATTACGGTTCTCTCCCTCGTACTCCCGCGGAACGCCCAAACCCACTTGAGGTAGTGTGGCGCTCGCAGGCCCAGAGCGCGAAAGTGTTAAGGGCTTGCCCGAAATGCTACGCGTACTAGTGGCTATACAAGAATGTAAGAATTCTTGTATATATAAATAAATAAAAAATAAAAATTCTTTAAGTATGCTGACATTGCATTGGGCTTGTCATTTTGGTGGGGGTGACACCATATTTAAGCCCATCAGAGTTTCAGTCCAGTGGAATCTGATCATGGAAGGATACTGTTCTTTGTATTGTGGACATCATTCTTGTAGCATGTAAGGGGTCTGTGCTTTCAACTCGGCTACATGACTGATATGTGTTTCTAGACTCTTTATTTAACTTTTACTCTCCTGTCCTCTGTGCTTTGTCATTGAATTATTTTTCTTTCCTGGGGATTTGAACCTGGGACCTCTTTCATATAGAATCATGGTGACCTCTTGTTTTCACAACCGAGAAGAAAGGAAATACACTGCTGTACCAATAACCACAAGTATATTATAAGGTTTTAATAATAGAATTTTTGTTCTAATTTTCCAGTATGGAATATCACGGCTAACTGGTTATTTACGACGCAAAACCATTGCTGTTACTGATGAAAGGGTTCGCATGGTAAATGAACTCCTCACATGTGTGAAGCTAATCAAAATGTATGCATGGGAGAAGAGCTTTGCTTCTACAATTGCAGGTATTGTTATAATATATATTAAAAATTAGGCATAGAAAATTAAATACATAACACACATACACACACACATTACACATTTATTAATTACATATGGAATACGTGGAGAGAAATGATGTAATAACACATAATATGGCTTTCAAACAGGATGATTGTGTGTAACAAATCTACTTAATTTTTATGAGAGAGCCACAGAGATTCTACTGGAGAAAGAAGGTTGGGTTAAATGTTTATCTAGACCTTAGAAAGGCTTTTGACAGAGTCCCACAAGGGGCTCTCTTGGAAACTAGAACATACTGGAGGGGTGAGGCATACTGCTGACATGGATGAAAATTTTTCTAACTGCCAGAAAAACAGAAGCAATGTATCAGACCGGAGAAGTGTTGTAAGTGGAGTACTACAGGGTTCAGTTCTTACACCAATAATGTTCGTTGTCTATATAAATGGAGAAGGATCAGAATAAATATAAGAATCTATATAAACCAGAGGGAATACAGAATTACTGTATATGAACTTGTTTGCTGATGATGGTAAGCTACTAAGGAAGGTGAGAGACATAGATAATTGTAATTTTCCTTCAAGACAATTTAGACAGAGTAAATGGATGGAACAACACCTGGCAAATGGAATTCAGTGTGAATAAATACCATGTTATGGAATGTGGAATAGGAGAAAATATGCCACACAACCTACAAAATAAATGGAAAAGCATTAAAGAACTCTGACAATGAAAGAGATTTAGGGGTGGTTCTGGATAGTACACTGTCACTAGAGGACCAACAAAGGACATTACGCGAGGAACCTATGCTACATTTTCCAACTTCAAAGTCGCTTTTAAATACTGTATGTGGATGTTGAAATATTAAAGAAACTGTTCACGACTTCTGTGAGACCAAAGTTGGAATATGCAGCGGTTGTATGGTGCCCATATCTCAAGAAGCATATCAATAAACTGGAAAAAGGGGGCATAGGTATGCTTTGAAATATCTTTCTGAACTGTCATTATCTATTGTTGCCATCATATTACAGTATCGTTTATTCACTAGGGTGAAAAGACTTTCTATTGGAGGTATTTGACTATGGTTCTTAGCTCAGATATCTTATTTTTTTTTTTTAGAATATGCTATAATAAGCAAAATGATAAAATATTTGTTTTGTATAAACTCTAATATTTCAGAAATTCGTTGCCGTGAGAGACGGTTGCTAGAGAAATCGGCGTATGTGCAGAGCATTAGTCTAGCTATGGCTCCCACTGTACCTATAATTGCTGCCATTGTCACTTTCCTGGCTCATATTGGTGCTGGGTATAATCTTACTGCAGCTCAGGTAAAGTAGTTTTGTCTTTTTTTTTACTTTCATGTACAATTAAGTGGAGAATCTTCAAATGCACCTGTCTATAATGTTAAATTTCAGTGATGAATCTAGAATGAGACTTATTCTGTAAACCATAAATTTCATGCTCTAAATTTTAATGTGCTTATAAGTTTTACTTCATTATTTAATTATTTGTAGGATTATTGTTAAAAATTTTATGATAGCTTTCCATATCTTGAGCAATAATTGGTCAAACATCCATAGTTTGAAATTATATTTCAAACTTTCCAGGTAAATTTATTATTAGTTATTTTTTTTTTACTTCTAAACTAGCAGAATACCCATCTTCAACTAGAGTGAAAATTATTTAATTGTCAATGAATTTAGATGAGAATCCCTAGAAAATTAAATCCATAACTTTTATTTCACTGCCCATGGCCCATTTAATTTTCATGTTAAGGTTTATCAAGATTGATTAAGAAAAATGATCTTTGGCATCTTTACAATGTCATTGGCACCGTTTAAACAAATGTGAAACTAACCATTTGGAAAGGCTTACCTTCTCAGCTTGACTTTCCAACAGAAATAGTCAAACTAAAGGCCAAAGGTTCTGTGACCCAGTACAGCCACAAGGCTCGTCTCTAGAGAATAGAACACACGTAATATATATCTACTATCCTTTACCCAGAAGAGGGGTTTCCCTAATTACACTCTAATGTCCTTCAAGTTATTGAGGCATACAATTCCCCTATCATGAAAAGGTAGCTTTCCAACAGGAGGGCAATCATCAAGATCAGAAACAGGTCTTTCGAGGGGTTAGGTTGATTTACAGACTGGCATACAGACTATAAAATTGTCCTCTTTCATGAGTTCAGAAATATTCCATTGTGCCTAAACCATGTAATTTTTAGACTCTGATTTACCTGAATAATAACTTCTTGCAAATTCTCTGGGTAATTTGGTGTCTGAATAAGTTTCCAGTTCCCTCATCTAGTTAAATTTTCCTGGTTGCCTGCCATGAGGCACACACTAGGATGGAACACTAGACGGTGCTAGAGTTAAACTTTTTGTTTTGTTAGCAGTGCCACTGAACCCTTGGATTAAATAAATATAAAACATCTCTAACCTTTTTACTGCAGCACCTTCTGGAACTTTTGTTTTCCCACAGGATAGAAAAGTAGGTAAAAAATGTATATTTTTGTTTCGCATTTCTTGTTACATTTCCACCAACAAAAATATTTGCACTTTACATCTCTACCACGAAACATATTAACAAAATTTATTCACAGTGTAAAATGTATACGAAGATACTGGAAAGACAAGTCTAAAATATGCAAAATAAAATACTGTAATGACTAAGTAGAGCAAAACATATAGGAGGAAATAGAAAATAACCCAATACTGTAAAGTGTAAAGATATCATAGGTATAACCAGAGAACACTCTGAATATCATTAACTTCCTCCCACCATATATAAAAACTATTGCTGAACACAAGTAGAGGTTTTTAAGAGGCAGTTGGACAAGTTCCTGATGGAAGTGCTGGATCAACCAAATTTGTAATGGATGTGTGGGCTTAGAGGCCACTTAAGGCAACATTCTTTCAGATTAAGGTATCGCAAGACAAATAGCTGTGCATGTGGAATAGAAGAATTCGTAAAAGAAAATACAGGTAACTTGAGATATTGGTACCACACAATTGCTGCTTATTTTTTTATGAAACAGGTGGGGTGTTTATCTATTAGTGATGTTTTTTTCCTTGTTTCTCTCAGGGTAGAGAGAACCAGAGTTCTCTCTACCCTGGTTCCCAGTAGACTGAAGTGCTTGTCAGACACTTGCCAGGCCTCCGACAGGCATTTCACTTGAGGCCTGGCACCCCCAGTACCTATGCTAAGGTAGCTACTGAAGGGAGGGGGGGGGGGAAGGTTTACCTCAGAAAAAGTACTATAGTTATTTATTGTATTTTGTGAATAAAAATACATAAAATTCCTTGGCTAATATGGCTATTGGTTGCTTTTCTTATATTCTATGTATTGGACACACTTGTATGGCCTATTGCTGAGCTTCTATGCTTAGGTGCTTTTTAATATTATAAGATATAACGTACTGTATTTACGTACCTTGTGTCTGATCAAGACCTTTTGTACCCTTTGTAATCATTTTCAGCTGCAGGCACAGGATGGTTGCACAATAAACTAGTGAGATATACAAAATGTTTGTTCAGAGGCCTGGATGATCAGGGATATTTTGGCAATAAATTCCAAGCATTTTCCTTTATTTTTAAATGTGGCATGGTATTGACTTAGCAATTTAATATGCTATTTTGGTGGTTATGTACCTGCCGTTTTGCAAGTCAATTAACGGCTTCTTACAAGTAACGATTCATCCTCCATACTATCCAAGTCAACTAAGAAGTGTGTAACTGCTCTTGTATGTTTTTTTCAGACCTATTCTCTTCTAATGGTATTCAGCACTGTCATAAGAAATGGCTTCTCTTATTCATCATATACTTTCATTTTAGAACAAGGAAGAATCTCTATCATTCGTTTTCAGGTTAGCGATGCTATAAAGCTATTCTCTGACTAAAATACACACAAATATTTGTGTTAATATGATGCTGCAAGAAAGTTCTTTGCATTATCTATTAACATGTTTAAACCCAAATTATTACTGTTGTTTATTTTATAATATCAGTTTGAAATATATTACTGTATGTGTTTGATGTAAGTCACTTATTTAATGTACAGATTTTAAAAGGGAGAATAAGTGCTTGCATAATTACGCAAGTGTAGTTACAGGATGAGAGTTACGCTCACGGTGTCTCATCTTTGTGCATGTATGCTACTGGTATGTATTAAATATGTCTTGTATTTCTCTTTTTGTGCTTGTTTGAGATATAGTTACGGGCTGTGCTTCCTCTAAGTGACAGAATGAGTAGTTTTATCTCAAGCTCTCAGATCACTATTATAGATTGAACATATATTTTGCAGAATACAGTATTTGTAAACAAGTTGCACTTTATTAAAAGCTGAGGATGTAGTAACATCATTAAATGCACTTTCTGACTCCTTTACAGTATTTACGTTTTATTTACTTTAAGGGGCCTCATCTTGATTCTGTATTTTAGATTGTATACAAATATTTCAGTATATGGTATGCTGCATTTCATATGTATTGGACAGAGACATTGGACGTTGTCCAATGAAATACATATACATATCCATGGATAGCCAGTACCTCTTAGTCTAAATGTAAAGCAGAGGATGAGCTGCATCAGAGATTCTGTGCTCATGTAGTTGTGACTAGGTGAGTGGGCAGGCTGCCTGGGTCCCTAGGTAACCTGTGATGCCTGCAAGTGACTGTCAGGCATATTATATTTAGTGTTTACACTGCAGCAATGATAATTTTCCGTGTTTCCTGAGGGTACTTAATTTTCTTCAAGCAGTTCGTGTTTTGTTGCACGTTGACTCTGTGGTGAGGTTATTTCTTGACCTTGGGTTGATCTCTGATCCCAAGCTCATCTTGCATTGTATAGAGAGCCAGATAACGTTCTTGACTTCCAATAAACAAGGGTGGGATCCAGAGGACTGGTGTATCTTCTTAAGGCTTTGTTGGACCAGTGCTTTAGTTGGGTAATTACTGAAGGTGTCCTCCAAGAAATTGATGCGAAACTTCCGTACTGAAGAAATAGCAAAAATCGGATGCAGTATAAAATTTTATATATTAAGATCAAAAGGGTTTGAGATCTGTTATTCTCTTCAAATAAGACTACTGTGTGTCCATTTGCATTGTTTGCTTCAAATAATTTTGTTTTGTAATTACATACTGTATATGTAATTACCTAAGTGTAGTTACAGGATGAGAGCTACGCTTGTGGTGTCCTGTCTTCCGTATAATCTTTGTCATATGATCCTATGAAACTGCTGATCATTTTGGCATCCATCACCTTCTCACTTAAATTGTTCTGTCATTAATTCTGAATGTTAGAAAAAAAAGTTTCAGATAACTTTTTGGCACCTTTGCTTTCTAAGCTTGAATCTGTGACCCCTTGTTCTAGATGTTACAGGTTTTAAAAATTCTTCCTTGTCAACTTTATTGCTTCCTGTCAGGATTTTTTATGCAGTGATCATATCTCATCATTTTCTTTTATTTACTAGCCTTGGCATGTTTAGCACTTCAAATCTTTATTCATTGCTATTATTTTTTAGCTCTGGAAACCATTTGGTAGCATGTTTTTGCATCTTTTCTATTTTGTTGATGTTCTTTTATAGATACAAGTACTGATAATGCTCGCTAATCCAGATCATATTTGGGCCCACCCCTCTCTTGATATAGCCAGACATCCTTATTAGGTCCAAAAACATTCAAGTTTTTTTTTGTACCACAACCAACATAATTCATGTTTCCGCATATGCAATAGGCATAAATTTACATAGGGTAGATTGGCAGTCAGTTTTGGCTGCCAGCACTAAGGCTTCTGGTGAGCATAGGTCTCTCTGTCATTCAGTAATCCAGCAGAAACTCTCAGCAATACAGATTTCTGTCCAAGTTTGGAGAAGTTTGGCATACAAAACTCTGGGTTAACAAGGTCCAGATTAGTGAGCTCTTACAGTATAGACATACTGTACAACTGTTGCATACTCCAATTTTGGTCTCTCAAGTGTTGTAAATAATTTCTTTAGTATTTCCCTATCCATGTATTTAAAAGTAATTTTGAGGTTTGCAAGTGTAGCATGTGCTCCTTTCACACTGTTTTTGATGTGAACATCTCGTAACAGTTTACTAGCTAGAACCACCCCTAGATATCTTTCTTTGCTCGAGTTCTTTAGTATCTTTCCACATACTTTATAAGGTAACTTGTGACGTGTCTTCCCCATTTAATGTCACTGGATTTGTCTGCATTAAATTCCATCTACCATGTATTGCTTCATTTACATATTTTGTTTGTCATGTTGAAGGGCATGACAGTCATCTGGGTCTTTTATTCTCCTTAGTAGTTTGACGTGCAAACAAAATCATTGTTTTGTATTATTTGTCTAAATATGCAGAAACATGATTTATATAATTTGGCAGATGAATATTACAAAAATTTGGTGACAGCCAAATAGAGCAATGATTTGGATACTTGTATCCAGATTTCTTGCATATCTGGATTGGGTTCAGAAGAATATTACTGATTTTGGAGGTGGCACTGCTGTACTGTATGTAAATTACCTTGTCTCTGATCTGGAAATACAAGAACAGTGCTGTATTCTCATTTTAATTTTGTATTTAATCTAAATTGAGAATATGCTGTTAATTACTTACCCTTAGCATTTTCTAAGGGCATTTTCCATGTACTTGTAGTGGCATGCTCCTTTTTTTTCATACCTAAATGTCAGTAATAAAGTTAGTAGAGATGTCTGATTTGTTTGTGAAGATGATCCATTGTAAGTAGGAATTGTAGTTCCTGTCTTTTTTTTATATATTTGTTTTTTCAATGTATACAGTAGATCTGAGGAAAAATCTATTAAACGATTATCATCATAGGCATGGTCGTATTATGGGCTAGCTGGGCTAATACACTTTGGTATGGATTGCATCACTTATTCCATTCAGCATATTCGTGAGGGGCAAATCTCTTTGGAGAGATGTAAGGTATTATAACCTTGTATTTCCTCATAATATTCATCTTGTTTTGGTTTTGTGGTGTAATTTATAGTGTAAACTGTTTATATATATATACAGTATATATATATATTGTAGCTTGTGGTACAGTACTGGCATACCTCATTTTAAATAGGGAATATGTTGGTTGCAATCGGTATTGAAATAAAAAAGTACTTTCCCAAAGATTCAGTTGTATAATTTATGCATGTGTTGCTTGGTACAGTACTTTAATTCTGTCCAGGTTGTTGTGAATTTTGTCAAATTAATTAAATAAATGTGGTGCTGTATGAGCTCAGTAATTTGAATTTTGGCGACCTGAATCTCCGAGTAATTCGAATGAATTTACATTTGATTTTTTTTTTTACCCCTTTTTGCTTTTTAGCTTGAATAGGAATTCAGATTAATGGTTTATGCCAAATGAGAAACCCGAATATATTCAAGTTCAAGTAGTTGAATTGTCAACTAGAATAGAAATTCAGGTTACAGAGATTTCTGCCAAGAAAAATTTGAATAAATTAAAAGAAATTTAACTTTTGAACTTTACTGCTTAAGAAATTTGGTTAACACAAATGTCTGACTAACTGAAGGAGGGTGGGCCCCATCTAATTCGGATTACTGAGCATAGACATTACGAAACATACAGTATTGTACTTGTCAGATATAATAGAAGAGAGTGTATATTGAGGCTTTGTATATGGGGACTGGTAGTTAAGGAATTACTCTTACAAAGAAACAGAATTATCCGAAAAGGAATGTCTACTTTTCATAATTTCTGAAGGATTTATTGAGATCAAACATGTAACACTTTTTTTTTTTTATCAGCACAGGCCAGGCAGAAGCATCAAATCACTTGAACATCATCATTTTCATGTCTAAACCATTAGTTTTCCTGGATTTAGCATTGAGGCACTACTGACATTCATTCAATGCTTTTAACACATTATTGTTGGGGCTTACTGAAGTTCTTCATCTGAATATGTAAAATAAATACATATGACAATCAGTATATCCAGTATGATGACAAACACAGGTGAAGTATGTGAAGTAAATTATTATCTATTAAAGAGCTGCTATCATCAAAGGAGCCACTTTGCCTGTGCACAAAAAAACAAAGCAGCATTGAATGTAACGGAACTCCTCTTTCTAGTAGCTTCCCGATGGCTCCCTAAAGCTATCTTCCTCTACTGTGAAATATCAGTCACAGGAATCCTGTTTGGCCTACCAAGGACCAACCACAGCCAGAACCTGGCCCCACTCAGGTGCAACAAGCAGAGGGATTATTCCAACGGGTTGGGGCCTTATCTTGCTTTTGTCTTCAGAAAGTCAGCAAAGCAATGAAGACAACTGCAAGGTTCGTAGAAAAGAATACATAAAAAAATACAAATTACTCTGCAAATAACTAATTCTTCACCAGAAAAGGAGGAGGATGCAAATGAACAAACCATCCTCCTCCAGAGAAGAGCATGAAGCTCTCCAACCTTGCACCTGGATGCAAGAACCAAGAAAAATGCCTCCGCAAGAGATGTAACCTGGATTGAAGGGCGCAATCAAATCTATAGCCTGGGTCAGCACAACCTATCTACACATGACGAGCCAAGTATAAATAAATAAAGCCACCACTGCATCCTGAAGGAGAGTGTCGAGCATCTTGGACAGAGCCACCAAAACTGCAGTGACTCCTCGATTCCTGCCCTTCCCTCCATGATTGTCAGTTTATTGGTGGGTTATTCATCAGCTCCAAAACTGGCTGGTCAGTGGAGCCGGTTGAAGACTGGGGCCGGGCTTTCTGGTGGTGGTAATCAGTTCAAATGAGTTTCGAGCTAGTTTAAATGAATAGTCTGGTTTGTGTGGATCATTTGCCGAGTTGTTTGGTTGTTTTGATTTGTTTTTTGTGAACCCTCCAGTTGTCAGTAAAGCTTCGCTGACATTCTGGATGCTTTCCTGGTGGGTTGGTAAAATTGTCACTCGCTACCTGAGCATTTGTGGGGGAAGGGGGGTGGCAGGTACTGTTAGGCCAAGTAGAACTTCTGCAACTGATGTGATCTTTTAATATGGAGCAAACTCAGTAAGATAGCTTCAGGCAGCCACTGGGGCTCCACCATAAAGAGGGATTTCATTATATTCAATGTTGGGGTTTGAAAAATTGTACATTGAAGGGACAAATGAGTTGTTTTGACTTTTCAATAAAACATTCAGTATAGGATATTGTGTGATGTATACAAAAATATTGTCTATAATTGTGCTTTTTCTTTTAGGGTATGACAGTGATTGCCTATCTCTTAGGAAATGCTCGTACATCATTTAATATGTTGAGGTTTGCAATTAAAGCCATTGCCGAGGGAAGCGATTCCCTAAGTAGGATCAAGGTGAAAAATTGCACATTTTAGCATGAGTTTTTTAATAAACCTAAAATTTTGAATGCCCTAAAGTAGTTGAGGTTAGAGAATATTAGTTGCTTTATTGAAGAGGTGATGGGCTCTTTTTTAGGCTTTGACTACACTGATTCTCATGGTACTGTCCATGGAAAGCTTGCTTAGCAGAAGCTGGAAGGTGTTTTCTTTCATCCACTAAATAGTCCTTAAAATGCTCTCATACTTATGATTTATCATGTCACTTTATTTGGCTTTAAGTTACTGGCTGTAACATAATAAAACTACTCATATATGTGTGTGTGTTATATCTAAGTGTACTTACAGGATGAGAGCTACATTCATGGTGTTCCATCTTTGCAGTACAGTACTGTACTTTTTCATATGACACTTTGAAATTACTGACGGTTTTGGCATCCATTGCCTTGTCGCTTAACTTGTTCCAGCTATCTGTCTTTCTGTTTGGAAAAAGAGAACCTTCTAATATTTTTTCAGCATCTTTGTTTCCTTAGCACGAATCTATAATTTCTTTCATGAAGTTGCAGATTTCAAGAATTCCGTTTTGTAAATTTTGCCGATTCCTGTTACTGTTTTGTACATAGTGATTATATTACCTCTTTTCTTTCTATCTTCTAGCTTTGACATATTTAACACCTCTAGCCTCTCCTGTATGTGTGTAATTACCTCAACGTAGTTACAGTATAAGAGCTACGCTCGTGGCATCCCATCTTCTGAGTACTCTTTGTCATGTGACACTTTGAAATTACTGATGGTTTTAGCATCTACTGCCTTGGTTAATTTGCTCCAAATATCTACCACTCCTTTTAACAAAAGAGAACCAAATATATTTTCAGCATCTGTGTTTCCTTGTGAATCTATTACCTCTTATTCCTGAAGTTGCAGGTTTCAAGAATTCCTCTTTGTCAATTTTGTCTATTTCTGTTACCATTTTGTATGTAGTGATCACAGCAACCTGGTTTATTGATGTGCTTCTCGAGATATAGGCATCATATAACTGCTGCATTTTCCAATTTTGGTCTTGCAAAAGTTGTGAACAGTTTCTTTATTATTTCACCATCCATATATTTAAAAGCAGTTCTGAAGTTCGAAAGCGTAACATATGCTCCTCGCACACTGTCCTTTATGCGATTGTCTAGTAACACATTACTATCCAGAACCACTCCGAGATCTTTCGTTATTAGAATTCTTTAATTGATATCTTTCCACATAAGTTATAGGATGTGTGTGCCAATTTTTTCCTATTCCACATTTCATAACATGACATTTATTCACATTGAATTCCATCTGCCAAGTGTTGCTTCATACACTTATTTTGTCTAGGTCATCTTGAGGGGCATGACAAAAGTCAGTCTCTTATCTTCCCTAGTATTGTTTAGCGTCATCAGCAAGCATTACATATAGTTCTATATAACTTCTGGTAGATCATTTTATAGATGAGAAACACTACTGGTGCAAGAACTGAACTCTGTGTGCAAGCTTGCATGTGTGCATGTGCTCACCTAGTTGTACTCAACTAGTTGTATTTGCTGGGGGGTTGAGCTCTAGCTCTTTGGTTCTGCCTCTCAACTGTCAATCAATTGGAAATGTATGCGTTCATGCTTGCACGTACATGCACACACACACACACACATATATATATATATATATATATATATATATATATATATATATATATATATATATATATATATATATATATATATATATATATATATATATATATATATATATATATATATATATATATATATATATATACAGAGCACCACTTGGTTTCCGAACTTTAGTTATCCGAAACTTCCAGTTTCCCGATTGGGGTTGGGGAGTCATGCTACCCGAACAAAGTTCGGGTAGGAAGGGGTCCACCAAGCGTCACGCCGGCTTGTGGTGGTGGGTGGGCGATGGTCCAGTTTGCCCACTGTGACTTCACAGATTCACGGCCTATTATTCCTATTATTTTGAATTGCCATAAGGCTGGAATGTTCATTCTGTGCTTTTGTTTTACATATCTGCACAATCAAGAAACATCTGTGCACCATGTTGGCTCCAAATGCACCCATTGCGTCAGTGATGGCTGACTGGTGGGTGGATGGACGATGGAACTTAGGTGGGAGGCAGTATGAATGAGGGGGGGGGGGAGAATCAGTGAGAGAGGGGGGGGGAGAGAGATGCTAGGAGGGAGGGGGAGGTAGGGAGAGATGCTAGGAGGGAGGGGGAGGTAGGGAGAGATGTTAGGAGGTAGGGAGAGATGCTAAGAGGGAGGGGGAGGTAGGGAGAGATGCTAGGAGGTAGGCAGGAAGGGATGGAAGTAGTGAGAATTAGGGAGGGAAAGGCAGGCTGGCAGGCACAGGCAGGCAGGCGCAGGCAGGCAGGCAGGCAGGCTAGCTTGCAGGCAGGCAGGCTAGCTTGCAGGCAGGGAGTGAGTGGTAGTCACGCGGTTGAACCGCGTGACCTTGAGAGATGGGATGTAGGGGGGGCGGGTGGTTTGTTGGTGGTGGGGGTGAGACCGGCTCATTCCCGAAGATAAGCCTAACACACACTACCCGTTAGCATGATGGCAGGGGGGGAGGCAGGCTGGCTGGAAAGGAAGCAGGCTGGCAGGCAGGCAGGCTGGCAGGCAGGCTGGCTGGCTGGCAGGCTGGGAAGGAGGCAGGCTGGCAGGCTGGGAAGGAGGCAGGCAGGCAGGCTGGGAAGGAGGCAGGCTGGGAAGGAAGCAGACTGGTAGGCAGGCTGGCTGGCAGGCTGGGAAGGAGGCAGGCTGGCAGGCTGGGAAGGAGGCAGGCTGGGAAGGAAGCAGGCTGGCAGGCTGGGAAGGAGGCAGGCAGGCAGGCTGGGAAGGAAGCAGGCTGGCAGGCTGGGAAGGAGGCAGGCTGGCAGGCTGGGAAGGAGGCAGGCTGGAAGGCTGGGAAGGAGGCAGGCTGGGAAGGAGGCAGGCTGGGAAGGAGGCAGGCTGGGAAGGAAGCAGGCTGGTAGGCAGGCTGGCTGGCAGGCTGGCAGGCTGGGAAGGAGGCAGGCTGGGAAGGAAGCAGGCTGGCAGGCTGGGAAGGAGGCAGGCAGGCAGGCTGGGAAGGAAGCAGGCTGGCAGGCTGGGAAGGAGGCAGGCTGGCAGGCTGGGAAGGAGGCAGGCAGGCAGGCTGGGAAGGAAGCAGGCAGGCAGGCTGGGAAGGAAGCAGGCTGGCAGGCTGGGAAGGAGGCAGGCTGGCAGGCTGGGAAGGAGGCAGGCTGGCAGGCTGGGAAGGAGGCAGGCAGGCAGGCTGGGAAGGAGGCAGGCAGGCAGGCTGGGAAGGAGGCAGGCTGGCAGGCTGGGAAGGAGGCAGGCAGGCAGGCTGGGAAGGAGGCAGGCTGGGAAGGAAGCAGGCTGGCAGGGTGGGAAGGAGGCAGGCAGGCAGGAAGCGATATATGGGTGTTGAAGTGAACTGTGAACCACGTGACCTTTGAGTGTGTGTGTGTGTGTGTGTGTATGGGTTTGGGGTGGGGGGTGGGGGTGGTGTGTCGGTGGTGGGGGGAGAGGGGGAGGTGTGTCGGTGGTGGGGGGAGAGGGGGAGGTGTGTCGGTGGTGGGGGGAGAGGGGGAGGTGTGTCGGTGGTGGGGGGAGAGGGGGGGTGTGTCGGTTGTGGGGGGAGAGGGGGAGGTGTGTTGGTGGTGGGGGAGGGACCGGCTGACTCCGTAAGCCTAACCACACTCCACAGACCTGTGACCCAGATTTGTTTCTTAAATGTACAGTACATCATCGTATATTTTAGGCAGGATGTGCCTGCAGGCTGGCAGGAAACATCCAGATGATGTTTGCCAGACGTCTTAATAATCAGTTAGGAACAATTAAGGACTTTTATAAAGCGGATCAGGACTTCACTTATTGATGAGTACAAACAAAACACGGTTGCATTTACGCCATGAACCTGACGATTTTTTCCCTAGAGTTTTTTTCATAAATTTTTCGGAAAAATTTCTTTTTACATTTCTAGTTTATTTTTTCCCCTCTATTTCTCGTATACGAACTTACATGTTAACCGACGGGTCTCGTCCCCAAGGGGTTCGGAAACCAAGTGGTGCTCTGTATATATATATATATATATATATATATATATATATATATATATATATATATATATATATATATATATATATATATATATATATATATATATATATATATATATATATGTATATGTATATATATGTCGTACCTAGTAGCCAGAACGCACTTCTCAGCCTACTATGCAAGGCCCGATTTGCCTAATAAGCCAAGTTTTCATGAAATAATTGTTTTTCGACTACCTAACCTACCTAACCTAACCTAACCTAACTTTTTCGGCTACCTAACCGAACCTAACCTATAGAGATAGGTTAGGTTAGGTTAGGTAGGGTTGGTTAGGTTCGGTCATATATCTACGGTAATTTTAATTCCAATAACAAAAAATTGACCTCATACATAATGAAATGGGTAGCTTTATCATTTCATAGGAAAAAAATTAGAGAAAATATATTAATTCAGGAAAACTTGGCTTATTAGGCAAATCGGGCCTTGCATAGTAGGCTCAGAAGTGCGTTCTGGCTACTAGGTACGACATATATATATATATATATATATATATATATATATATATATATATATATATATATATATATATATATATATATATATATATATATATATATATATATATTTATGTTATAGATATTACACACACATACAGTATATATATATAGATATAGATATATATGTTTATAATTATACAGTATATAGACTGTACCTTCTTTAGATTTGTTTTGTATAATTACTGAGGGCTGTTGCTTAATATAGTGATATAGTGGCTTCTCTGTAGATATAAAGCCCTTTAAGATTGGTTCGTGTGGCATACTGTTATGTGCATGTTATTACAAGTGTTACAAGCATGGCTGATTTGCTTTGTAAATATATGCAAGATTATTAATATTGTACAGTATTAGCATATATATTTATCTAAACTATTAGTGCATTTGTCATGAATTACATAAACTATTTTGATAGTAAATAATTTCACTTAAGTTATTCATATCCTAGTTTATATATATATAGTATCTGTAATAACTTTAATATTACAAAATGTCATTCTTAATTTGAAAATCATTCTGTATCTCATCAAGAATAAGCACAAGCCTTGCCATTATGAGTACTGTAATATGGTTGGCAGCATTTAAACTAAGAATGCCTTATTTATTATAACTACTTCTGTACAAAAACTTAGCCCAAATAATGCTCCAAACACCCAGAATATCCTCCTAATGGATGAGTTGACTCCATATGTTGAAGAGCCGCAAACTGAAGACATTGCTGTTGCTCTGCATGATGCCACACTCGCTTGGAATACTATTTCTCTAGAGAAAAAGGGAAAAGAGAAGAGAAGGTATGATGTACACATTTTGATAATGGACAAAATTTTATTTTTGATCTTTACAAAAAATGAAGAGTAAATGATTTTAAAAAAGTTGGAATGAAAAAGGTTTTGTGTAGTTTGACTTGATACTTGACAAAAATGAGTGCCTAAAAGAAATATTTGCTGACCTTCAAAGAAAGTCTTTTGACACTTACCTTAACACTTTCGCGCTATCTGGACGCGCCGGCGCGTTCGGTTTCGTCTAACGTAAACGCATAGTGGACATAAAGTTATGTCAACTTTTAAAATATTTGTATAAAATTCAATTTTTATCCGATTTACTTTGGGTTTGTTTCAAACTGCGCGCTATGAGGCTCTCTTTCTCACCACTAGGCTGCATGGTACAATAAGTTCATGAAAGGTGTGGATAACGTCGATCAAATGGTATTTTGTCCCAAACGGGTTGCAGGTGGGTGACTTTAGCCGTTTATACTGGTAATTCTTCCCCCATATCATGTATTATATGCATATGTCTGTTTAGGGAATTTTATTCCGATCAATATACAACCAAAATAACTGTGTGCAACAAGTATAATCTTGACAAACATAACAAAAGTAAAAATATTTCGTGTGTGTTTGACGCTCACTGATATGTCCAGCGTTGTTTTATATTTGTCGCTATTCTAACTTACGCTTTGTTGATATTTTTTACCTATGGGCACATAGAACATTCTATTGCGAATACATTGACATGAAAATGAATGACGTACATAGAAAATTAATGTCATGAGAGTGAAATAAGTATAAACTTTCAAAGCGCTGTGCGTCGTCCCGTCACCGATACCGGGTAACAATTTCACCACTTCCCACACTCTTGCGGGCGGGCTGCATCAATATTCAACGCTTATATTCATATCACCGTGTTGGGAATTTCATTGCGAGTCCATTGATACCAAAATTAACGCTGTAGAACAAGTGTGGAGGTGATTATAATCCCAAGAGTAAAAACATTTTGTTGCTGATGGGCGCTCACGGCGAGTCATCTACGTAGTTATTTATTTGGTGCTGGTATCCCTATATGTTTCGTGACTTATTTTACTAATGTTCTTCTAGAGAATTTTATTGCAAACACGTTGGTGCCAAAATGAAATACGTAGCATGAGAACTAAGGTCAGGAGAGTAAAAAGAGTATACACATTTTTGTTTTTACGCTTAAGCGATAAAAACGCAGCGCGCACATTCGGTTGGCTGAGTGACCTTTGCGGAGAGCGCGAAAGTGTTAATATCCTTCATTTTAAATTGCACTGCTATGAAGTTAGAGGGGTCACTCTTTACAATACAAATGATTTTACCTCCGTGAGTGAGCCTCCAAGGCTCTCCAAAAAAAATGGCATTTCATTACATTCAACGCTGGCTTTTTACACTTTCAGGAATAAAAACGATACTGGATCTCCAACTGATGATTTGTTACAGAAAGTTACAGATCCTCAATGTACAGAAGTATTGTTTGGTATCAGCTTGTCTGTCAAAAGGGTAAGGATGTTTATTAATAATCACCTTATTATTAATATTTAACTTTATTAATTTTATTATGAAATTCTGTTTTATATTGGAACTTGTTCTTGCAAAGAGATGGATTCATGTACATGAAACCATAAGTGAAAGTAAAATAAAAATGAATCATTGGTAGAATTATTTCTTGTGTACTCAATAAGGAAGAACATTTAAATTTATTAAAATTTTAGCAATGTGCAGGAAAGCCAGTAGAGATAACTCTCTTTAGTGATGCATAACAGTCAGGATGGCTTCTATCATTGGGATGATATCCTAAGGTTTGCATGCTAAAAAAACAGACTAATAAAGGATTCACAACATGGTAAAACTGAGTGCCACTCATGTTTAACAAATGTACTTTGATTATTTCATCATTTCTTCTGTTGCCTAAATAATGACCAGGTGATAGAGATCCTTCCTCACTATCTTCAGGATTAATCCTGTCATAAGCATGGAAAAGCTTGGCATTTAATCCAGCCATTCTAGCACTCCTTTTCAGTTCAGTGTCTCTGCCTATGTCCTTCTGGACCTGGCTGTTAATTGTCATCTAATTTCTATCCCCCATTCTTTCGTGCCTGCCGGTTTCAGCAGAGCCCTATCCTTCTGGGGTTTGGATATTGATATTTTGTCTCCTTTGTTTTTTAAGCTGGGATATTGGGATATTGCCTAAGGAAGTGAATTACTTAACAGTGCACAAAGAAATGTTTTGTTTATGCAATACTCATTACCTTAATTTCCCATGATGCATATAATAATAGTTTGCAGAATGTGTTGTGATTGGAAATCTGTAGAAACTTTTATACAAACAAACATCTTCAGGGTGAGTTGATTGCCGTATGTGGAGGTGTAGGAGCTGGCAAGTCATCATTGATAAGTGCTTTGCTTGGCCATATGCAGCTAAATTCTGGGAAAGTTTATCTCCATGGAGCCTGTGCCTATGTTGGACAACAAGCATGGATACTCAATGCCTCATTTAGAGATAATATTCTTCTTGATGAAACTTTTGATGCAAAGAAGTAAGTGTATTTCAGGTACTCTAGCGCTAAGGAAAAATATGCTCTCCATTGATGATTAGGAATGACATGATGTTAGTGACAACAGTTGATTATTTATTCATTAAATTAATCACAGATATACTGTACACATTTTTTGGATGTTAATTGACTGATAAAGGAAAAATTTCAAATATTGTGCCAATCTATAAAAAAAAGGTGATAGGGAAGACCCTTTAAACTGTTGGTCACTGACAATGTAACTGTCAGTACATTTAACCAAATATTGCTTTTTAACAAATATTAAAAAAAAATGATAATTTGTTGTTACTTTTGGCATTCTTTGTAAAGTAAGACAAATATAAAAGATAAATAATGTACCATGACAAATTTCAACCTTTATACCCTGGACAGACAAGCCCTCAGTCACCATTGTTTAACATTTATCTGTTTATTGTGGTACAGCAAAATAACAAAATTAATGAAAATGCAAATTAAAATTCAGTATGATACATTGGGTGATTATCATGATTAAAGATAATATTTTCATGGACTAGTGAGCTATAATTATTGAGTACTACAGTGACTATAAATCCAGCTAGAACTGTGTTGTCTTCTAAAAAAAGATTTTGTATTTGTTTACAGGTACTATAGAGTAATTCATGCTTGTAATCTTAATCAAGATATTGCAGCGATGCCTGCTGGAGACTTTACCGAAATTGGAGAGCGTGGCATCAACCTGTCTGGTGGGCAGAAGCAACGCTTGTCTCTTGCTAGAGCCATTTATGCAAATAAGTATGTTTCATTTTTCTGGGAGGATCCCATCAAGAATTTTCTGTTTCAATTCTTCCTTCATGGTCTGACACTCATATTTTTCATCACGTGTTAATTTTTGTGATTTACACACACACACACACACACACACATGTAGTTTTAACAATAAATAATAATATTTAATAAAATTAAATATTATTTTTCTTTGTTATTAATGCATTGTTTCAGCATAATTTGTGTTATGAGTATTATGAGCAGAGGCTACCATGTGCTGTTCAGTGACTCGATAGCAAAACCCAACACTGTATGGTAATTCAGATGTTTGTTCTAATTAATTGAACAAGAGCTCAGACTCTTACTGTATTTACAGCCACAGTATTCTCTCTTTGTTCTATTTTTTAATTATTACAACTGTTTTACAATACTGTACTGTAGTTACAAACTTTGTATTTGTAAGAAATGTAAGAGTGATATCTGTTATTGTTTGAATTCTATTTTTTAATTATTACAACTGTTTTACAATACTGTACTGTAGTTACAAACTTTGTATTTGTAAGAAATGTAAGAGTGATATCTGTTATTGTTTGAATTTCTAGGCAAGTGTATTTGCTAGACGATCCTCTTAGTGCTGTTGATGCACATGTTGGTAACCACATCTTCCAGTGGGTCATTAAGGGAGCACTTCGAGAAAAGACAACAATTTTTGTTACACACCAACTTCAAGTATGTATTTCCATTTTTATCTGTAATTATTTATTGATGATCTTGAGGTTATCTTGAGATGATTTCGGGGCTTTTAGTGTCCCCGCTGCCCGGTCCTCGACCAGGCCTCCATCCCCAGGAAGCAGCCCGTGACAGCTGACTAACTCCCAGGTACCTATTTACTGCTAGGTAACAGGGGCATTCAGGGTGAAAGAAACTTTGCCCATTTGCTTCTGCCTCGTGCGGGAATCGAACCCGCGCCACAGAATTACGAATCCTGCGCGCTATCCACCAGGCTACGAGGCCCCTTCACCACTGATAGATAGTGGTATAGAAGACCCTGACAGTGATAAAGACGATGTACAAAGTTCAGATATCAGTGAACCCGATGCTGGTGACAATTTTCGCAGTGCAAAATTGACAGCCACAGCATATGGCTGCACTTTAGTACATCTACACATCATGCAACGGGACCTCATGTTTCTTTACAAAATGAAATGTGAAAAATTATTCATATTCAGGATTTAGTAACCAGGGGCCAGATTCATCAAGCAGCTATGCAACTACAGTACTTACAAACCTGTACATGCAGACGAGGAGTCACAATAACGTGGCTGAAATATGTTGACCAAACCACACACTAGAAAGTGAAGGGACGACAACGTTTCAGCCTGCCCTGGACCATTCTCAAGTCGATTGTGAACTATAAGGTAATACAGTTCACAGCGACAAAACGTCGTCGTTCCTTCACTTTCTAGTGTGTGGTTTGGTCAACATATTCAAACCTGTACATCTTTCCTCAATCTTTGGTGGCTTTGTTTACATATACTGTATTAGACAGTTTATGAGCTCCGAAGCACCAGGTTCTGATTATAACAAAGATAACACTTGATTGGGAAGTTACGATGCTTGTAAACTGTTTAATAAATGTAAACAAAGTCACCAAAGATTGAGGAAAGATGTACAGGTTCATAAGTACTTGCGTAACTGCTTGCTGCATCCCGGACCAGGATTCTGATAATAATAGGAGTGTTTTGGCTATACTTAGCACAATATACTATGTGCTTAGTATATTAGGCTTTGCTTTGTCAGGTGCCATCGTCAACTGACGTATGCATGTTGCTATGCCATTTATCGATCAGTGGATCAATGGTTATGAAATTATCACACTTGCCAAGACTGCTTAGTGCTTCGCAACAGTACATAAACATGCAGAAAGTTATATAAAACATATGAATATAGTATAATATAGCAAAAGCAGTATGTTTTATTGTTCTAATATTATATTATGGTGCGCATATTAATTACATAAATATATCTGTGCATACCAATGTTCTACATATTCTGTGATAAAAATAAATGTCTGATATAAATGGATGTCTTATCCATCAACGCTTGTGAATTGTGATGTCGTCACAAGCTTTCTTCTCTCCACCACAGCCAAAGTAAGCTACATAAATATATTTTAACATTTTCTAGTGATCAGAAAACACATTTTAACAATATTAAAAGAAAATATTTATTTCTGATTTGATTTTTTCATGCATAGGTGTTAATTTGTACAATAAGTATCTCAATGTGTAGCCAGTACCATTTCCAGTACTTTTTATTTTTGTCTTGGTCCTATAGTTTTAGATAGAACTTTGTGGATATATTAACATTAAAAAGTTTTAAGGAAATTGAATTAGGCTCACTATTGAACATGTTTTTAGATTTCTGTTCCAAATAACAGAGGGATTTTGTTAACATAACAATTTACAATAATCAACAAGAGGGTCTTAATTCAATAATCAACAGGGTCTTAATTCACAAAAGCATTCACTACCAATCCAGACTAACTTGGTTTAGTAATTTCTTGCCAATCTTATTTTTACAGTACAGTACTGTATTATACTTTAACCCATAAACTACTCTGGTTTTCCAGACAATTGAAGTGTGCAATTGCTTCTGTTGTCAGAAGCAGATAATTATCCCAGTTTCTTTAATGGGCATCACTGTTGTAGCAGCCACCATGTCCGATGCATGCCCTTCCAGCTCTGCTTTTCAATGCTTATATCTGTACAAGCTTTTCATGAAGCTGTGAATTTTCTGACTAGTAAAAAATATGATATGATGGATTTTTAAGATTCAATCTTTGAAGAGGAAATATGTTTGGCTGATTTGGTCCGTTATTTAGAAGAATCTATGATTTGGAGGTCCAGATTTTGGATTGTGTACTGTACAGACCTGTCCAGGGGCTAGAAGGTTCTTTGCTATAAGAGCAATGAAGTGACTTTCTTAGAAAAGAACTTTTATATTTTACTCAAATCCTGATCTCTGAAACAGCCCTCCCCCACCCTCTGTATCTTCCTGAGCTACTCACCCGGAATCTTCTGAACCTAGATACCTTGCTAGACTAGTAATTAAGTTTGGAGGATTCCAGGTAAGTAGCTCGGAAAAATACAGAAGGGGGTACCCACCAGACAGAGCCATTTCGTTACCTTCAACGCTGGATCTTGTGTCACTTTCATATGGACTCGTTTTTATTGGAATTCATAACCATATTAAAGAGTGTTGACAATGATATAAAGAAACACCACATTGAGAATACAGTAGATTGCTTAAACTTGGTTATTCCCTATATAAATGATGTTTAGTAATATATTATTCAGATACTGCTATGCAATATGGGGAATAATCAGGGGGGACCTTTGACAAGTTATTGACTTCCTGTTCCTATTGAGGCTATTATAGGTAAATTTGGATAAATATATATATGCTTGAATGTTCATGAATTTTAGGAGATTAATCTGTGTAATTCATTCTTGTGAATTATTATCCTTATTGTAAATGTACTACTTTTTGTCTGTTGTCAGTTTATTTGCACTATTAATAAAGATGCATATTTTCTCAGTATTTACCTCAGTGTGACCGTATAGTGTATCTGCGGGACGGGTGTGTTTTTGAATTGGGCACACACAACGATCTTATGAAGGCCAATAATGAATATGCTGCCTTATATACAACTCATATGCAAACAGTAAAGGATATAAATGAAAGGTTAGTAATTTCCCTTTCTAAAGTTGAGATGTTACACATCATAATATAAGTTGCTCTATGATCTGTATGTTTTTGTCAACGATACAGGTCTATAATTTATAAGGTCTCCTCTTCTACCATTTTTGTAGATTAAAACCATGTTTACTGTTTTTGTTTGTGTTCCTGTACATAAAGATGCCTGAAAAATCAACAGAAGTGGAATGATCAGCTTGAGTGTACATTCCTTCAGAACCCCTTGGTGAAACTACATTTGGAGCCAACTGCTTTGTTTCTACCTAACTTCCTGAGCAGTTTTTCTCCTTCATCTCTTAAGACACTTCTATGTACTCTATGTTGTTCTCTGAAATCCATATTATGTCTGGTTCTCTGAAGGCTTCATTTTTGCACAAGTGCACTTTGGAATTGTTCATTTAGTGTTTCACACATTTCCTTTTCATTCTCTGTATATCTGTTCCCCATTTTTCAGCTAAAGCATTTTATCTATTATATGCAACATGCTTTTAATGAATTTATAAAACTGGCATGGCTCTATTTCACATGTGTCTGCTATTCCTTTCTCAAAGTTTCTTTCTGCTTCTCTTCTCACTGCCATGTAGTTATTTTATGCTAGTTTGTTTTGTTATATTTGAGGATTAGTCCTCTTCTTATATTGATTCCATTTTTTGTATTTTGTTCTCTGGCCCTCTCACAATTTCTGTTGAACCACTTCCTTTTCCTAGGCCTGCATCTGTTTTGGTGTAAATTTTGTTGTGCCTTCATTATATATCTCATAAAATTTGGCATACCTCCCATTTTACTTCCTTGACTAACAATATATCTTTCCAATCACTTGCATTATAGAACTTGTTAAGCTCCTCATAGTATTTTCTCTTGAAATAGTTTGTTTTTTCACTGTTTCATTCTCCCCATCTTTGGTCCCCTATTGCAAGGCTTGCATTTCCTAGGATGTCCACAGTGTCATCAAGTTTAGCCAGCTTCAGGTCCATGATGCTCATAAATATGCAGCTTTAGCCTCTTTTTTTTCTTCTCTCACATATCATGGCCTGATGTCTGGGGTAAAGGGTTTTGGCATTCTAATGGGGGTGTAGGTGACAAAAGTATTTGGTTAGTGTTCCTGGGTCCAATCAGTCATGTGTGGCTTTGAGCCATGTCACCTGGCCTGGTTTCTCCTCTTTGGTCCTAAGTGCCTACTGCCTCTCTCCTTCCTGGTACTTCAAGTCCATTTCTTGTTCTCTGTAGTTTGTGCAGCTTCAGGGAGCCATAAGGGGCTCCCTCCAGAAACCCTGCATTGATGGTAATGAAATGTTAATTTCTGAAAGAGCTCCATTGGCTCCCTGCCTCCCTCTCCCCCACACTCCAGGTTCATCAGTTCATCATGGGTTTGTTCATTGGATCCAGAACTGACATTGGGAGCTAGCTGGGAGCCGGGGTCAGGGTCTCCTGGTGGTGGTAATCGGTACTACAAGTTTCAAGCTCGTTTCAGTGAATTCCTTCCATGTGACTCTTTTACTGTAGTTCTTTGGTGGTTTATCAAGGCTTTGTTTTCTGTGCATCCTCCAGTTGTCTGTAAAGCTACACTGACTTTCTTTTCGTGAGGTGGCAGATTGTCACCTGCTCTCTGCACTTCTGTGAGGAGGGGGTCAGGTTCTGGCTTTGGTTCCCAATAGCCAACAGAACTAGCCACAGCTGATGTGACCTTTGAGTGTAAAGCAATTTCAGGATGATAGTTTTATGTAGGAACCTGGGTTCCTCCAGAAATTGTTTTTTCATTACATTCAATGCAGGGTTTGTTTTATTTAGAGATAGTTAGAAAATAGCAAGTTTCTTCATAAATTTTACCTTTTATTGTTACAGAGAAATAGAACCATCAAGAAGCTTTCGAATACGACAAGACTCAGTTATGTCATCAGACAGTGGAAAGAGTGGCTCAAATGGCTTCATTCCAGAGAGAGGCCTTGTGGTTGATGCACTTCAGAATGCTGCTGCAGGTAAGGTGTACTGTAACAGCATATGGGAAATAGCTTTTAGAATTTTTGAGAAACTTACGCTTTGCCAGAAATACATAATACAGAAATATTAATACATTTCCTGTATTCTCAATGGAATATCAAGGAAGTGATTGGAACAAATTTAGATACCTGCAACTACAATTAATGCAAATGCTCAGTTGGCTGTGCCTAGAGTGGTAAGCTATATCAGCATGGCTTCGTACCATCCAGAGGTAATGGGAGGTGCATCGAATCAAAAATTAATACCTGTATTAGGGCAGCTAGACCACAACGAGGTTGAACAGTGAGCCAATTTCTGCTATTGTCAGCTAATTGGAAGTGTTATGTGGAAGTAGCATGCAATTTCCTAACCATGGTTTACTCACTAGTCACAATTCACAATTTTGTATCAGAAATGAGAGATAGAGAGTGATAACATTGCACAGATAAGAAGGTAGTTAGTATCTTATTTTATATGTTAACCAAATCACACACTAGAAAGTGAAGGAACAGCGATGTTTCGGTCTGTCCTGGATCATTCTCAAGTCGATTGTGATGAGGGAAGGAGTTAAAGGCAATAAATAGGCAAGAGAGAGGTGAGGAGAAGAAAATCTTAGAGGAAGAAGAGCAAGGCAAAAGGTACAAAAGATATGGTGAAATAAAGGGTATATAGGAATAAGAACACAAGAACAAAGGCAACTGCAGAAGGCCTATTTGCCCATACGAGACAGCTCCTATTTATAACCACCCAATATGAAGGGGAAAGTAATAGGAATAAGAACGGAATAGTACTGTAATAGGAATAAATAAGGGATCGTAAGAGAAAACTAGGGAGAGAAAAGGAAAAAAGGAAAGAAAAACAAAGATAAATGGAAGGGTAAACTTATGTTAGGTCACGTTTGTTAGAAAGTTTGGAGCATTTGAGTATATACTGTGAAAGGGAAGCGTCAACAGCAGCAAAGCCAGGACTCAAGTTCATGTTGGGTACGTTGTGTATTAGAGCCGATTTTGGGTACGATTTGTGTATTAGAGCTACATAGACGCCGTCAACAAGACGGCGTCTGTGTAGAGTATTCTTATTTTATACTCCATAATCCTTAAGAGATTGCTCTGAAGACATTGTAAAAAAATTAGTTTGCTTTAGTTTTGCAAGCCCCAATTTTAATGGCTGCAAACAGGTATTTTGCTGTATTTGCTGCTGTATTTTGAAAATTATCCATTCTTATAAATTTTGACTTAATTTTTAAAATATTTTCTTACACGTACAGGTCAACTTATAACTGAAGAACAGATTGAGAAAGGTGACATACCTAAGTCTACATACCATTCATACATAATGGCAGCGGGTGGATACATCATAGCAACACTTGTTATATTGACTTTCATTCTCAATGTTGGGTCTACAGCCTTCAGTTCCTGGTGGCTCTCCCTATGGCTATCAGCAGGAAGTGGAGTGAGTACCATATAGCATTAGAAAATGTTAAAAGTAATTTGTTATTGAACTGTCTAAACTCATTAATTCAGATCATACAGTATTGGAATGACCCTGATGTTAATCACAATCAGGATCAATTGAACAGGATCATTAAAACTAAATGGGTAGAGTAACTGGAGAAAAATTATATAATAACAGACAGACAGTAGGGTTTTCGATCTGAGAGATCTTGTGTAATGAATTTACTTAGTTTCTTTGATAGAGCTACAGAGATTTTACAGGAAAGGGATGGTTGGGTTGATTCCATTTATTTGGACCTAAAAAGGCTTTCGACAGAGTTCCACATAAGAGGTTGTTCTGGAAACTGGAACATATTGGAGTTGTGACAGGGAGGCTTCTAACATGAATGTAAAATTTTCTGACCAAAAAATTAGAACAGTCATCAGAGGCAATGTACTGAACTGGAGAAATGTCATGAGTGGAGTCCCACAGGGTTCAGCTCTTGCATCGGTAATGTTCATTGTCTACATAAACGTTCTCCCAGAAGGAATACAGAATTATATAAACAGGTTTGCTGATGATGCTAAGATACTAGGGAAGGTAAGAAACTTTGAGGATTGTCATGCCCTTGAAGAAGACCTTGACAAAAAGTGTATGGTGCACCATTTGGCAAATGGAATTTAATATTAATAAATGCCATGTTATGGAATGTGGAATATGAGAAAATAGACCACACACAACCTACAAATTATGTGGAAAAGCTTTAAAAAATTCTGATAAAGAAAGAGATCTGGGGGTGGTTCTAGATAGAAAACTATCACCTGCGAACCACATAAAGAACATTGTGCGAGGAGCTTATGCTATGCTTTCCAATTTCAGAATTGCTTTCAAATACATGGATGGTGAAATACTAAAGAAATTGTTCACAACCTTTGCGAGACCAAACCTCATAATTGAAAGCTAGGCTGGGTGACCAATCACATCCCAGATTTTCCTCTGGTGCCGTCAACAGCCAATCAGAACTTGTGATAAACATGATATAGCCTTTGTTGTCATATTGAGTTGCCAATTTTACATAGAAACATGAAATTTTAAAGTTTATCTTAAGTTGCTTAAGTTGCATTTTTGTGAATAATTATACATTTTTATGTTGGAGCCTCTTGAAGATTTACTTAGGGTACAGTTGCATACATCATGTGATTTTATATGCAAGATAAAATGCTGAAGAAATTGTGTTTATACTAAAATGTATCTGTCTACATCTTATATTATGATTTATTCCATGTGCATTATCATCAGCATCTTTTACCCAAAGAGCAAATAATTCTGAATCAGAACCAGATTGAAATATTGTACAGTACAGTATTAGATTAAAATACCAGTGGTAGTATAGCTTTAATTAGTTCCATCATATAAATAATAATAATAATAATAATACAGTAACACAATAAAAATAATAATAATAATAATAATACAGTAACGCAATAAAAATAATAATAATAATAATACAGTAATAATAATACAATAATAAAAATACTAATGCTAATAATAATAATCTGGATGTTTCAAGAGATTTTCCCCATTTTTAGGTGAGGCAGATGTAGCCTATACAGTACTGTATATTTGTTACATAATGCAGTGACTTCCGTGGAAATAATATGCGATGACCATGTAGTAACATACCCAAAATTGGCCACAAATCTGCTGCATTTATATTGAAGCCTGTTAATGGGGTTTAACAGAGCAGAACCATCAACATCTAGCCTTCACACATGCATATATCTGTAATATTAGGTATAGATTACATTTTGTGGTTATTGAGTAGTTTTAATGAAGAATAGTCTACAAACATGTAATTACTAATTACCTAAGTGTAGTTCCAGGATGAGAGCTACGCGCGTCGTGTCCCGTCTTCCCATTACTCTTTGTCGTATTACTGCTTTAAACTACTTACTGACGGTTTTGGCCTCCATCACCTTCTCACTTAGTTTGTTCCAACTACTTACCACTCTGTTTGCAAGAGAAAATTTTCTAATATTTTTCTGGCACCTCTGTTTTCCTAACTTGAATCTGTGTCCTTTTTTTCATAAAGTTGCTGGTTTCAGGAATTCCTCTTTGTCAATTTGATCTATTCCTATTAGTATTTTGTAAGTGGTGATCATATCACCTCTCTTTCTTCTATCATTTAGTTTCGGCATGTTTAACTCCTCTAGTCTCTCCTTGTAACTCTTGTTTTTCAGTTCCGGAAGCTCTTTTGTAGAATGCCGTTGCACCTTTTCCAGTTTATTTATATGCTTTTTGAGATTTGGGCATCATACAACTGTTGCATATTCCAATTTTGTTACCGTGTATCACAAAAGTCATGAACAGTTTCTTTAGTATTTCACCATACATATAATTAAAAGCAAGTCTGACATTGAAAGCAACGCATACACACCTCTCACAATGTTCTTTGTGTTCCTCTGACGACAACTTACTATCCAAAACCACCCCTAGGTCTCCTTCATTATGAGAGTTCTGTAATTCCTTTCCACATAATTTATAAGTTGTGTGTGGTGTATTTTCTCTTGATTCCACATTCCATAATATGGCATTTATTCACATTGATTTCCATTTACCACTTGACGCTCCAAGCACTTATTTTATCTAGATCAATTTGAAGGGCATTACAATCGTCTGCGTCTCCTATCTTTCTCAGTATCTTAGCATCATCTGCAAACATGTTTATATAATTCTGTATTTCTACTGGTATATCATTTATGTAGACAATGAACATTACTGGTGCAAGAACTGAACCCCTGTGGTGACTCCTGAAGATTCAAAGAAGTTTTACATATGGATTTTACTCCTTTATATATATTATTTTCTCAATTGCAGAAACAGAATGTGTTTTGTGTTGATCCATTTCTTCTGACTCCATAAAGAGTCTTGTGTACTTTGCACTGCACATATGCCTATTGATCACCACTGTTACCAGTAGCCCTGTGAACATTATAGTAACAAGAGCTATTGCTGGGAACACCCAATAGTGATTTAATTCACTCTCCTTACAAAGATATGATAGTTTATATTTTCTTTCTTTATCAAAACACAAAGATGAATCTATAAACAATTCATAAGCCTTCTCTCTTTCTCCAGTGAAACTGTGTGTAACACTGTCATTAATTTCTGTCATCTTTCTTATGTAACTCAGAAAGCTGCAGTTGCAATTTGTAGATTTAAATACATTATTTTGAATTATCAACTTTTTGTTGAATACTGTGGAATAGAATATGAGACTGCCTGGCTCATGTTTGTGGAATATATTATCAGAAAAAACCATTGAACCTTCTTGAGATGTAGAATGTAATGAAGTTAATCCAAAGCTTTCTATATGGAAGAATTCATTGTTTATAATCTGTATAAAAGTTGCATTGCTTACTACAAGACTCTCAAGTGCTACATTCTTTATAGTATTTGCTTGGAGTGTAAAGTTGTGTGTGTCAGTATCTAGCGAGAGGAAGCTAAGGTAGCCAACATAATTATGATGGATGATGGTCTTCTCTGATTCCTGGATAATTGCACCAGTGGAGACGGTGCCAATATAATTATTTTCAAGAGCAAAGGTATGAACCTGGAATAGAAAAAGTAAATAAGCATTGTTTAAATGAAACTTGAATTCCCAACAATCTAAAAAAAATCATGTTGACAAGTTTTACACCCAATATCGTTAATCAGAATTGCATAGTGTAGAGGGTGTGAGACTTACATATCTTGGTGATAAGTTGATTTCTCCAAGCACTTCAATTTTACAATTCTTTATGGAAACAAGATCTAAAACATGGCCTTCTTGTATTTGGATGAGTATATTTAACTGACCCTTCCAGATGATGTCTTCTAGAGTAATGATCTTCAGGTTGTGGGCATGAATGTTGAGTGATCCTTCCGTGCCCTCAAAGGTGGAATGTGATAGTTGCAAGGTCCTGTAAAATAATTGATTTATCAGTATGCCAAAGCTTCTTTGAATGCATTGCAATTCACCTAGATTATTTTTTTTTCAACAGTACAGTTATTTATTGCAATTGTCATAGTTTATTATGCATATTATTCTCTACATATTTTCTTAGCAAACACTGTTTTTGAGGATTATCAGAATTCAATTTATATGCCATAACTGTCCTTGATCATATATTAGGGGTTTATATTTTTTTAGCTGCCCATTCAGATGACATATTTTAATCTGTTTATGAATTGTCATAGTCTCGATAGCTGTTTGGTGGGTGCTTGTTGGCCTAGGTTATGTCCTAATAGTTTTTAAAATAAAATATTATTATTATGTACTATCATCTTCAGATTTGGAAAAGTCAAAGTTTCCTAGGAAGATAATATTCAGTACTGTACAGAGTTTTCTAGATTTACTAGGCAGTTCTCAATTTTTTAGCTCCTTGTGATTTTTTTTCCTGTTACACCAAGTGTATTAACACTTTCGCCCGGGCATGACGCAGCATTACATCATCCGTTTACTGGCGGTAATACCGGGGATGACGCAGCATTGCGTCATCCACTTTAAATAATCGCCAAAAATCAGGTTTTTATCCGATTTTTTGGGGACTGGTTTTAAAATGCGCGCCGATGTCTTCCCATTTTCTTTGTTGAGCCTCGTGGCCCTCAGGCAGCTTGGCACACGCCGTGGGCCCATTGTTTTCGCTCCACTGTTGTGACCAATGTTGCCTCCCCTCGCATCTCAAACGTGTGAACATTTCGGCTATTTTCCGTGGCTATATTTCTTACTGCGGCTTTAGAAACTATCTACGCTTACTCCACGATGGATAGTGATCATGAACAAGGCCCTTCCAGGAAGAAAATTGCGAAAGAAAGGCTTGAAAAGGGCGGGAATTGGGAGTGTAGCTGGAAGGCATCTGAGCACTCACTTGCGGCTAACGCGTGGCCCGTCTTCAACTCGTCGGCGGTTGGAGCGTGACCATGTTTTTTATTTTATATGCTAATGTTCCTATAGAGAATTCTATTGCGAACCCATTGAGACCAAAATGAAAGACCTAGGACGAAAATTGAGGTGACCAGAGTGAAAATAGTGAAAACATTTTATCGCGTTTGCGCGCTCCTGGGAAACTCGTTCGCACTTTCTCTGTTTGCTGCGGGTAATTAGCCGGGCTTTTGGAGTTTATATGCATTTAGTGCTGTAGAGAATTCTATTGCGAACACAATGATACCAAATTTAATCTCGTAGGACGAGAATTAAGGTGACAAAGTTGAAGAGAGTATACACTTTTCAGAATTTACGCGCGCTCCCGTGACACCCTGGGTCCCATATCGCACAGTTGAGGGGTGGCGGGCGGGGTGCGCGAAAGTGTTAATTATGAGTTGTTTTTTTTATCCTTGATGTCTGAATCACAGAGGCATTAGAAGAAAGCAAACCAAAATGCAGATATTTTATACAAAGACCTTGTTAAAGAACTTGATAAATATGACCATGGAGTAATAGCCAATAAAATGAAAGCTAAAGGAATAACTGGTGACATATGAGAAAAAATCTTAAATTCTGTAAAAAGCAAATTGCAAAGAAGCCGTAAATTAAACAAAAATTCAGCCTGAATACAATGTGAAGCTCAGTTCCACATAGTATGGCCGTTACATTGCTACTTTTCCTCATAGAATACATTGGTAGGAATATAGCTCTGTTTTGTGTTGTTCTTCACTGACCACACCAAAATAAGTACTGTATAAAAATTGCCATGGTGGAAGGCAGAAAAATTAGTCAGATATCAACAAGGTTTTACAGTAACTGGTGGCGTAGTGGTAACATACTTGACCCATACCTCACCTGAAATTTGATCTGGGTTCAAGTCCTGGCTAGGGAGGATTGACTGGGTGCTAATTCTCAACTGTTTGCCCCTGTTCACCCAGCAGTAATTGGGTATCTGGTTATTAACCAGTTGGTGAATCGTATTCCAAGGAAACCTAGCAAGGTAAGGCTTACCGTGAGCTATCGGAAGGGAAAGCTCTCTGTCCAATCTAACGTCTAATGAGTCAGAAGTCATCTGTTCCTGCACCCACCTAAATATAATATGACAGTCAGATTTCGTAGAAAGGAATGACCAAGTTTGAGATATTGGAATAATATCAGAAGACCTATGTCTAGAGAACATTCAAAATCAAACTAGCAACAGCCAGTAAAATGATAATTTTGCTGGCTGGATAATGAGAACATTTAACTACACCAGTACAACTATCAAAATTGTCTACAGGTATAATTAGGTAAAATCTGTTTGATACATCTCACAGGCTATTACTATAGGTATTAGTACTTAATTAAAACTTAATCATTAACTGAATAACAAGTAATTACTGAGTTAATTTACTAATATCACATTGCACTACATGAATGACACTCACTATATAATAACAGTTTTGCATAAGTAATTTTACACCTACTCTAAAGGGGTATTGTATTGTAAGAAGAAATCATAAGCCAAATGAATATGATCTATCTTGTGGAGCTGTAGTGTGTGGATATGCTTCAAGGAAGTTAAGGTTGTTCCACTGAGATGTACTGCTGAACATCCAACAATCCTCCAGCATGTGACATTATCAGGAATGTTGATGTGACTTTTTCCATAACTGATCTTCTTATCCTGTATAATCAGTGTCTGGAAAAAATATATTTGTTATTTTACTAAACTGTTAAGTAAAATAATTGTAAGTTATTATAAATGACACGTGATGCACATACAGTACAGTAGTTTAAACAAAATCTGTGATTTTTTTCGCCCAGGTCACTAGCGTTCACTATGAAGTTTGCAAGCTAGAACTGCACATTTTCTGTACAGTTATCTTCAGCAGGAGGGACTGCATATTTTTGTAGGATATTTGCAAGTGCTTTAAATTGTTGAAGTGACATTGTTAAGATTGCCAGCCTATTGCCAAAATGTGTTTTTGTATGGGATTGTCAGCTAGGCAGTGAATTCAAACACTGGTGAAAAACACCATTTTAATGGCTAATATCACAGCTATTTATAACAGTTTAGTTTTAAATTATGATTAATCTCAGGTATATTAATACCCATTTATTTAAGATATTTGTAGTCTAGCAAAATACAAAGAAAGCTTAATACAGTATATGAAGGTTTTATCACAATTGCATCTCACTGTTTTCAATGGAGAATTATGTTAAATAAATGCAAATATATTTAAAAAATGTTCAAAACCACTGTGCTATATTTCCATAAAGATGTAGCAAGTCATACTATAGACAAATTGTATGCATACAATATTTACTTACATCATTAACTGATGGGCATAAACAGTTGAATTTTAAGTCATTTGCATTAGCATCTTCCGTACAAAATTGCACAGCTTTCTCATCATCACTAAAAACCGTCCTTAATGCAACACATAAAATTATTAGAAAGTATGTGGATGTCCACATACCCACAGATGGCCACATTTCAAACAATTGCTTGTTTATTAAAACAGGGAAATATAGGTGATATGAGTTGATAATCAGATATAGTTGCAGTAATAATATCACTTTCAGAATGGTGCCACTTTCCTGTTAAAATGAGAGTTAATGCTTTAATTTATATAATGCACTTTAGAATTATAATGTCTGTTTGTCTTGAGAACTACAAAGACTACCTGCAAGCTCAGTTTACAGTGATAACTTTGCTGTTTTGTGTGTATGTTCATGTGATCTTTCTAGCTGATTAGATAACTGATAAGGATATAGATAAGTAAACTGCACATTTGTGTTTAATATAAACCTTAGGCATATCTATGCTAAATAAATAAGGATACTATAATTAGCAGAGTAAAGTGATAAACAAATTTAGATGGATTCATTAATTAAACTGAATATATGTAGATGGAAAAAAAATCATAGATTATTTAATAGTTTGTCAATATCTTTGAATGCCACCTTGCCAATGAGGGTGAGAATGACAGAATAACCTTCACCAAGTATTATCTTAGAGCTTGTTCTACTTCCCTGTTGGGATATAACATGTAATTCTTTATTTGTCCTGCCCAACCACATGGGCTGGATGGTAGAGCGATGGTCTCGCTTCATGCAAGTTGGCGATCAATCTAGTCAAGCACAAGGTGCTACATAGCCATCCCGGCTTGGTGCCTTCTATTGATAATTACTTACTAGTCAAGCACAAGGTGAAATTGGAGAAGTTTCAAAGATATACCAACAGACTAGTCCCAGAACTTTGAGGTATGACTTATGGGGATAAGGCTACATGAATTAAACCTCATATCAGCAGAAGACAAGAATTAAGGGAGAAATGATTACCGCACACAAAATTCTCAAGGGAATTGATAGTACTGTATAGATAAAGACAGACTATTTAGCATGAGTAGTTTTTGCACAAGTGGACACAGGTGGAAAATGAGTACCTAAGTAAGCTACAGACCCATTAGAAAGAATCTTTTCAGTGCCATGGTAGTTAACAAATGGAATGCACTGTCAGGCCAAGCCCATTTTAGTTGAGGCAGATTCCATACACAGTATTAAATGTAGATATGATAAAGCCCAAAAGTTTCAGGAATGTGTGCATACATTCTATGATAGAGCCACATAGAAATAGATGGTTGGGTTGACTGCATTTATCTGAACCTAAAGAGGCTTTTGACAGAGTCCCAAGTAAGAGGTTGTTCTGGAAACAAACATACTGGAGGGGTGACAGGGAGACTTCTGACATGGGTAAAAGATTTGTAACAAAAAATGAGGGTAGCAATAAGAGGCATTGCATCAGACTGGAGAAATGTTACTACTACTACTATTTACTTAACCAAGCAAATATTGCGTCAGCCAGAAAAATGATAGGATGGATTACGAGAACCTTCAAATCCAGGGATCCCATCACAATGGTTGTACTATTCAAATAACTCGTGCAAATAACTCGATACTCGCTTTACCCTTCAGAGTAGAAGAGATTGCTGAAATAGAGGGAATACAGAGAACATGTACAGCATACATTGACACGATAAAGAACCTAAATTATTGGGATTATCTCCAACGCTTTCCGAATGTACTCCATAGAAAGGAGTACATTCGGAAAGTACATACATATTCATTTTCTATATAAACAATCTACCAGAAGGAATACAGAATTATATGAACATGTTTGCTGATGATGCCAAGCTACTAGATATTGAAACTTAGACGATTGTCATACCCTTCAAGAAGACCTGGGCATAATAAGTGTGTGGAGCAACACTTGGCAATTTAATGTGAATAAATGCCACATTATGGAATGTGGGATTGGACAAAATAGGCCACACACAAAACCTACAAATTATGTGAAAAGGGTTTAAAGAATTCTGATAAAGAAATCTAAATGTTAAAAACCTGTCACCCAAGATTCACATAAAGAACATTGTGCAAGGAGTCTGTGCTATGCTTTCCAACTTCAGAATCATTTTTAAATGCATTGATGGTGAAATATTAAAGGAAATTTTCACAACCTTTGTGAGACCAAAATTAGCATATGCAGCAGTTGTATAGTACCTATATCTCAAGAAGAAGATCAATAAACTTTAAAAGGTGCAAAAACATGCAACTAAATGGCTTCTGGAACTGAACAGCAAAAACTACAATGAGAGCTTAGAGATGTTAAATATACCAAAGATACAAGAAGAAAGTGGTGATATGACCACTACATATAAAATAGTAACAGGAATTGATAGAATTGAGAAATAGGAATTTCTGAAAACTGCAACTTCAGGAACATGAGGACATAGATTCAAAATAAAGAAACAAAACTGCCAATAAACATTAGAAAGTTTACTTTGCAAACAGAATGGTAGATGGTTGGAACAAGTTGAGTGAGAAAGTAGTAATGTCAAAACTTTCAGTAAAAGTCACATGACCGTATTGGAATGTCGGAACACCACGACAATAGCTCTCATCCCGTAATTACACTTACGTAATTAACAAAATGAACAAAGTAGGCACAGTATTCTCTCTTGAATGGTGTTAACCACGACCCAACCATGTTGGACGAGCATCCCACAAGAATCAGAATGCAAAAGTTTGGTGAGGCTATCCCCAAGAGTCTGGCCTCCAACCTCAAACACACACACACACACACACACACACACACACACACACACACACACACACACACACACACACACACACACACACACACACACACACACACACGGGACACCACGAGCGTAGCTCTCATCCTGTAACTACACTTAGGTAATTACACTTAGGTAATTACACACACACATAGAGACAATTTAATTTATAGATACAGTATACTGTTATATTTAAATATTTTCTATAATACCATCATATTTGATTTCCTAGCTTTTATATTTTGCAGAATACAAGTGTTGTGATTGGAAATGAAACTGTTATCAGTGACAATATTGCTGATAATCCAGACTGTCAGTTTTACCAAACTGTTTATGGCTGCTTCATCGTCATCATTTTGGGAACTTCTCTTATCAGAGGATTTGCATTCATGAAGGTAAATACAGGATATGTCTTAGTTTCAGACTTAAGTGATTTACACTTCTTTCTGACAGTTTTGCTACACATGCTTCCTGTTCTTTCTTACATACAGTTTTTCATATTCTAGTGTTATTCATATCACATGTGTATTTCTGAAGTATACTCTTTGATGCTCTCTAAGACAACATCATACTGGTACCTTGGTTAAGATATGAAACATTTAAGACAGACCAACATTCCACACTTGCACAACAGGTATCTTTACACATTTCTGTACTGGGACTTAATGGCACTAGGAAAACACTAGAGAAGAATTCCAACCCATAATATCCTCCAAAAAATTCACTCAGATGTACTCAAAGCCCTTCTAAATGCTACTTGGCATCATAAATACCACATTGTAGTACTCCTGCTATCAAATGGCCTGCCTGACCGCTTCCCTAACATCCATGAGGTGGCTGCAGATACTTGCATCACAACAGGGCCTCCCCCTCGACGTAACTTCACGTCAAGTTACACTCCTGAATGTAACTGAACTTCTTATGGTTCAGTTGAGTACAGCCAGATACCTGAATACAGTTAGATGACATGTGATTATCCTTTAACAATTTTTTTCATTATTCAGTGGACTCGTGCTTAAATAAAGGCTCCTAGTGCCTGTGTGCAGCACACATGTCTGATGTGTGTTTTGTCTTTGATTGTCCAATTGTTTTAGCTATGGTTTTAATTCACAATAGATGCATATATTGGCAATCTCTTCTTGAGATTACCTTTTCTTGTTATTTTTTATTTTGTTATTACAGTTCTCCCATGGTGAATGCACTACTGTGCATGTGCAGAGCTACATTCTGAGTTGGCGAGAGTTTCAAATATTCACTTAACCATACTAACACAGTTTCAAATGTTCACTACAAGGACCTGTACCTTACAGCTTGTTATAAACCCTTATAATAAATGCTCTTAGATGAATAGAGAGAAATTTTAAGACTTCTTGCCTTAATGGAATCCTAATTGATATCTTACTGGAGTCTGGCTTATTGCCTGTAGAATAGTTAAAATTTACTTTCATTGTATAGTATATGATTATTAATGAAGAATTTATTAAACAAAAATCAACATTAAATATAATTTTATTCTGTATTTAGGCTCCAAAAAATATATGCACCCATTTTCCTTTTTTTTTTTTTGAGCGTGTTCCTGTGGAAATCCCATTCTTTGAACTTTCAGACAACTTTGGTGGCTTCAAGTCATATGCATGATCAGGTTTTTATGAAAGTGTTTCGCAGCCCTATGAGTTTCTTTGACACCACCCCTTCTGGCCGCATCATCAATATTTTCTCTCGGGACATGGATGAAGGTAATATTTACAGAATGTTAAGGTAATAATTTAAGAGAATGAAGAGTAAATTACATAGAGGATGAATAAAAGGCTTTATACTTCCACATGCAGGCAGTCCCAAATCTTGTGAACATTATGCGTTCTAAAAAGGTATTCGTAAGTTGGCTGCTCTTAATTCGGAACGTGATTTCCCATTGTTGCAATGATATAAATGGGGAGGGGTTGTGTTTCTGGACACTAAAAATCAATAAACAAAATTTAAATTTTGGCGGCAAATAACATACTCTGCTTTTTATTTAAATTAAATGATAGAACGGTCCTGCTTGTCTGATTTGATGCATTTTGAAGAGCAAAGCGTTATACTGTAATTACTAAAGGAGGAGGTAGTAAAAGGTGATGAGGCATAAGCACTGGTGAACCACCAACACCCTTCTTATCAGCCATTATTTGGGCCACATTTCCTTGATTAATAACAGAAATACTGCATTATAGTCCTCAGAATTTGGTTGTACAGTAGAACATGGGGGCTAAAATTGGGATTTTGGGGCTGTTTTTAAGATCGAATGTTTGTAAGTTGGGGACCCTCTATTTTTATTGTTTTTATAAAGACAAATCATTCTTGTATATCTTATGCTTAGTCAGAAATTTGTTATTGTACTGTAAATGTTAATGACTAATTCTTTACTTGTCTGTAGGAACATTTATTAAAATGATTAAGATAATATAGAAATATGGCCATATTTGGTGGGATAAACATTTTCTCTTTTCTTTTCAGTTGATGTTCGAGTTCCCATAACAATGGAAACATTCTTGCAGAATATTTGCTTGATTTCAAACTCCCTGGTGTTTGTGTGTTTGGTTTTTCCATACTTTTTGCCTTTTCTGGCACTTCTGGCAGCTATATTTCTGTATATCCGAAATATATTCAGGTGAGTTCAACTTTAAACAAAGAGGGCCTTGACATTCACTCATATAAATGCATAATAATTTAACAGTGTCTCATACGGTTACATTTTACTTCCTTTCATTTATACTTGAACATATTTAATAAATAAGTACATGTAAGTATTTTAATTGTTTCATTACATTTCAGGTAGAGTACCTGGTTTACAGTATTGTGCATAATCTGAAAAACATAAAATCCAAAAGAATTATAAAAGTGAATACTAGAGTTTAATAACCAAGCAACTTGGATTTATTAGAAATGAGCATAACTGAATTTTAAAATGAAAGATTTTCAAATTACCAATCTATATAGAACAACAATATGAAACAAGAAAATCATTGGTTTGAATTGTATGGTATGATGAAATCATAACGCACTGCATGTTTCAAAGCTGGCTTACAACATAATTTTTTGTTATAAAATCTTTTTGTAGTTTATTTCTCACATGGTGCCTAAATACTTCACAGGAAGTATTGAGGCACCATGAGAGAGGTCACATTACAAGAGGTCCCACAGGACTAGTGATAGAAGCATAAACATGATCACTTACACTAAGCAGAGACTGTTCAAAATCTGGCTCACTGATATTGGAGGGGCAGAATCACTTAAAAAAGAGGGTCTGATATAATAAAGATTACACAATATAATATATTAAAGAGAACACAAGCCCTGAGTCGATTACTGTACAAGTACCATGTTGGAAATATAGGCCATGAACAAAGAATTAAAAAAATTAAGGGGGGGTCCCATTTGCATTACTATTGTCACTTTTGGTAGAATTGTTACCTAATTAAATTTTAGATTTTCAGTTGTTTTACTTATTATGGTTTGGCCAGAGGAATAAAACCATTATTTTTCTTGGTTTGTTAAACAAAAAATCTTGCCAACAGCATTATATACCCCAGTTAGAAATATAGATAACTGAAAGCATTATTGATAGCATAATATGAAGCAAACATAAGTAATACTAAATGCTATACATCGCACTCAATCCTAACATTACTAAAAGGGCACAATATTTTTTATTTGGTGAATTTGAAACTTTAGAGCTTTGAATTAGAGTGTTCTTTGTATTTGTAAGATGTGCTTGGGATGGAGGACCAGAGTTATCTTCTTTAATTGCCTGTAATCAAATTTGTTTTTTATTATACAAAAATATGTACAAGTATCACATTTAACTGCATGTGTTTTTTTTTACTTTTAGGATTGGAATTCGTGACTTAAAAAGGTTAGAAAATACATCTAGATCTCCATTGTACAGCCATGTAAGCACAACTGTAAGTGGCCTTGCTACCATTAATGCCTATGGTAAACAAGGCATGTTTACAAAAAAGTAAGTAGTTTAATGTTGAAGCTTACAAATGTAGTGGACTTTTGCTCAAACAGAACTGGATCCAGTGGCAGGCTATATTTTTTATTGTATGATCATTTATAATATTAAATAACATAAAACTTTCAGTAGAGTGAGCCTATGTATTCATTGGACCAAAATTTAATGCAGAAAAACATTTAACAACTCAACCAAATATTTTAAACTGTAGGTCTACTTTTTTCAAACAGATTTTGGTATAAAAAATAAAAGGTGTGTTAAAGCATTTCTGTGGGAAGCCCCTTCAGCTCCCTGGAGCTATCGGGCTAATATGCGATACATTAGAACAGGGCATTAGTTAATGGAGTTCAGCCTACTGGTTACCATGAGCCAGAACCTGGCCCCCTCAGAGAGGCACAGGGAGCAATGGCCCTGGAAAACTCCCCTGTGGCTGGGGGTTTTCCTTATTTGCCATCAGCCGGGGTTAGGAACCCAGAAAAATAGGCATAACAAAACAGACCCCACATGGTAAGAAAATTGCAAATGAAAACTGAACAGAAAGGCAAAACTCCCTCAATTCCAAAAGAAACAAGCAAACGAGCAAACATCACACCTCGCAGCTGCGCTGCTTGTCCGCACAGCCGTATAGCCCGATAGCTCCAGGGAGCCTCTGGGCTCACCCAGAAAATGGCATTTCATTTCATTCAATCCTGTTTTTTATTGTTTATGCTAATAAAAATATATTTGGTATAAAATGGTGAAAAATCAATACCATATTTCCCAGTGTTGAAGATGCTACATTTTCCTTAAAATAAAATACAATAAGGGCTGAAAATTGACCTGCATCTTGGAGGCCAAAGGTCAAGATGTTCATAGGGCTATAGGAAGCTTTTTTAGCAATCAAAGCTCCTCTAAATAACCCTAGAATGTAATGTATTAATTACTTAGTAGACAATAACAAATAATATAAAACAAATCATAAATACGTAATAACAAAAGGATACACATTTCAGAATTGTTTTGTTTTGGCAGCTATTTCAATTTGTTTTGGTTGGATGGTTTCAGTCCTCTTTAACACTACCCATATGTGTCTGCAAAACAAAATTTCCTATTTTGTAAACTTTGTTGACCAGACCACACACTAGAAGGTGAAGGGATGACGATGTTTCAGTCCGTCCTGGACCATTCTCAAGTTGATTGTGACACAATCGACTTGAGAATGGTCCAGGACGGACCTAAACGTAGTCGTCCCTTCACCTTCTAGTGTGTGGTCTGGTCAACTTACTTTAGCCACGTTATTGTGACTCATCGCCTGCATTGTAAACTTTGTTTCAATAGCAACAAAAAATGTATTCCGAAAGCTTTATTTCTTACCCTTTTCTTTATTGTAAAGTTGTACAGTATTTGTTATAAACTGACATGGCTAGTCACCAGTTGCAAACTGTAAATACAGCATGAATGCATATGATTCAGCTCTGACCATCTCTAATAGGACCATCCGTATTATAATAGGATAATATAATATTAAAATAACCTAATATATAATGAGATACAGTAAGTAAAAGAACATTTGTAATAACATTATCTTTATTTTATATATTGAGCCTAGCATAGATCCAATTTTATTTTTGTTAGCAATTCAAAATGGGAATGCATCTATGATGGTGGGAAATATGGTACCTTGGAGGTAGTGGAACTTTGCTTGTTGTAAAAGGTGTCCAATATAAATCCGTTCTTTTGAGCAAGAGTACATTGTAAACTATACAGACACCCAGTCACACCACCACCCCACCACCTTCCAATCACCCTACCACTATCCTGCCACCCTTCCATTACCTTACTTCCTCCCATCCACTTTGCCATCTCCCGTCCACCCCACCACTCCACCATCTCACCACCACCCAACTACTAACACATCACCCCACCACCAACCTCACTAGCCCACCACAACCCAATCACCCCACCACCACCCAACCACCACCTAACCACATCCAACCATCTCCACAAAAACCACCCAACCATTTCCCATCCACCCCACCACCACCTCACATCCACCCCACTACCACCACCTTCCATCCACCACCTAACAGATTCAGATTCAGATTCAGATTCAGATGTTTATTCAGGTAAGGTATATACATACAAGTGATGTTACATTAATGGATTGATATATAGATAGAGCTAGTACATACAATGCCTAAAGCCACTATTACGCAATGCGTTTCGGGCAAGAAAAACATTAATATCAAGAACTTAATACTAATTGAGCATAAAGAATAAAAGATGTTGAGAACAAATACAAATAAAGATAAAAAAAAAGGGGGAACATGACTGAAAAAGCAGCACAAATAACCTATAATAATCTCAAAATTTCAGTGTTTGGCAAAGGGTCTAAGCTTTAAATACATTCCATTCCATTCCAAATACACCTACAGTACAGTACTTGATTTATGGGAAATATTCCAGTAAGTGCTTGTTTATGTTCTCAACTTACAATTTGGGGATTCTAATATTGATCCCTGAGTGGGACGGAAATAGTTAGGCACATTTCCTTTCATCTGATCGCTCTGTTCACCTAGCAACAAATAGGTACATGTAAGTTAGGCAACTGTTGTGGATTGCATTCTGGGGAAGGTCAGTAGTTACTTCGATGAAAACACTTCCTGATCCTAGGGTACCTCAATATTAGCCTAAGTACAAGCTTCCTGATCATGACAATAGAAATCTGTTTAATCAGTATGAATATAATTTTAATTTATATAGATCTGTTATTTATTTAAGTATACTTACACATATAGGTTCATGGTCCTCTTCGATGAAAACACTTGTGTCTTCTATCTCTTCAACTGTGCTATGAGATGGTTGGCAGTCAGACTTGATTTGCTCGCAAGTAAGTGCATAATTGTTTTTTGCTGTTTAATTATTTTATTTCTGTAGTACTATGTACACTAATAATAAAGGAAGAGAGATACATTCTAGGATTCCTCATGCTACATTACATCACATTGTACAATGTTATAATGTGGTAAAAATAATTATGCATTACAGACTTCCCAATATCGCTCTTTGTGAGCAAGGCCCCCTCAATCACTCCCCAAGCTATGGTCTGGATCTGTGACTCCGTCTGGGTCTGTGACACAACCTTCCCTTTAAGCTATGTCAACCTATACCCCCACGGTGACAAAGAACTTTAAACAATTCTTGCCACTTAAATGGAAAGTTAGAGAAAAATAGGTATACAGTATGTGCAATGACTGTTCTTGTGTGATAACCCACATGTATGAAAAGTCACCAATCTATAAATTAAGAAAATTATACATGTTCATAACAAATGCTTTTCACTATTCATTTGTTTCCCCACTATTAGCATGAAAGAAATGCAATTTAAGTATTTAAACAGAGATGTCTAGAAATACACTCGTTCCATCGACATTAGATGCAAGCGCCAATATTTTTGGCTACTTGAAAGACTGTTTCATTTGGTTCTAAGTTTAATTTTTAGTGACACTGGACAGCAGTGAACAGTGCAGGTAGAGGTAAAAGAATTAAGTATAATATATATTTCTTTGCAGTGCTGGTAACGTCATTTACTGCAGTGCTGTCCTTGTTTTTAAGAGGATCAGTGGATGCATCATTTGCTGGTCTGGCCTTGGCTTATTCAGCACAGCTGAGTGGTATCTTCCAGTACACTGTAAGACTTAGCACAGAAACAGAAGCAAGATTCACATCTGTTCAAAGGATAATAAACTATTCAAAAGTATGTATAATTTATTGACATGTAAATGTATTACCATTTTTTATAATAAAGAATAATAATAATAATAATAATAATAATAATAATAATAATACCCCATAATAATAATAATAATGGGAGAGGCCATCAGTCACCCAATTCCTTTTTTGCAAAAAGAATGGGGTGACACACCCCCTTTCTGTCAGCACCTCAGCAACTTCCGCATTGTTTATGTCACTGGCATGTTTAGGACATAAATGGATACACTAGGTTCCTGTCACTATCTTGACCCACCTAGAAAAGGACTTTTTCAAACTGTCTTGCCCCCTATGGGGTAGGCAGCATGCAGGGATCAGAGATCAACCCACTTCTGAAAAATGTTTGGCAGCACTTGAGTCATCAAGCAAAACTCTGAAACAGTCCATACTATGTTTTATTTTGTTCCTCTGGCAAGATTTTTTTTTTTCTGAAAAAATCAGTAGGACCTATGAGGAGGATTCAAAGCTATGCTCTGTATACTCTCAAGCACGTGCCATACACCACTACACCACGACATGGTAAAAGCAATGCAACCTGGGAGTGCCCAGAGCATAGGTTTGAGCAAACGAGCATGACCTCACTACATCGCTGTGACTCGTTTGTTCATTTTCATTTGTCGAGTTCTGTCGTCCAATAATTCAGCTTTCAGTAGCAATGTTAACCAGAATAGGCTGACCCGGTCGATGGCAGACAGAATTCTTCCAACCACACGGGTGGTTTCTAGAGGCCATTTCTCCATGTGCCTCTCTGAGGGGGCCAGGTTTTGGCTCGTGGTCCCCGGTAGACCTAGAACGCCATGCACATTGACTTATGCCAAAATCTAATATATTCATATTAGCCTGGATAGCTCCAGGGAGCCTCCAGGTCTCGCCCAAAAAATGGCGCTTCATTACATTTAACGCTGGTTTTATTCACATTGGGTGCCTGCCTAAGGCAGTGACTGAGTGGTCTTGTCTTAAAATAAAAAATTTGATTTATATCTGTATTATTTTAGTATTGTTTGTAGTACAGTATTCAATTATTTTGTGTTGTTATTTGATTCTATTTGTGTTATGAACTTATTGTACATAATTCAAATAGAAATTTTCTATATATAATTGGAAATGTCACAAAAAGATTTTGATCTATATTCTTAAAACGTCTCAAAAGATTATGAATACTTTTCATTCAGGGTCTTGAGTCTGAAGCACCATCCATAATAGAATCAAAACGTCCGGATGCTACTTGGCCAAAATATGGACGCATCAGTTTCCGTAAAGTTCAGATGAGGTATCGACCAGAAACACCCCTCGTTTTGAAGGGCATCACCTTCGATATAGATTCAATGGAAAACATAGGTTTGTCTTATGATTGTGTTGTACAATATATACTGTACAGTAAAATGTCTTAAATATTTAAAATTAATTAATTGTAAATATATGCAAATATTTCTAATACTAATTGCATTTTGTAGCATTAATAAGCACTTCCCATGCACTGCTCACTCCCCCTCTCTAATGCTCTCCTGCCCCAACACTCTCCTTCCCTTTCCCACAGCCTCCCACCACACACTCAGCCTTCCAACCCAGTCAGAGGATCAAGGTTACACATACCAACCCTTCTTACATCCCAAGTAATATTTTGTTAATTAATAAAATGAGAAATTAGTAATGATGTAGTATACTGTATTTACAAAGCATGGACAAACCATAGTTCCCAGAGAGTACTGGTATTGATATTGTATTAAAGCAATGTTTTTTCCTGGTATTGTTGGTACTGTACTGTCTAGCTATTATTTTGATAAATTTTAACCTCTATTTTATTAGATGCATAAATCAACTCAATGATCTTGCATTGCTCTTTGCTAGTTTATAACCTGAATTTCTCAAGCTCATTCCCTTGGCTTTTTCTGGTAAATGGTAAATGAATGTCTTATCTTGCCATGTATCAGTCATGTTTGTTTGTAACAGTTTTATAATTGGAACTTTGAAATGGTAGTTTTATATTTTTTGAATCCTCTTACAATGTGAAGTGCAACATGTATTAAATGTAAATTTTCGATTTTTTTAAGTAATGGTCTGTGTAGTAAACTATGTAGGCCATTGATGTCTCATTTCTTGGGCCTTCAGTATTAAATTCTAGACTATCAGGATAATTTTTTTGCATAATTTCTAAAACTCGCTTTCACTTCCAAGAAAATCACGAGTACTGTGTGTATTAGTAGCTAATAATATTATTTTCTCTTTCGCATACATGCCCGTATTTCATTGCAGGGATAATTGGAAGAACTGGATCGGGAAAGTCATCGTTAGGAATAGTGTTATTCCGGCTAGTTGAGTTGGCTGGCGGTACTATTCGTATTGATGGAATAGATATCTCTACTCTAGGGTTAGAGGATCTTAGGTCACGGATTTCTATAATTCCTCAGGATCCTGTGCTTTTTATAGGAACTGTCAGGTAAAGTACTTGAGCATCTACCAGTATTTATCTTACACTCCTCATAAGCAATAATACTTTTTATCAGAATTATTTGTATTATTTGTATTAGAATTATTTGTATTATTTATTAAAAAAAGTCTTTCATGAGTTACATTGAATTAAATAAATTTATATGGATGCAAACAGCCTTGCATTCCCTACAAAATGGGGCAACAGGGATACTTGCCTCCAATAGGTAAGATTGACAACGCACTCTTAGAAGTAAAATGCAAAATACAGTATAACATAAAAGATAACAGAAAAAAGAGAAACAACAGAGAAACTTGACTTCAAGAAAGGACAATGCAGGTGTCTAAGCTAGGTCTTTAATGGATTGGACTGGAATTGTTTGTTGTTGGGCAAGAAAATAAATGAGAGGTATGTGCCAAATCTTGTGATATGTATGATGTAGGCACCCAAATATTTATACCAAAGCAGAGAAGCAAATACAGAAAACAGGACTGATCTAATAGAAATTGTGATAGGGGGGGAAGAGAACAAGATAAAAAATTGAATCAATGTAGAAAGAGGTCAAACCCTCAAGTTGCACCTGAGGTAGGTTTTTTGCATTTTATGGTAAGCATTTTCTCTCTACATTTTTGGCTTGACTGAGTATCTTCTGGTGGCTTAAAAACATCAGAATGATCCAACAAGGATAGTTTGAAAGATTCCCTGACAAGTCTGTGTGACAATGTTATGTTCCCTCCCAAACTGATACTGATCCTATCCAGAGGCAAGTAGGGTCTTGCCTCAATGAGTGATTAAGTATATGGCTAAGAAAAATCTTTTATAAATTTAAAGGTTAGATTTTTTTTTAGTTTAATAGTACTTGAGCTGAAGGTTGTTCTCTCTAAATTGGCTGAAGAGTTACACATTCGTCATGACATTGGTGTTTATATTCCTTATAAAAATTATAAATTTATTGGTTTACATCACTCTTACTTTCATTTTCCCAAGAATAATGTTTAGTTTTTAAGGCGAAATATAACCATGCCAATTGTTACCAAAAGTACCAGTTGACTGACAGAGCTTATTTTACAGATATAACTTAGATCCATTTGAAGTTCATTCAGATGAAGAAATTTGGTCTGCCTTGGAGCAAACCTTTATGAAAAATCAAATTTCCAACCTAAAATTAAAACTTAATGCACCAGTGGTGGAGAATGGTGAGAACTTCTCAGTTGGTGAACGTCAGTTGATGTGTATGGCTAGAGCCCTCCTTAGAAAGAGCAAGGTAAGCTAACCATAAACAGTGTACAGTATTGCAATTTGAATTTTAATACACATAATGCAGAGTATACAGTTTTTAAATTGGTTTATTTGTGTATTGTATGCTAGGGATGAGGTGATAGGGGGAGATTGGTATGTTTTGGACAAAAGGAGGGGCCCAGACAAAGTCCTTAAGGATTAACCGTGAGAATAATAATTATGATACAGTAATAATAAATGTACTATTCTTAATAAAACATGATCAGCTAGAAGTTATATTACATTTGTTCATTACTGAATCGGTCTAAATTGATGGTGAGTATTTTTGTGAAACCAAATCATTCTTTGCTTTTGTGTAAATTGTTCCAATAGCAAAATCTTTCCACCTTCGTTAATATGTACTGTATTAACATTGGATAGAGATTTAGGGGGCTCCACTGAACTGTACTTGCAATGACAACCAAGGCCATCTGTATTCTGCTTGGTTGTTTATCAGTTAGGAGTTTGAAGTTAAACCAACATTGTAAATATTTTCGGTAAAGAGCCCCTCTGGCTCCCTGGGGCTTACCAGGCTGATAAGGGTTATTAGATCATGGCATCAGTCAATTTGATTGAGTTCTAGCCTTCTGGGGACCACGAGCCAGGCCCCCTCAGAGAGGCTTGAGGAGCAATTGCCTATTGAAATCCCCCATGTGGTTTCCAACCCCCATGCAAGCACAACTAGGTGAATACATATCAGCTCGGTAAGCTCCGGGGAGCCTCCGGGACTCGCCCAGAAAATGGCATTTCATTAAATTCAACACTGGCTTTTTCACTCTAAGGCTAAATCATAATTCTGTTTCAGATTATATTCCTAGATGAAGCTACAGCTGCCATAGACACAGAAACTGATCAAAAGATTCAACAAACACTGAAGAAAGCCTTTAAATTTTGCACCATGATCACTATTGCACACAGGTGAGGCAGTGTTTTAATTATTTCTGAGAGGGCCCCCTTCAGTAGCTCCCAAATGCTATAGCCTAACAATGACTAAGCCTTGGGGAACACAACAGGCTTCTGAAAACTCATGAATACCTATTAGGGACCAGGACTACTATTAGCAGACCTGCCTACATATTAAATAGAATATACAAGTGTATCCACAAATTTCAAGCATATTACAGTACCTTGTTGAGGGATTTTTTGTATTTGTGTTAATCTCTAAATCACTAAATAAATTTTCATTGTCTTGTATATCTCAATCATTATGTTAGCTGTGCAATAATGGCTTTGTGAGAACATTCCTGTACCTAACTTGTAACTTGATTTGTATTAATTAATTTGTAGGTATCCCTAGTACTGTTATGAATGCACTGTGTATATATACTGTACTGTACACCGAAAATGTTGCTAAACCAACCTGATGGACCTTCTCGTAAATATGTAAATGCAGTATATATATAAAAACAATTATTGAATAGATTTGTATGGCTCTTTCAATGTGTCTCATATTTAATACAATATTTGTTTTATTTTGTATATGAAGATTGTTACAAAAATTAATTATATTTCAGGCTGAAAACAGTGATGTCCTGCTCACGGGTCATGGTGTTGGATGATGGGAAAGTAGCAGAGTTTGACACACCAAGGGTTCTTCTTGCCAAACCTTCTTCAATGTTTTCCAAAATGCTTGCAAAAGCCGAATCTTCTTTTGCCGATTAAGGAATCAGTGCAAGCTATAGTGTATTGAAAATATTTTAATTTGTAAATTGATTTGTTGTGATTGTGTGTGTATTTTTAATTAATATTACTGGTATACAAACTTGTTACTATTTTAACCTTTTTTTAAATTTAGTTTTCACTTCTAATATAACAGACTTGCCTAAATTAAGAATAATCCAGAACCCCTAAAATCTGTTGGAAGAGTTAGCATCACAAGATGACAGAGAGGTTGCGAGATACAGGAGGGCAATTGTACCTTGTACAATTACCCGTACTGTACAGAGAGGTTGCGAGATACATTGTACCTTGTCAATCCAAGGTACAATGAGTACCTTGGATTGACAAAGAGCAGCAGAGGGGCAACTTGAAAATTGAATACTGTACTAGATAGAGCAAAGACCCAATCTTAATTGCTTCAAAGCCATATCAGGCAGAAAACAGCAGTAATGAAACAGATGATGAAACTAAAAATAGGATAGGACACATTCACATAGAATGTGAGGAACTCGAAAGACATTTTCAAAATGTCGAGGCAATAGAACATGGGAAGAGAGAGATGTATGAATAGAGAGGGTTGGATTCAAACTGTATAGCACTGAATGGCTTTGAGATTATCATTGATAAAGTAAGACAGTACTTGCTGAAACTGAACATGATAACGAGTATAGAACCAGGTAAGATATGACTATTATATACTGTACTTGCGATAACTTACATTGCCTTGATTCACAGTAAAACTAATAAATACACATAAATGTACTAGTCTACATTTTGCCAAATTTACACAACTTATATATTAATTGTTAAATGGAGGAACATGTTGCTGGATGATTGTAGATTAATACTCCGTGTAGGCTTTAATAATTATCAGTGATGGTGTTGAGAGAAGATGATGGTTGACAAGTTACTGTGTAAATTCAAAAGCGATTCTGAAATTCACAAGCATAGCTCAGGCTTCTCTTACAATGCCTTTTTATGTGATCTTCTGGTGACAGTTTCTTTGGTTATTAGAAAGATAAAGTGGTGCAGGTGATGAGTCACAATAACGTGGCTAAAGTAAGTTGACCAGACCACACACTAGAAGGTGAAGGGACGACAACGTTACGGTCCGTCCTGGACCATTCTCAAGTCGAATCGACTTCATAATGATCCAGGACGGATCGAAACGTTGTCATCCCTTCACCTTCTAGTGTGTGGTCTGGTCAAGATAAAGTGGTACTTTAGGGTACACATTAGTGAACACCACAGTTAGTCAGTGAGAACTGATCACTGACAAAACCACCTTTCTCCATAATTCTGGAACACAATATCTCTTATCTTCCTCTTCATCTGCAGCCAGTAGATCATCATACATGGTGTTGATTGTATTAGAGTTCCTCCTGCATTAGAGATATAAACAAAGAAGGCCTATTAAGCCCAAGAAATTTTTATTGACCTGTTTCCAATAGGTAACAGATGTTAATTTAATCTTTCATTGTTCATTTTTTTTAATTAAACACATTATTGAATTTACTAGGTTTAATAGGAGATGATGCTAGTAATAGTAATTAATTACGGCATTTATGTATAATTTAAATTTTTTCTCTCGACTTATGTTTCACATAACATTAGTTTTGCAATTTTATATTTGATATTTAATTTGTTTTCCATTTTTATGACTGCATTTAATATTCATCTCCTCTGTATTTTGGGCTGTGATAATGACATAATATATGTTGAAACACTAGAAAAATAAATCAAATGAAGATACAGTACTCATTTATTATTTTGCCTAACTAGCATAAAAATAAGATAATCCTTTGCATTACTGGTAAAGAATTTGTGTCCAAATGGTCTTCTTCTTATATCCAAAGTCTCCTTCCCTATGATGAGACTTGGGGAAACTTTTAATATTGCTTGCCTCCAAAGTTTACCAATGGAGCTTTCAAAGTTAAAGTCAGTACAGTTAAAATATATATAACTATCCCATGGTGAAGTTTAATTTTATCTGACTGTATTTCTGACTTTACACAAATATTTCCCAAAAACCATCTGAACCCTTGCCACTCTCTCCTACATAATGGCAAGGAAAAGTGATTGCTAGAACAGGAATCAAAATAAATGTAAATTACAAAATAAACAAACTAAAAATGGCCCTAGACAAACAAAAGATTCCATAATCTTGACAGAAACATAAAGCTACACTAATACAAGGCTCTAGTCTGGCCACATATTGGAAACCTCCCAGTACCACTACATACCTGAAAGAAAATTAACATGCAAAAACTACAAGGTGTTCACTTTGAAGGAACATGTTGTTGATGGAACATGTCTGCCATACGACCAGATAATCCAGAGTGTGAAATACAAATTAAATACAGTACTGGAACACACAATGCTAAAAAGATTACTTCAAGGTGATACATCCCCTTCTCACAGTTGTTTGGTCAAGAGCTTGGATCTACTCGAGGGCAGCCAAGCCTCAAAATATATAATTTCAAGAAGAAATAAATAAAAAATGAACAAAATATGATACCTAATTAGTTTAGAAAACATGCACAAAGCATCAAAATGTATATACAGTATATGAATGTTACACAGTATTGTATTCATCTAAGGACTTCCACACATACTGAAATATTTGTGAAAACCTTATGCAAACCTGTCCACACTGTGCCAGCTCAAAGATGAAGGGGTGGTGATGCGGAGCTTGGAAGGTCAAGGGTGTGGTGATGTGAAGCAGAGAGGGTGAAGGGGTGGTGATGTGTAGCAGGGAGGGTGAAGGGGTGGTGGTGCGGAGCAGGGAAGGTGAAGGGGTGGTGGTGCGGAGCAGGGAAGGTAAAGGGGTGGTGGTGCGGAGCAGGAAAGGTGAAGGGGTGGTGGTGCGGAGCAGGGAAGGTGAAGGGGTGGTGGTGCGGAGCAGGGAAGGTGAAGGGGTGGTGGTGCGGAGCAGGGAAGGTCTTGGGGTGGTGGTGACAAGCAGGGAAGGTGAATAGGGTGGTGGTGAGTAGCAGGGGTGGTGGTGCAGAGCATGGCAGGTGTGGGGGTGGTGTTAAATAGCAGGGAAGGTGAAGGGGTAGTGGTGCGTAGCAGGGAAGATAGGTGAAAATGATCTAATACCAGAAACTGTAGCCATATATCCCCAGTTTGCTAACTGTAGGTGACTGTAAGCCATCCACGGCCACCCGCTGGCTGGAGGGAGGGGGGGCGGTATGCAGGATTAACATGTCAAATGTGTCACAGCTCTCCACACGTGACACAGCTCTCCACATGTGACACAGCTCTCCACATGTGACAGCTCTCCACATGTGACACAGCTCCACACGTGACACAGCTCTCCACACGTGACACAGCTCTCCACACGTGACAGCTCTCCACACGTGACACAGCTCTCCACACGTGACACAGCTCTCCACATGTGACACAGCTCTCCACATGTGACACAGCTCTCCACACGTGACACAGCTCTTCACACGTGACACAGCTCTCCACATGTGACACAGCTCTCCACACGTGACACAGCTCTCCACACGTGACAGCTCTCCACACGTGACAGCTCTCCACACGTGACACAGCTCTCCACATGTGACACAGCTCTCCACATGTGACACAGCTCTCCACATGTGACACAGCTCTCCACACGTGACACAGCTCTCCACATGTGACACAGCTCTCCACACGTGACACAGCTCTCCACATGTGACACAGCTCTCCACATGTGACACAGCTCCTCACGTGACACAGCTTTCCACACGTGACACAGCTCTCCACATGTGACACAGCTCCACACGTGACACAGCTCTCCACACGTGACAGCTCTCCACACGTGACACAGCTCTCCACACGTGACACAGCTCTCCACACGTGACACAGCTCTCCACATGTGACACAGCTCTCCACATGTGACTACCGTGGTCAGTCTTGAACTCGTTGTTGCAACATTATACATTAAATTGTATAACTAGCTCATTAAAAGACTATCTTGCTTTGCTAAGTGAACTGTAGTGTTGAGTCCGTGCCTCTGTAACCCTTTCCACCACCGCCCACAAGATGGATTACGTAATATATCACCTTAAGTCATACAAAAAATGGTTTTAGGGGGGATGAGTGGGTGAACGGGGGGGTGGTAGGGGGGAGGTTGAGGGGGGAAGGAAGGGTGAGGGAGGGGGACGGTAGTGAGGGAGGAGGAGGGACAGGCAGACAGGCTGTCACGCGCTGCTCTCACACACACACACACATCTCATCATGGACACATATGGCCACAGCTCTACCATGAATTCCTCTCCCGGGGCGGCTAGTGGGGAGAGCTTCAAGTAACAGGGCAGGTGTGTGTAGCTGGGACACGGTGTGGCTGCTGGGGAGGGCAGGTGTGTGGCTGGGACATGGTGTGGCTACCGGGGTTGGGGTTCAGGTGTGTGTGTGTGGCTGGGACATGGTGTGGCTGTTGGGGAGGGCAGGTGTGTGTGGCTGCTGGGGAAGGCAGGTGTGTGTGGCTACTGGGGAAGGCAGGTGTGTGTGGCTGAGACATGGTGTGGCTCCTAGTAAATACCACCATTCTGGACCTATGCCACAACGAGTGTTTTTCTTATTAAATTGTTCATGTGTCTTTAAGTGTTGCTTGTATATCTTCTCTCGAGTACTGTATAACATTAAGGTGAAGGTCATTGATACTGTTTTGCACATAGGGCATTATTATACTCCTTCAATGTAAGGCTAATGTGTATGGACACACACTGGCTGCCTGTGTCTTCCAACACAATGAATTATTCATTATTATGAATGATATTGTTAAATCAACAACGGGTTTCAGACTGACCACAGTACAGTCTCCAAGCTAAGCAAGTGACACATGTGGAGAGCTGTGACACATGTGGAGAGCTGTGTCACGTGGAGAGCTGTGTCACGTGGAGAGCTGTGTCACGTGGAGAGCTGTGTCACGTGGAGAGCTGTGTCACGTGTGAATAGCTGTGTCACATATGGAGAGCAAGTGACACATGTAGAGAGCTGTGTCACATTTGATATGTTTCCTACACACCGCTCCCCCATCCAGCAGGCGGCCGTGGATGGACACTTTATTTTGCCTAGTTACTGTATTTTAATTTAAAATTTGGATAAAACGATTCGGGTCAGTTACAGGCAACTACAACACATTTACTAAGAGTGAATGAGAGATTTTATTCTGAACTACAGTATATCTTTCATACATTTCTGTAAGTTTAAACATAGCATCCATAGTTGGTGCTAATAGAATGAGATCATTGCACAAGATGTTAGCCTAAGTATTGCTTATGCAACAGCCAGCTCTATTGGCATACTTCAACTACTGCAGCATGTAGAGGTAATCTACATCTTGAAGTGTATAAGGCAAATTATGTCACTTGGAAGCAGGTAAACTAATGGGCTTGCAGTCTCGTTGTACCGACACCGAAACCTATCCAAGCTGGGCTTATTAAATGCAGTAATTATCACTGTTGTTATTAATGGAATGTCTTCCTAAATCACACTCTTCATAATTTGGAAATATAATTTGGCCTAGAATACTTGTTAAGCACAAATATACTGGTATAGTCAAATGTTTTTTAGTGTGTATACAGTATATTAATAAATTTTTTATAGATTCTTTATTTTTTATTTCTGCCTGAAACGCTGCGCGTACTAGTGGCTTTACAAGATTGTAATTACTATTCTATGTATCCTCACAATCCCAATGTACCTTCTTGTATATATATAAATAAATAAATAAATAAATAGAACAAATAATTACATTTGTTAGAATTCCATGCTAATTATATTTTCTGTTACAGGCCTCTTCAGTAATTATGGCTGTTTAAGAGCGGGGGAGCGAACACAGGGCCCCTCTGTGAGGGGTCCGTAGCTGAGTAATGGCTCCCCTGGGCTCCTACCATTACTTCATGTGATATACGAGCCACTGAAGTGGCTGAACATTTCTTGAAAATAAATTGTATCAAGTGCAGCTCATACTCGGTACAATACCTGTATACTGTATCAGAGGAAGTGATGGGGCCTTAAAGTTGATAACTTAGAGCTAAACAGAATGTGTGTGTAATATTCATTCATATGATGATGAAACAAAATCGTTATTAACTTACTGCATCAGTATTTCATGAATATATAAGTGTGGAAAGTGTGTAACAATAAATAGTGCTTCTTGTATATAAAAGAGACAGCATATTTTTTTTTTTTCTAGAGACTAATAGCTTTTTGAGTACAGAAAGAAAATAGCTCGTGTTCATATTATTGTAGGTTCAGTGAAATGAATCTTGTGAATGTGCTTCAGTCGTATTTCGTATTCATAAAACATAACTGTTAAGAGTTTCGAGTCCTTCATAATCAAGGCTGTGAAATTTCCTTGAACTGTACTTAAAACATTTATCACAAGTTTTACTATTGTAAAGTTGTGTGGGTGTCTGTTACAAAGGAAAACAATGTTTAACTATTGTGATGGCTACATACTGACAATTGAGAACCATGGCTCATTTAGTTAGATACAGTTATTAGACAAAAATACGGTCCATTGACTCTAATCCTGACAGTTACTTTTGTCTGAAAATTTAAATATGTCAGTTGTGTACATTTTGCCATTGATCACAAGACATGGCATAACAATAGTCATACAGCATTATCCACATCTGAGCTAGATATGTAATGAATGGAAGAGTTGAAGATTGCCCTACTCCAGCTGGATAGCTGCTTTTGTGGTTGACAAGCCTAGTTTTATATGTTAAATTCGAACACAAAGGCAAAATGAGTCGTGTACTAGAGTCAGACTGCACCTTTGGGTGTCGTTCCCGGCAGCATGGGTCTCAAATTACCGCAGCAATCATCAGGGGCTCAGAGGCGCAAGCTATTGCATATATGAGAGTGAGTACGATTCTATCACTGTACTTAAGGTCATTTAATTTTACATGGTCTTATTTTTTGCGTAATGAGCAGTAATAAAATTATATTTAACATGAATTCATTGCTATACATTTTTCATGAACTAGTACATGCAGTAGTGGTTTTTTCAGAATTTGTGTCAGCGTTACTGGTGTGTGACAGATGAAACAGGGAAGACGGCACTTCACACAGCAGCATCTTGTGGCAAGAGAAAGGTTGGTGTATTATAGCTCAAGCTTTTCTCTCTCTTGCTTCTCCTTGCAATCTCTTGCAATAACAATGCACTGCTTTGTAAAAGACATTAAACTTGGGATAAATCTTTCTCTTGTGCATTTATTTGCCCAGTTGTAATTTATTGTAGAAATTAACATAGGTTGAAAATTTGCTGTATGTACAGCTTGTTTAGATTAGGTATGCTGTATAGTAATACGTGGAATGGTGGTGAAGCTTTTTATTGTAAACAGTAATTGTATTTTTTTCTAAGCTTGTAGCTAGCTTAGAAGTTTCTTAGCTTATGTTTCATAAAGTTTTGAAATATAAAAAGAAGTGCTGTATGAGATAATGAGTTAAAAACTAATTTTTGTTGAATAAAGTGTAAGATTAAAATAAGTTTTATTTTAAAATTGAATTTATTTAATAAAATAGATAGCATTCGATTGATGACATAATATCCAGTGTTGAATGTACAATAATGAAATGATCATTTCTGGTGAATTCTGCACCATACAGCCTTGGCTGTAGAGGTGCAAGCTACTCATAGATACTTGAGACCAATGGGAAAGATGAGCATTCTGCAACACCTGACAAAGAACAATGCTGAATCACAACAGGGCTGACCTTGGCAAAGCCAGCAAAGCTGTCCTGTCATCCCAGATCGGACTGAACTGGGAAAGAACCCATTCCTTGGTTTGCACACAAGTCAAGTCAACTGGGTGCACAAACCAGGCAGTTGTCAAGGTAGACCATACCAAAATCTGGATATCATCTCACAAAGATGACACAGGACCACCCAAGTCAATTTGGTGAAGGTTCTGGGCACCAGGTTCAAATTGAAAGGAAGTGCCCAAAAATGGTATAAAAGATGCCTGACACAAAACACCGGCCAGTCCCTTAATATCAGATGGATAAAGACCCCTAAGACATCTGAAGAAAGGGAAACTGATCCCAAAGATTCTAAGTCTTCACTCAGTATACTCAGGCATCATGAGTTAAAGGGTGACCCATGAGTGAGAGGGTGTGCTGTCATGTACCCCTAGGTGACCAGGGTTGCCACTAGATGGCAGTTATGTGCATCACAAATAGGTTATTTACACTATGGCAACAATAATTTTCCTTATTACCTAAATGTACCTAATTTTCTTTTAAGTACTGTAGTTGCTAGTTTTGTTGCACATATGTTCTTTAGATTTTTTGCTTTCTAGTTTATCTTTAATCCCCAATCTCTCCCCACCTCATAAAGAGGAATGGGTGGGTCTCGGAGGTCTGGTACATATCCCTAAGACTTGACTGGACCAGTATTTAATTTTGAATGGTCCTTAAAGTACTGTACATGAATTTCAGGTTGTGAAATGGCTACTCTCCAAAGGTGCATCATTCAATCAGCGTGACTGGGAGAGTGGTTATACCCCTCTACATCGTGCACTCTTTTACGGCCAGCTTCATGTTGCTTGTGCTTTAATTCAGGTATGCTTTTGTCCTTGCTATATAAAAAGTGTATATTTAGGTGTATTAGCCACCTCATGTCTATAGCCACCTCCACATTGTTGCTTATTGCAATACAGGTCCTGTACTAGTCCTGTAGTGTCAGAATTTTAAGGTAATAACATCGTCATTTTTTAATGATAGCACATCATTGACACGTATGAATAAGTATGCCACTATAAGTAACTCAACCATATTGATTTGCACATGACATTGTCTTCATTGTCCTGAGAAAAACCTTATGGATGAGCTTGAAATGTTCAACACTTACATATGATGGTATAAGGAAGGTCTATTATTATTGTGCCATGTAAACCCTTGTTGCAGTTAATTGAATCATTTAAGTGTTATTAGCTGGTTGTTTTGAGCATAGAAACTTTGTGTGTGTCTGTCTATTTTCAAAGTAATTACCTAAGTGTAGTTACAGAATGAGACCCATACTCATGATGTCCTGTCTTCCCTATAAGTTTTGTCATTTGACATTTTGATGCTTCTGATGGTTTTGGCATCTATCACCCCCTCATTTAAATTATTCAAACTGTTCACACCACTTTACAATAGAAAAGTTTTGTATGTTTTATTTTGGTACCTAGTGGTGGTAAATATACAGTGTTTCATTATAGTGGGGTTCGTTTGAGCATGGTCCCACTAAATTGAGTTTACTTCAATTACTTTTCATCTAACCCATTCCTTTTGTTGACACCTTAACATCAAAGATGTCAGTTTAACAATAACTTACATATATGTAACTTTTTTCTTGTTTCCATTTATGTAAAGCTGTTCTGAGGTTGAAAGAATGCTTCTTTCTCTACTTTGTCAGTAGAATCTAATACTGTATGTCACTGTAATGTCCCTCATATTCCTCCTCTCTAGTGTAGAGGTCCAGCTCCCTCAGGTTAGGGTTCCATGATGGGGGGTTGCATTACTCAAGAGGGGATCTCATTGGTTGTACTGTATATAGAAGCAAGGAAGCTTTTTTTGTCTAAACTTGTGTGTGTGTGTGTTTTAGAGTGAGTACAGTACATTAAATTGTAATTACAGTATACAGTAGTTATATTTTTACATAGGCTGGAGGAAGCATTTCTGCCGTAGACCACGATGCTCTTTCACCACTGGATCATGTGAATTTTGATCGCCCACCAATTGTCTCCTTCACCAGCTCATTACCTACTCATGTCTATGTTTGGGGCAACAACACAAATTACAACTTAGGCCAGGTAAGTTCATTTATTTTAGCTTTGCTCAATGGCAGTGACCATTGAGGTATTTAAACCTCTTTGATCACCTCTTTAACACTTATAAAGTTTCTATGAAATATATGTACAAATTTTTATTTTGAAATATATTAAGAGTAGATTTGTTTCAGACTAGCCAACATGCAAGAGGAACTCCAGAGTGTTTAGACTCATTACACCGTGAATGTCGTGTGATAAAAGATGTGGCGCTGAACAAGTTTCACACACTGTTTCTTGCTAGCAGTGGTCGTGTGTATACCTGTGGTCATGGCCAAGGAGGAAGGCTAGGACTGGAAACCAACTCTCCAGTTATTACTCCACGCCCTATAAAGGCCTTCGTACACACTAATGTTATCAAGGTGGCTGCAGGACCAGACCATTCTCTGTTTTTAACTGATTCTGGACAAGTAAGTATTGATTAGGAAAGAGCATCATGTGAATTTGTTCAAACATACAGTATATATTACTAGGAAGAGGTACCAGGAGGTGTCTGTCTTTTCCCCCACTCCCATTCCTCTCTTCTATCCTACACCTCCCTCTTCTCATCCTTCTTCCTCCCCTTTATCCCCCTCTCCCCTTCCTTCCCCCTTCAACTCTTCCCTTCCATTTCTCTCTTCTTCCCTTCTCCCCCTCTATTTCCCTACTCCCACCCCATCCCTTCTTTTCCGCCCCTGTTCTTACTTCTCTGGCCTCCAACCTCGAACAGACAGATATTTCCATTTAACCCCAGCACTGTGCCGGCAGACATATTACCGGGTGTGCTGGTACACCAGCCGACATGGGATTGTGTTAGTATGTCATCAGAGTCAAAACTCCCATACATACAAGGGGGCACACATTTGCTTCTTCAGGTCTCCAGTAACCATCCCCAATCTTGAAAAAATTCCAGCGTCCCTACTTTCCTTCCATGGGCTTAGTAACGTGGCCTACGTTACTAAGCCCATGGAAGAAAGTGGTGATAACTTTCACCATGGAGCCTGCAACATTTATCGTCACTGGATTTATTTTAGCTGAGCCTTATCAGGCAGAAACTGCTTTGTAGGCCTGTTTTGTTTGTATTTGCTGTATGGTGCTTGGTACTCATTTAGATACACCAGAGTTGGCTCCCTGTAGTGTTTAGGGACTCAAGAGTTGGAGGGGTTGGTGATGTGTTTTTCTGGGGTATACATGTGATACTCCCATGTGATGCAAACATGCAAACATGTGATGTTTGGTCTCTGGTACTGTCTATGGAGTGTTTCACTGTGAGCAGAGGATTATACTTATTCTCCATCCATGTTTTCATATGTTGAAGTTTAGTCTTATAATAGTGTGAGGAGCCTGGTGGTATAGGGAAAGTTGAAGAGTGAGTTATTTGCCCATTTCAAATGCTAGTTGGGTATTTTGGTTCCCCCAATATTTTCACTTGGAATTATGTGTTTAATGTAATAAAATTTGCCTTTTTTGGGTAGTTGATTTCAATACTAGGAGATGGTTGATCTTTGATCCACTTGCTCTACCTTCTCCTCCTTTGAGGGTTAAAATATTAGCTCTTACTCTCAGTTGGCTGAGATTGTCACTGGAGCCTGGTGTTGTGGGATGGTGCTGGGGTGCCAGTGCAGTAAGCACTGGAGAGATGCCAAAGTGCTGCCAAGAAAAGTGCATTTCATTACATTTATCACTTTGTATTATGTATATTAATTGGTTTGTTTTCTCTTATTTTAGGTGTGGAGTTGTGGTACTAACTTGTATCACCAGCTGGGTCTCAGTCCCCCTCCAGAGAATGTTTATACTCCAAGAATGCTTACTTGGCACAAGTCTCATAAAGATGTAATCGTTGGTATTGGTGCAGCTAAATATCACTCTGTGATGTGGACTTCTCGAGTGCTTTATACATTTGGCCTCAATGCAGGACAGCTTGGTCACTTCAAGAATGCTAATGAATGCACTATTGTTACTCCTAGAAATGTAACATCAGTTGTTGTTAGAGAAGATAGTAATCTTGCCAGTGTGGCGGTCAGTGATGGAGCTACAGTGCTCTCAACTTCTAATGGAGATGTATATGTTCTTCATCAGTATCAGATTCGCAAAGTAGCTTCCAAGATGCATGGAGTGGTAAAAGTAGCCTGTGTTGGAGGCCATTTAGATTCTAAAGTTGGAGCTGATGGACTTATAGAGCATGGAGGTGATGACCTAAAGATTGCTGTCCTAACTGGACGTGGAACCGGTCATCTGTACCTGTGGACTGAACAGTCATCTCATTTGTCTCGCTGCCTTTTCAGTATTAACAGAGAAATCAGCTTAACTGATTTTTGTCTTGGTCGTCATTGTCTTGCAGTGGTAACAGATAATGGCGAAGCTTTCTCAGCAATTGTTTTGCCTGCTCGTGAACGCAAGACGTCTGAAAAACCTTTAATTCGTAAATCTTGGGGATCATCAAGCCAACTCATTGAATTTCTTGATCGCAGTACTTGTGTTGTATTACGTTTAACTCGCATTGTTGCATTACATCGCACCATTTGTGTTATGTGTGATCCAAAAGGTCTAAATTTTGCTGCCCTCCAGAATGAGCCAAATTCTTATTTGCTTGATTTACCTCAGGTAAGCACTAGCACTTTGAAGGAAGATTTTAAAACCTTACTGAAAGAAGAAAATGAATCTGACACAATACATGATGTTGTAATTTGTTGTGGGGCTCAAAAATTTTTTGCTCATTCCTATATTTTGGCCTGTCACAGTGGTTATTTCCGACACCGCCTCTTTAGCGTTAAAGAGAACTTAAAGAATGATAATGTGGATGTCCAGAAGGAGTGGGGCACTCTTCATAACTCCGAAAAGAAGTATTTTACTCTCCAAGATGTTCCACCAGATATCTTTCAAGAGGTTCTTGTGTATATATACACCGGTTCTTGCAAACTCATTTCTCAAGACTGTACTTCACATGGCCAGCTTCTGGATAATGTAACTGGAAACAATCCAAGTATGAATGATTGGGTGCTTAGTGAAAATTTGCAACAAAAGCCAAATCATTCAGTGATTAAAGAAGTGGAGCATTTACAATCTACCAACAAACAAAAGAAGAAAAAAGGAGGCAAGTTGTCAAGGGTGAAGACAGCAGGCACCCAACCAGTGCGAGCTGCACTTGCAGTTGCAAAGAAACTGGAAGTTACATCATTAGAAAGAGAACTTGATAAGATAAGAATATTGGATGGATATATTGAAGCAGAGTCGGGTGGATGTCAAAAGTAAGTTTTTCTTGAGAAGTTTTTTTTTTACATTCACATAATTATCTGTTGGATACTCTGGTCTTATGTATTTTGTATTTATAATTTGAATTAATTCTTTATCCTGACAATTTATCTTATTTCCTGTAACTCATTCTATACAATATTTTCATTAAAAAAAAAAGCCTTAGGTGAAGGCTTCGCTATGTTTTTTGCTGCACAAATATAATATCTGAAAAATCATTTGGTATACAGTATTATAATTTTTATTTGAAAACATTGAGTATTTTAACCTGTATGTGTTTTTTTTGTTATTTTTTAATTTGTATAAAATTTACTTCAATTTATCTGAAGCTTGCCATCTTTAGTGGCCTTCATAGGGGCAGGAAGCCTGCACCTTGTCAAATATCCCTCCATCTGAGAATCTTCCAGAGAAATTTTTTAACTAAATATTTGTCTTGATATTTATGGGTTCAGTGAGTAGGCAGTTCCACATATGTGTTTTACCTAGTAGGTGAAAAAATATCTCCTGTTTTCTATTCTTTATTGTGGATTTCTGTGGAGAGGCCCTTTGACTCTGAAGCTATACTGGGCTGATGTCTATGTATTAGACCGTGGTAAAAGTCAATTGATGGAGTTCTTAGCCTACTGGGGACCACGAGCCAGAACCTGACCCCCCTCTGAGAAGCACGAGGATCAGTGGCCTATAGATACCCCCATGTAGTTTGAAACAGTCTGTATCTGCTTCCAATTACATTGACTTGGATTTCTCATTGATTTGAACCTGTCTCTGCTGATCTTCCCTTGTAGCAGGTTTATTTTTATCGCACCTCCAGCCATCCTCTCAGTGGTTCTTTGAGGTGTTGTGGGATACCTTATGTCATGTTATGTTGCTTTTGTGCTCATCTTCAGCTTGTTTCTGTGATTTTGTCCTTTTCTGTATTCTGTTTTTAGGGTGTGGTTTTGCTGCCCATTGCTGTTGCCCTTAATTGTTTCGTCTTGGCAGAGCCCCTCTTGCTGGTTTTAAGATAGCGCTCTCTTATCTTCGTCTGCCCATGCCTCCCTTTGTCTTGATCATTCTGTTCTCTCCGGCAGGCTCTCTCCCCTCCATAACGTTCTTCCCTTTTTATTCTATTGTTTTAGTGTTCCTGTCTCTTTGGGCTGTGTTTTATAGTTTCAGCCTTTGCCATCTCTTTTGGTGAAGTAGATGATGTTAGCTTTTTTGGTGGGGTCCTTTGGAGTTGCTTGGATTCTCTAGTCAGAGGTTCATTGCTATCTTTATCCTGTGGATGCTGTTCACTGCTACTTGTGTACCACTTGTGATCAGTACATTCAGGAGGTTACACTCTTTGTTAGCCGTGTGTCTTTGGTTTCTTGTTCCAGGCTGAGTTTTCTCTGGTGGTCTGGTGTGTGGTTGTTACACTGGCTGAACATATTTCATCAGTTGCACAATGTTTGCAAAGTTTTGTTTTAAATGTGTAAATTGCAATTTAGGGTATGGAAGCCATTAGTTGCAGTGAGTTGTTAGTTGTTGTGAGGGGTTAAAAAAGGTAGGAATGTTTAATAGTTATTTGCAATTTTTTTTACAGGGATATGAAGTCTTGGGAAGAATATAAATACAGTCGGGAGAAACATCAGGAACTATGGGATGTGATGATCCGCAGCAAAACTGGAGACATTCTTGGTGCCCACAAATGCATCCTTGCTGCAAGATTAGAATATTTTCGTTGCATGTTTGGGGCTAGCTGGATTGAGGTAAAGCAACATTTTTTCATAACACAATTAGCTTTTTTAAGCAATTGTACTTAAATATACTTCAGTAGCTTGTTGACCAGACCACACACTAGAAAGTGAAGGGACGACGACGTTTTGGTCCGTCCTGGACCATTCTCAAGTTATGGTCCAGGACGGACTGAAACGTTGTCGTCCCTTCACTTTCTAGTGTGTGGTCTGGTCAACATACTTCAGCCACGTTATTGTGACTTATCGCCTGCTTTAGCTGATTGATTTAGTTTAGGCACCAATGGAAGCATTATTATTGTAGAAACAATAATGATCACATTCCATTAGCTGTTCTTTTCTGTCTGTTCTGACACTGCAGTACCATCTGCTGGTCTACTTTCACATTTCCTATTGGCAACTACTGCTACTTCATTCCTTATATTTTTCCTTACTTCAGCCAATCTTTTCTAATTTATTTTGTCTGTTCATCTTAAGCTATGATCTTTGAGACGGTATAAACTGTCCATACAAGTCTTCTTTCAATGCAAGCTAGTCATGGCTGCTTCTCTTCTATGTTACTTAAGCTAGCCTGTAGAATTTATTCTATTTAGTATTTCAAATTTTTTGTCAAGTCTTTATTTTACATATGGTTGTACTCATAATGGAAGCAGGTAATGGAGGTAACAAAGCACCTAAGATACACAGGTGCAGATTGCTTTAATATACGATTGTATATTTATTGATCCATTTTTTATTTTAAACCAGGTTCTTGACTTATCTCAAATTTGTTTTTCTTTGACATGTTCCTAACTACTTATGTACCCAAGAAGGATGAGAGGCAAAAACTGGCCTCATTCTCCAGTGTCAACACTTCTGGCCAAGCTGCATTCCAGTATCTGGGACCCTTCAAAAGAAACCACCTCAAATTTTCCTGGAGTGGAAAAAAGCAAGACCCCACAATGGTGGTGGGAAAGCAGCCAGTTTCAGGCAAGGTTCTGAACTATCAAGGATAGCTTAATGGGAGACGTAACAAGAACCTATGGTTTCTATAATATCAGAGACAGCAACACATGTATGGTTATTGAAGAAAATGTTTTGGCGCCACAGCTAAATAAAGTGGTTGGGAAAATGAATTATTCAGTTACTTTTGGGGAAGTTGCTGCATCTGGCAGTGAAGAGCAAGCAGCTTCCTTCCTGATTTGTTGTACAGATACTCAAGATCTGTTGACCAGGAGCTGTAAATTCTCACCAAAGAAGACAGGGAGGCTCCCAAATTCCACTTTAGTCAAGGACTGTGACTGCAGCACCACCCTGCACTCAGCAGGAGCTTTAAAGGTAGCATCAGGGGGAAACTGTTAATAAGCACCACACGGCATCCCATGAAACGGCACCAAGCAGAATCTGATTCCGTCTCTAGTGGAATTTCCATACCAATAACACTGGAAAATATACTGGGCAAGGGCCTAGTAGAGTTCTAGGACTACTCAACTCAAAGCGAGTATTGAAGCTGGCATTAGGTCACAAGACTTGTATGCTCAGCAGACCCCTAACCTAATCCTGTCACTCATAGACAATGCAAGTCAAGGACTATTCAGGTTCTGGCTGAAAATAAAAAATAACTAACCTCATGACAGAAGGAATATGGGAGGCTTTTGTGCACCTAGAAACCTAAGCCAAGACTCATTTTCCTCTGCACTTCAAGTAGAAGGGATGATTCAAGACGAGAAACCCAAGCTGAACGCACTACCAACCCAACACAGGAAAACTGACTACATCATTTCAGTAAAACTTGAGAGAGGTGTAAAGAAAGTGAAAGCTCTCATATGTGAAGTTCACTAAAACATAGGGGACATAGGAAAACATAGGAAACATAGTTCATAACAAAACATAAAACTAAAACATTCCTACTTATGAGGAAAACAGTTTCACGATGAAGTAATGCCTCTTAAATGGAAAAAAAAGAGGCCCACTATTAACTGTTGGTGTTCTCAGGGGAAGTCTGGATAGAATATGAGAGGGGATTACCACATACCTCTTGTTTAGGTTTCCCTTAATGAATACTGATTCTGTTTCAGGCTACTGCATCCAAATCACTGAACATGCCTTTACCAACCAGCGTACTTGTCATTATTCTGGACTACCTATACGAAGATGAATCTCCCAAGCTACGTCATTGTCGAGATCCAGAATTTGTCTGCAATGTGCTAGCCGTTGCAGATCAGTTTTTTATTACTAGGTTACGGGAAATATGTGAAGATGTCTTAAGTGGCTTGCTTACATTGAAGAATGCAGCAGAGCTATTGGAATTTGCATCAAACTATAATGCAGTTCAGTTAAAAGAAACTGCAATGCAGTTTATCAGTCTAAATCTCACTGCAGTATTAGAAAATGGGTAAGTTTATTTTTACACATTAATTTTTTTAGTGTATATAATTGGGTATTGCCAATATGTAATACCATGGGATTACATATTTGTAAATACATTTCATAGGTCCTAAGTATTGTCAATAAAAACATCAAGATCTTTTCTTTATATAATATGAATTGTATTGAATATTACAGTATTGGGAAACATGGTAAAGTGGAAGATAAAATTGTGTTTGGAATTAGACATGGTACCAAGAGCGTGTGCTCTTTTTTGAAGTTTGTGCACCGAGACACCTTGGTGCACAAACTTGGCTTCCTTGGTCCGCTCAGCAATGCATAAAATGTTTATAGTCAATTTATATTTTTTGAGTTATTTGATGGGTAGTTACTATACATTTGGCGTCAAAATGTTCACAAATGAATTCTCTAGAGAATAGATGCAAAAATAAAAGAGCAATTGTAATTGCTTATGCATGACAGTGATGAATATATGAATGTTCATGAATAGCAATAAAATGATGTGTTTTAGCTTCATTGGAATGTTTGAGATTGGATTATGGATGATGTGTTTTAGCATCATCGGAATGTGAAAGTGTTAATAAAGGGACATACCTATACATACCATGCACCGGTGTTTTAAAGTATTCAATAACATTTTAAATATTTTAGGCTTGTTGAAAATCCTTGTGTATAGATTTTTGCTTTTTGGGAGGAAACCACTCGGTAGGTCTCTCGACCTCAACTTGGTGCCACCAAACTTTAGCAGTGCACACCAGGCCTCTGAGACATTTCCATAGCTTACTAGAAGCCAAGAACAAAATCTGTCTCGCACTTGAGGCAAGGGAGGTGAAAGGAATTGAAGATCAACAAAACACAGAAAAGCCACAAGAAAGCATAGGCACATCTAAACAAGAAATAACCAGGGACATACTATCTCAAATACTTCAAACTCGTAGATGTCCAAATTACAGGTACCAGTAATACAAGTAATATGTCAAAAAGAAGAATGATAGACAGGAAGAGCTGTGCATTAAATACAATTTCAGTAATCAAAGGATTAATTGGGAATAAATAAACAAAACTAGCAAGCATCCAAGGGGGAAATGACCTAAGTATCAAGACCCCACGGAGGAATAGAACAATTGACTTCAAAGCATACAAAACCTGCTTTTAATATGTTCCTTTGCAAAAGATAAAGATCATCATCTTAGAAAGTGAACACAGATGACTAAAAAAAAAAAAAAAATGCTCAAGCAGGCACAAAATATCAAAGGAAACAATATAAACAGGCAGATTGAAGAAATAGAGCAGAAACTAAAGCGATCATACCAGGCTGAAGAAATTTTTATGAAGCCATGCATGAGATCGGAAGAAATTCAAAATTCTTTTTCACAAAATCTAAATTGTTACTGTATCCCCACCTACACTTACAATATAAGGTTCATACATAGAATGACAAAGAAATTAGTGAAATACCGAAAGAACTGTTTGAGGTATGTTTAACACCTTAATAGAAATATAAAAGTTGAAGATCTGGACAGCTTCTTCTTAAACGATAACTTTAACTTGAGCATTTTAACTGATATTAACACAAGCACTACAGACACTTTGAAACTACTGATAGTTTTGACCTCCACCAACCTGTTTACTTAACTTGTTCCTCTCACCTAGCACTCTGCAAAAGTGAACTTTCTAATGTTTTTTGGCAGCTTTGTTTCCTGAGTTTAATGGGTAGTGAATCATTGTTTCCTTAGTTACAGTAGTATGCCTATGCTTAGATATACTGTATTCAGGTACTGTATCTTAATATAGTTATGGGGAAAATGAATGTGTGTTATTGTATAACTAAAGTGCGAGACTTAATGCATGCAAATAGGGAAGGAATAACAGTTTTTACATTTCTAATGTCTTGCTCTACCTGGGAACTCATCTTCTGTAATTTGGCTTTGTTGTTGCAACTTTTACCTCATTGAGTGTGGGAAAAAGTTAATATAGAATAATCATCATAATCTAGGAGAGTTATTATGCATCATGGCTGGTAATTATATTTTTTCTTTCCCCAGATCTTTGCTCTCTATCAGTAATAGTGATGTGCTCGTAGAACTGAGTGGCTATTACAGAAGATTTATCCCTCGCATGTCCTGTCGGATGATGACTCCACACAATTATCCTCCTTATGCAGACGAATTGGAGCAAATCCTCGAGGAGAGGCCATTTATATTACCAGAATCTGATGAAGAATGGGATGAAGACACTTCTGTTAAATGTAAGTGTATAAACTTTTCTAGCTGTGGAATATCTATTTTGCGTTTTGAGATAATTGCTGGTGTGGTGGTGCTTGTCTATCTATAATGCTGTATAGCATTCATTATGAAATAAATGGACGAGTGCTGTTTTTGTATTAAATATAACTTAAATATTCTATATTCTGCTCTTCTTTCTGGGCTGCATTATTAGTTACTCACTTAGGCTAGGTCCTGTTTCCCCCTGACTGAAATATGCAGTCAGGGCAGGTCACCATTATGCAGCAAGGATATTTGTTAATGTTCTCTCTGGGTCATTCTGGCACAAAGGAGATATTGTAGAAAACTTGATCCACCCCAGAATAATTCCCAGAAACTTCCTCCATCCTCCAGAGAAGCCAGTTTTGCCATTTTGTCTGATGATTTTAGGTCTCTTCTGTGCTTCAAGATTTTTGGTATAATGCTCTAGTTCCAAACTTATGAAATACCCTCTTGTATGAGGGCTATTAATAAAGATTATAAATTCATTATTTTTCATCAAATAATTTTGTATTGGCATTTATATGTGGTAATCTCCTCTCTCACTCCTGTTTTAAGATGCAATACACAAGTGCATTCACTGAATTTTTCACAAATTCACAGGTGATAAACTGTTATCAGCTGGCGGAGGCTCAGGTTCAGCACGTAAAAAAAAGCGCCAGTACCGCAACAGTCAAGGTGATACACGTTCTCGGAAAACTTCGGCTTCTTCTGTTAGTTCCTCCGACTGTGATACTACCAGAGATATAGAGGAAGATCTGGAAACATTAGATTTTAGTGACCTAGAAGAGCGAGTTCCTTCTGAATCTCCAGATGGTAAGCCAGATGCAAAAATTAATTATTCAAAACTGCCTTCAATGATACATCCAACAGAAATTGAGGCCGTTTCTCAGGTTTCTCAAGGTTAGTGTGGTATTGTGTTAATTTTGTTTTAATAATTTAATAATATTCAGATTTTGTTTTATTTGTTAATATGCATTTGGTTATGTATAAATGTTTGATTTACTTGTATATTTGGTTATTCTGTTTTTAATCTCCTTGTTTACAGACAGTAATTCATGGCAGAAAGTTTGTAAGAAGAAGAGTGTAGTTGGTCATTCTGTCATGTTAGTGAAGTCACCGAGAGAATCACCACTTCCAGAAAATATTGAAATTGACCATAGGCCAACAGGAACTCCATCTCCACAAAAATCATCCCAAGCTGAGCTTGATAAGACAGTCACACCCAGCAGGTACATATGTATATATTCTTTGGGGGAAGGCTTCCAGGGGTGGTTCCCCAAGTTACCCATCTAGAATCCTCCAAACCTTGGGTCTCATGCTGCCTTCTAATGAATTACGAGAGTTGTCTGGAGACCAGAGCAAGAATCGGGCCATATCAGTAGAGGAAGACCCCAGAAAGATAGTGCACCAAAACAAGCACTGCTTGCACAACATTTGCAACCATGATGCTCACCACTAGTTAGCACCACTTGCTCCCCCAAAAATGGCAGCTCTTGTGACCTGAGGGTTCTGGCCAGCCACCCCAGCTATTAAAGCATCTGCCTTGTACTTGTAGGCCCCTCCTAACCACTCTGCATACTCTGCCTCAACCCAGGTCATACTCCAAACCTGTAGCAGGTTAGGTTAGTGTCTTTAGGTTTCGTTGCTTTGGCCTGTAACCTGGGGCTGGTCCTTTCACCCAGTTGAGATGATCTGCCTGCACATCTGCTCTAACAAGGTGGCCCTTTATAGACTTACCTCACCTCTAGGCGATCATGGGAGGGTTTTGTGGGAATTTTACCCAGGATGGATGTTCACTGTACGTTTCCCTCATCCATGTCCATACTTCCTGAAGTTTTATCTTAAGCTGTACTGCACGGCTGAGGAAGAAAAGGGTTGGGAGGATCGCTCTCTTGTCCTCCACTTGTTGTGTTCTAGGTCTGAGTAGCTCCACCCTTGTGTTTTCTCAGTTTCTCCTGGGCCGCATGTATTATTGTCTCTGGGTAGTCTCTGTTCCTGAACATATCCCATAGGTCATCAAGCTGGGGGTATAGTATCTTATATATAGTATATAATATAGGGGGTATTACTATACAAATACCATCTAAGCTTATTGAGAAAGAGTAAGGTAAGGTAATTATCAGGAGTAAGTGTTAGCCCATATGACTATGTAGCATAGGGAAGGGATATGAGGATAAGAATCTGAGATAGGTCAGAGGGAAGGAATAAGTAAAAAGTAGTTAATTCCTTGATAATAATAATGTGCCAATTTCTTAAAATTTCAGTGTCTCAGGAGCACCTGGAGGGGCTTCATTACCCAAATTCCCAAGCTTGCAGAACTCCATGGTTGCCGTGCAGAAGACTGGGCAGCTGCCTAAAAACAGGTAAAGTTAACAAATAAAATGGGCCATATTTTAATTTATATTTCTGGCCTGGGGCTTTATTATCAGTAGCTTCCCAAACTAAACAAACACTAGCGTAGCTATGCCTTTGGGAGGTGCACAAGGCCTTAGACTCACCTTACCTATTGAAAGCCAGATAAGTGGTATTAGCTATGCATGGAACATTTAGTTCCATCAGAGCCATTGCTTTGTTTTTGTTAAATTTTCTGCTTCATGTGTGTGTTTGGTGTCATTCTTATAGCATGTGCATTGTTACATGCACATAGCATTGTTAAGTTTAGTATGTCTAATGCAAGTACTGTACTCCCTGATTTACCCAATTTACTTGAGGGCCATTAACCCTAATGGCCTCAAGGAGGTCAGGAAGCTGGCAGCTTGTTGAAGGACCCCCTTTTTGCCTTGATAATCTTTTCCAAGCATATCTTGAAACTCGGCACCGTTTTGGCAGTTACGGCTTTGGTGGATAGGTGGTTTCATGGGTTAATAACCCTATGGGTGAAAAAGCATCTCCTGTTCTCGGTCCTACATTGTGACTTGTTGAGCTTGAAACCGTTGCTCCTTGTTTGTGTTACATCTCATCTTCTGAAGAAAATATCCTGATCCATATCTTCTAACCAGTTACTTTGTTTTAAATTATATATAGTTGTATTCAGAGGTTATGCACATTATGGCAGCTGCATACAAAGGGATGTGTATCCCCATAACTCCGTGTGGTTTTTATAAATACAGTACAGTTTTTTGTTAATAAAGGAGTCCTAGAGATGCCTCATTATAAGAAAGATATGTAAAACCCGTGTTTCAATTCTCTTTTGTTAATTATATTATTGTAGTTGATGTGCTGTACTGTACTTGCTGAGACCATAGATAGATAAACATAGCCAGAGACAGACCAGATAAATTGTATAATGATAAAATTACTAATAATCTGTTAAGACATGTTGAGGTTTAAAGAGTTGAGGATTTGGCGTTGAATTTCATTTGTGGCAGAAACATAATATTTGTTGTGTAAAGCTTAGATGTTGGACAGTAGATCTGTTGCTGAATACTGAATTGTTTGTTTTAGGTACTGAAAGACATAATATAACTGAATTTCCACACACAGGATCTACTTCAGATAGATTACAGTTCAGGGATTCTAGTGCTGTATAAGGTAATAATACTGTATAAGGTAATAATACTGTATAAACAATTTATATAGCAAGACTGGCAAGATGTCTCAGAAGCAGCGCAAGAAACTGGCAGCAGAAGCAGCAGCTTCGGCAGCAGAAGCAGCTTTACCTGTGGTATCAAAGATGCAAATACCAAACTCTACACCAATAAAGTCTGCACCAGCTTGGGGTCAGTGATCATTACAAAGTTATTATCATCTTAGTTTTCTCATAATTTAAACTAGTGAACACTGAAAATGCTTGATTGATATGATCCTATGAGGATTTGACTGGTATCACAGTTTAATAAGTTCAAGCCATTACCTTAGTAAACTGATTTAAAAATTATTTAATATATCCATGCAACGTTGAAAAAAATTGAAGGCAAGATAAAAGAATAGTGTTAAGGATGCTTTGAAGAGAAGAGTATCTGTATGGAAAAGCACAGTTTTGACGGCATGTAAATGTCTAGTATTGCTGCTCAGTTAGACAATAGGAATAAGTATTATGGGGTGTATATTGATAAGCATAAAGTTTGAGAGTGGTGTGTTCACCTCACCAGAGCCCTGAGTGGGATGTGTCAGTTGGTGAGTTCTTTGCTTATTACTGTATATAATTTTATGTTGTAGTTTGGTGGTCTTCCAAGTCTTTCTTGATGGGTGGTAAGTGCATTTTACTTCCTTCAATTTTTCATGTAGTTTATTTTTGTAGTGAGTTGATCTCCGATCCCCCACATCCATAGAGTAGGCAAGTTGATGCCTGCTCTCAGTGAGTAAAGATAGTCACTGAAACCTGGCATATCCATAGAGGCCTTGGAAGCTATAAGCTGAGAGAAGCTACTGAGCATACCTCCCAAACAGTGACGGTTAATTACATTTAATGTTCTTCTGTTTTCAGGCTCCACCAAAGATTTAATTGCTACAGCTACTTCTCCAACTAGTTCCCAGACACTGGCAGACATTATGAAGGCTGAGGAGGCAAGGGTAAAAAAAGTCAGTGCTCCAGTAGTAATTCGAAGCAGCAAAACCCTACATATGTCGGGTACTCCAGTCAGAAAAAGGTAAGTAATACTTTTGTACCAAATTAATAAATAAAGTATCTATGTCAAGGAATACAGTATGAACTTATATTTTTTATTTTAACAGTATCATAATAATGTCTTAAGGATTTGCTTTCAACTTATTGCACTTGTACACAAACACTATGGTACATTTTCTTTTGGGTGGTGGGGCATTTTTGGAAACTAATTTAGCACAGTAGTGATGCTGTTTGGTTGTGTTCATTGTAGTTGGGTGATGGATCTTTAGCAGTTTTAGAATGATTCTTGTTGATTTTAAAGTTGTCCAGAATCATTTGAAATTTAAGTTTTTGTGCCCCAGTGAACATTTACATCTTGGTAGAATGAGATACGGTGATTCAAAACCCACACATCTTAAAATGAAAAAAATGATGGCGTTTTGGTCTGTCCTGGACCATTATCAAGATGTGTAATGGTTCAGGACAGACTGAAATGTCATCATTTCTTCATTTTCAGATGTGTGGATTTTGAATCAACACTTCAGCCACATTATTAAGACTCGTCGTTTGCGGATTGAGATATGCTCTCGATTGAGTTCCTCATCCACCTTTTCTGGTAGGACCTCCTCACTAACTCAACCAAACTAAAAGCACTATGCAAATGAAGGGTCCTAAATTGTGGAACAATTTCCTAAATGTGATAAAATATTTAACTAGCCAGTATAAGAGAAGCAAATAAGTACCTAATTGATATTTTGTAGTCAATCTGAGTAATGTCCACTGCTCTCTCATAGCATCTATTCATCTTAACCCCTCAAGTAATTGGAGCCATGTAAGGGTTAAATAAGAGTATCACATTGCTGTTACTTTTGTCAACATTATGTAATTATTACAGTGCATAAATAATGTAGGCATGTGTATCATTGTAATTCCTGCAAATAAAAGTGGTCACCAGAAATATAACTTAAATGTGCTTTCTTTCTGATCAACTTAAAATTCATTCAAAATTTTGCTCACTTTATTAAACATTACCTTAATATTAATTATACTTGAGTGATATAGCTTTGTCTATAATTGTTGTACAACATGTTTAGTGTTAAGACTTACCTGACGTACCGAGGTGTTGCATACAAGTATGCTCTTCCATCTACTTGCACATCAATGTTATAATATCTCAATTGTAGCCTATGTTTTAAGAAAATGACAAAGATAATAACAATGTTTATGTTTAATGGATATATATAGTATATAATATTGCAGTTTCAGTTGGGGCCATGATGATATTTCACAAGTTGGTCAGATGAACACAGAAAGTGAAGGTAGTGGAATATGGTCCATGGTGGCATCTTCACCACCAGTTTCTCCAGTGGGCAGCAACCTTCCTTCTCCTGGTCACAGCCACTTAGATAAAAGTATTGCACAATCACCTTCTCAACTACCTGCGGTTCCAGATTTTTCTCACATTCTGCTTGAGGAAGAAACCCACTCGGATAATTTAATTAAAGAACGCTCCAAACCCTTGGCAATGATACAGGTATGAGAGTGTATGGAAGATAGCGTTCAATATGTTGATATATTACTGTGCTAATTTATAATTTTAATTATCGTATACAGTTTGCTCACTGGTTAATGTTAAGCATAATTATTCAACCTGTCCTCTCACCTAATAGGTTGCAGTTTTAACAGAATAGACCAACCAATTAGTACAAATTAAAGCACCATTATAGTGGCATTTTCTGAACACAGTCTTAATATATTAAGTGGGTTGCTTGGGTTTGTATATTTTTTATTATTCAGAACAGTTGCATTTTTAAAAGTGTCAAATCTAGAGAATGGCCTGAATTATTAGGTATTTCTCAAAGGAGTACCTTATACTTTTTTGCAGAATTAATTTTGCCTTAAATTTTTGGTGTTTGTGTGATATTTGGGGAACACCTTTATATACTGACTAGAAACTTGTAAGGCTTATATTTAGTGATGCAAGAAAGATCCCTATTGTTATTAAGTCATATAGCACACTAGTGGTAGGTTTTAAAATCGTTTTAAACTCACTGGTTGGTGATTGACCTTTAACAACACTGTTTTACAATGCTAGAGGAAAGTAGAAGCAGAAGAGAGTTTGATCACCACATGAAATCCTATGGAAAGTAAACATTAGCATCTTTTAATTTAGAGAAATTAGAACAGGAATACATCTGTTAAAGCTGGAAACAAATTACAGGCAGTAAGAAATTTATGGAAGTACTTATACTATGTACTGATGGTCAACAAGTGAAAGCCATCTTCATTTACAATTTCAAGACAAAATACAACACTGGACTCGAAAATCAAGATATTTAGAGAGAGTACTAAATATTATTAAGCTAGGTGGGGGGGGAATGAAGACCAAGACTCGCACTCCAGAATCAATGATAGGCAAGCGGTAAATCACAACCCAACCATGCTGTCACCACACCCAACCATGCTGCCACCACATCCAACCATGCTGCCACCACACCCAACCATGCCGCCACCACACCCAACCATGCCATTTGTACTATTATTCCTTGTATTCATTATATTCCATGTACTGTACTCATTACAGCACCTTGTAAATATTGAACTCCCTGTACTTTTCATACCACTTTTCATTTTGTGAGATATGACAACCTTCACAAACCTTTCTATTATGAAAAATAATTGGTTTTGTAGTCAAGCTGTTTTTTTTATGTTGACTTGTAGGATACTAACACAATTATGGCTTAACTGAATAATTTTTATCATTTACAGTTGGAAGATCGTGCCATTGAAGAATTGTTGGCCTTCTATGGATCATCAGAATGTTTTGAAGAAAAAATTACTGTTACTCGTGTGAGAACAACTGTTGCCAATCCGACTTGGAGTAAATGATTTTAATATGTATTTAAGACCCATGAGCTAAATACAATGACAGATAATAGTAAAATATTAAAAAAAAAATTGTATTCCTAGTTGTGATACCATGTTATAGTATTTTTGTGCATATACTTTTGAAAATTATTATTAATTTTGGAGTAAGACAGTTTGCTGTATGTTTTTAGACTACTTGACCCTAGTCAATAATTAAAGACTGTTTGTTAATAATTGTTATCGATATTCTGACACTTAAGCCCTTATCCAAAGCAAACTCATGTTCATTCATCAGTTCAAACTTTCATTTTTTTTTTTTTTTTTTTTTTTTTTTTTTTGTTACAGTTGTAGTCATCTGATCACATTACATCTAATCTCCATCGGATATGACCTTAATACTCTACTTCTCACTTTGAAATGTTTAAGGTTGCTGTAATATAGTGTACTACTATTACTGTACCTTAATGTTCACAACTTTACAGTATTTGATGCATGTAAAATTACTTTCCTTTTGCATTTAACACAAACCTATATTATTGTAGATGTCTGCATAAAATTAAGCCTTTATTAAGCATGTATTGTACTTTACATGCTCCAGTACTTATTTTTTTATTTTTTTTCATTCTTATATCGGACATAGACAAGGACACAAACTATAGTATCATATCATGTGCAGATGACATTAGGATTTTTACGAGTAGACAACATAGAGGACACGGCAAACCTCCAAACTGATGTAAATCAGGTCTTTCAATGTGCTGCAGAAAATAATTTATTTTTACTGAAGAAAATTTCCAGCACCTGTGCTATGGAAAAAATAAAATATAAAAACGGAAACTACATACAAAATGCAGTCAAATCATACCATAGAACATAAAAGCAAGGTAAAGGATTTGGGTGTAATAATGGCAGAAGACCTTACCTGTAAAAAAACAGTAGTAGCTGGCACAACTGCAAGAAAAATGATAGGTTGAATAACAAGAACCTTTCAAATAAGAGATGCCATACCAGTGATGATAATATTAAAGATACCAGTGCTTTCTATTTTTACTCATTTCTTTACTCTCTTTCTGAGAAATAAACCATCTAAATTCCTGGGACTGACTCAAAAGCCTAAATCTGTATTCTCTAATGTGCAGGCTGATGAGATACATAATAATTTGCACATGGAAGATATTAGAGAGGCTGGTCCCAATTCTGTACAACTCGGGAGCTGCCTAGTATGGGCCAATAGGCCTTCTGCAGTTACCTTTGTTCTTATGTTCTTAAATAACATCACACGAGACCAGAAAACATGGCAGGATGTGCAGAATACCCTCGCTGAAAATCAGAGGTGCAATAGGTACTCTGGAGAGAAATCTGTGATACCTTGACACTTGTATGCCAATGGCCAGCAATACCCTATCCCTATACTGAGGTCGCTTTTTGGGACGTCGCTAAACAACAACTGGTCTGTAGAATGTATTTGTTTGTTATATAATAAGTTAGGTTAGAATGGTTTGATAGGGTTTATGAAATGAATAACAGAAAATATGAGCAATGCGCGAAAATACGAGCCAATGTAGCTGAATATCGACTCTGATGAAGCACAGAGTACAGTTGAGGTATTAAGCCTGATTTAAGAGTTTGCACTAATGTGTGAACCTCCTAGGATCCGCATTTAGCACGTTGGCGCTTCGCACCGCATTAGGGATGATGATGTCAGAAAAGAAGGTAACTGCAGAAGACCTTATGTCAAAACATGAGTTGCTTGCTTTCACTCAATGTAGTCCATACATATATACACTGAATGAGTGTTTTGATTTGTTATATTCTACAGCAAGGTGTGGGGAGGCATGTTTTGAGCGAATGTGAGATGTGCATATATATTTATGCACGCGCATATATATTTATGCGGTTATGCAGCAATATTGGATTACTACTGAAATCGCATTGAAGTCACCACGCCTGGCAGGGGACTGTTTTCATGCAAATGGTCGATAGTGGGTTTTCATTTTTATTTGCCCTATGCTACATAAGTATTCTCTGAAGAAAGATTGACAAAGCTTAAATTACATTCATCAGAAAGGCGAAGAAGACATAGGGGCGACATGATAGAGGTGTGGCTGAATGGATTCATGAACTATAAGGCAATCACTAGCAGAGGTAACTAAAAACTGGTAGGCCAAGTCAGGACCTTTTAATCTCCTTGAACGTACCTATGCAGTAACGCTGAGCGGTTAGCTGGTGACGTCATTGACCATTAGCGATGTCTGTGCAAGGGTTACTGGGGTAACGAAAAACACACGACACAAGTCGTGTCCGCTGCAAAATGACTTGACGACTACTTCACCGGGGTAACTAAAAAGACACGACTCATAACGTGTCCCTCGAAAAAAGCAAAATGGACACGTTATGAGTCATATCCCACTACTACATCCTGATGATAAGATAGGATGCCCCCATCCTTAGATATCCAATATGTTTCTGATAGAGAAAGTTTCTCATTAGTACAGTATTCTATTAGTAGCGTTTCGGGCAAGTCCGTAATCCTATGCTTCCTGGAATACGACCTCTACGAAGAATTGTTTTTACAACCAAGTACCCATTTTACTGTTGAGTTAAACAGGCTACAGTTAAGGATTTGCACCCAGTAAATCCCCGGCCAGGATACGAACCCAGGACAAAGTGCCCGCGGATCGCCAGGCAAGCGTCTTGCCACTACGCCACGGAGACTGTTTGATCCTCATTGATGAGGATCTTCAAAAATTACTTAACCCAGTAATTCTGCCAGAGTTGCAAGAGGCTAATCTCGTGCTAAAATAAATATCAAAGCCTAATCAACTCTGGCAAGATATTTATGTTGAGGAAAAAAATAAAATGTCAGGTGCAGAAGTATCTTTGTTATACATGTTAATTACATTGATTTAGGTATTTGAAAAATTCCCGTACAGTGAAAAACTGAAAAAGAAAATGACCTCCAACTAATAGAATACTGTACTAATGAGAAACTTTCTCTCATTATCAGAAACATACTGGATATCTAAGGATGAGGGGGCATCCTACCTTATCAGGATGTAGAAATGCGAGGATATAGTCCCACTGAGGGGAGTGGTGCAAGAACCATCAAAGTATGGAATTGCTTATGGTGCTATATTAACTGTTTCTGTACGGTTGTCTCGCTTACAAGATTCTGTTTCAGTTCGTGTTTCCAATAATTTCCATGTTTCTCGTGGAGGCCCCCCCCCTCCTTCCTAAGTTTTGTAACAGTGTAACCCGTTCTCGCACTTTCTTACAGTCAATATTGACTTATTAAATACGTGCATATGTGACATGCTAATTTATTGTGAATATTTTAGTTTACCTTGAAAAGCTTCATAGAAAACACCGACCTTACCTAACCTTCTTAGTATGTTAAGATAAGCATCTTATTGCTTCGTAATTACAATTATTACTTAACCTATACCTATAATAGGTATAAGTAATAATTGTAATTTTATTACATTTATTACTTAATTATTAATTACAATTATTACTTAACCAATAGCTATAAGTAATAATTGTAATTACGAAGCAATAAGATGCTTATCTTAACATACTAAGAAGGTTAGGTAAGGTCGCTGTTTTCTATGAAGCTTTTCAAGGTAAACTAAAATATTCACAATAAATTAGTATGTCACATATGCACGTATTTAATAAGTCAATATTGACTATACGAAAGTGCGAGAACGGGTTGAACAGTTTGACCCACGTGACTAAAGCTTTTACCCCTCCTACAGTTTTGAAACGCCTCTTCCTTGAACACTTTTTTTTCATACTCTCCATTTCCATCTTCACCGATGGGTATAAGTCTGCAGATGGGGTAGGCTACTCTGTTGTTTTTCCTGACCACACCTTTATAAGTCACCTACCTCCATAGACTAGCATCTTCACGGCAGAACTTTATGCTATTTTGTATGCTCTTCGTCACCTTCATTCTCGCTGTCAACCTTTGTTGTACTTGACTCTCGTAGTGCCCTCATGGCTCTGGAGTCCTTTAATCCAGTCCATCCCGTAGTAGTCGAAATTCAACATTGGCTGTTTCTTATCTCCAGTAGATTTAAGACATAGGAGTTTTGCTGGGTTCCCAGCCATATTGGCTTAAATGAACGTGCGAACGCTGCCGCTAAGAAGGCTATCCGCACTTGTCTTATCTCCCAGAAAGGTATCCATCCCCTGTTCCGACTTCAACCCAGTTATTCATTCCTCAGTCCTTGCCCGTTGGCAGGGTCATTGGTCTTCTGTTACTGGTAACTAATTGCGTGCTCTTCAGGGTAGTGTGTACCCCATGGCCTTCCTCCTACCACCGTAACCGGCAATGAGAAACGGCTCTAGCGAGGTTACTTATTGGCTATACACGCTTAACTCACAGGCGCTTAATGGAGCGCCGCCCCTGCTCCTTATTGTCCAAACTGCATTGTCCATCTTACAGTCGTGCATATCCTTGTTGAATGTCCGGACTTCCAGGACGTGTGTGTCTTGCTTCCCGAAAGTCCCTCGCGGTCACTTGTCCCTCGATAGATTTCTTGGTGATTCGGATACCTTCGATATCATTAGCCTTGTGCTCTCATCATCTCGTATTGGCATCCTTAGTGAAATTTAGCGCCCTATGAATATCTCGCACATTTGATAGCCTTCCCGGCTTGGTGCCTTCTTTTGATAATTACTTATGGTGCTGTAGAACCATCAGATTGGAATCGCTTATGGTGCTAGCCATCAATGGAAACGCTTATTGTGCTAGAACCATCAGTGGAATCGCTTATGGTACTAGAACCATAAATGGAATCGCTTATGGTGCTAGAACCATCAAACTGGAATTGCTTATGGTGCTAGAACCATCAGACTGGAATCGCTTATGGTGCTAGAACCATCAGACTATGGAATGTATTATGGTGCTAGAACCACCAATGGAATCGCTTATGGTGCTTTCAGTTACCAAAGGTCTAATATACATCGAGGGAAAACAAAGAATTAACACGATAACAGCCAGCCCAGAAGAAAAATCGCCGCCTCGGCGAAATCGTCATTTTTCGCAAAAGTCAAAATCAAAACCAGCCATAGATTGGTTTTGAAAATGTTACCATTGGATTTACCGCACACTTTTACATTTCTTTCTGTTAAGTCTTTCTTTGCTAATTTTCAATATTAAGGCCTTTACACACATATTTACTGATATACAGTCAAATCAAATGCCAAACATATCATCATGTTTTCTCAACATA